TAATGAAGGATAGCCTAGAATAGCTAGAGCATTGTGCCGCCGCTGCCGGGCCGCGCGAGGGGGGGTGCGAGGCCCTCGCGAAGCGAGGGCCGAGCGCCCCCCCCCGCGCGGCCCGGCGTGGCGGCACGTGACCTTAGTGGAATGAACGGCTAAATTTCGGAAGAATGACATAAGGGGATGATATAAAGGATGACATAAGCCTTGCTAAAAGTCGGGCTCTTGTGGTCGTCCTCACGGGGGGCCCTCGGTTTATTTCGCGTGAGGTTCTTATGAGGCTGTTTGGGACCGTAAGCGGTGCTTTGCTTATGGCTCGTGCCAACCCTGACACATAAGTTGGCTGAATTGTGTCTCGATTGTGGGGCGATCTCCACTGTAATTTGGACAAATCACTGCCAACCTCAATATTGGTAAGCTTTTCCTTGTTTGTGGCCTTATGCTTATGAATTTGGCTTATTAGCTTACACGTTGAGGCTATTCCCAACCTTGTCGTCGCTATATACCTAAATCCACTAAATGCGCTATAACATATTCGCTAAATGCGCTATATTTACAGTGTATATACTCGCTGGAAATATTATTTTTAAGGGACCACTAAATGCGCTGTATTTTTCTCACTAAACATGCTATAACTATAGGGCATTTAGTGGATAAAGTCCTATAAGCGAGTCGATAAGCGCCTTTAGAGGTGCTTTTGAATTTTAGAAAATCTTCAGCGAATCTTTCGAAGTTTATTGGATGCATGAAAAAGTACTATGGAGCCTCTTATCAGCCAAATTTCAGTGGGGATAAGTTAATCAATACCTCACAAACACATTGCTGATACTTATGCTTATTCCCCGTAAGTTTTTCCATGCTTATGTTCCCAAACACCTTCTATATATAATCAGATGCTTAGACGTAACGAATAACCGGTACGGTACAACCCGAGGGTTTTACCTCTCTTTTTAGTGTTACCTCACAGACCTTTGTAGGCTTTGCTGCAATGGTCGGAAGATATACTTAATACGTAGATGTTACAGTAAATCGTAAACTGTATCTCATACATAGGACCAGCTGCAACGCTACAACGGGGTAGGAAGGGCTAGGCTAGACTAGATCCGCCATTTCGGGCCTGCTCGGACTTACGATATAGGTAAATGTGAATTGGGATTGTCTGAATAATACAGTGGATAATGGGTACTTATGCTGTACAGTGTTTCATACGGACGACCAGGAAGACTTTAATTTGGGCTTGACTCGAGGTTCATAACACAAAACACAAAACACAAATACGTCCTATATTCTCTGCGCATTTTGTCCCATTCTTTGACGGAACACACCTACCCAATATATTAGCAACAGCTCCTAGGAGTAAGCGGAGGGAATTGGTTGGATAAGACCCCGAGTCACAACTCCTGAAGGATCTCTCACACCCCGTCTGTGCCTCCGATACCACTTACTAGATGAATCGATGATGTGCGTCGAAGACCCATGTCAGACAAATGCACAACCCATGCTGAGTGGTATGTAAAGAGCCTAGCTATTGTTTCGATACTGCCGTAGCACATTTAGGGGGGGGGGGGGGCATAGGGAAATGTATGCCAATTCAACGTGCAGCCTAAAAGCCTAGAATAGGTATCTTTCTTTGTATCACTGTAGGTAGTCAGATCACTAGATGCAGGCCTAGCCGCTCGGAATCGGAACTTCGCCATAGTATGTAGTGCGAAAGACACTTCTCTTCTTATAGCCGCAATAGAACTAGCCATTGATATCTCACGCATGACTTTTTCTACCAAGGCGGAGCCGGTATTGACATCATGCTGTCACTAAGAAGCACGTATATGAGATATACGACGGCTTGATTCCGACAATCCATAGGAATAGCGCGAATCTAATCCGTGGCGCGGGAGGCTATGGACAGCATCCGGGATAAATTGTTTGTCTAACAGGTGTGATCGATGTGAAAATGCTGAAATTCTGACTCGAGATAGGGGATAAGGTGATACATGAAGGATCATTTACAACTACCCACGCTGCTGCACTGTAACCGTCTAGCGCAAGTTCTAGGGGTTCAAAGAATTCGGAGTGCTACCGAGGGGTATTTATCAAATTCAGCCTCATAAAAGAGAAAAGAATGGAATGCTCTGCAGGTCAAGGACGCGTGCGCGGGGAGCCCTGTAGAGGTATTAACGGATAAAGTGAGAGGGATATGTCTTGGTTAAATTCTCAGGTCAAGTCGACCTCGTCAAGTTTTGGTGATTATAGTGAGATCTTATATAATCAGCTGAATGTGATCCAATACAATGGCTATTCCATTGCTGACTTCAGAAACTAGCTTGCTAGCTTGATGAAATACTAGTGTAGATGTAGAACTGTTCCAAGAGATTCGTCCTACTCCGAGGATTCAAAGCCTGCATAACGAAAGAATCTTAGCCGAGATCATCGGTTCTTAGAGGCATTTTCGTAGTGGATTGGGTGATACAAGGATATTGTTAGTCGCCGTATTCGCCCAATATAAGATAGCGTGCACAGTGTAGCTCTGATTACCAAGCCTACATAAATGTACCTTTTTACATATGAGGTAGGTAGGTACCTATATGTACATTTGTATCAGTTGTATGCATGATATTGAACACCCAAAGAATAGACTGACCTCAAAAAAACATATGTTTAGTAGTTCGAGTACTTATCGCTTCCGCTTCTATATTTTATCGCATATAGCAATTTACACCGACTTCCTTTAATAAAGAAGGGCTACGGAAAGATAATACGATCACAATAATAATGTGCATAAATAGCTCGAACTAATGTATAAGTTAAAGTTACATAAAATTGCGCCAATGTCTTGGGGCTTTCCCCTGTTACCGCCGAGAAGATAGGGAGTATTCGCGGGTTTTGTAGGCTATTTGGGTAAGTGCATATGTAAATGCGTGCGTACACGCGACTTTGTACTACCTTCCAGCCCGTCTTTGCTTACAGTGCCGACACACAGTCTTCGGTGTACCTTAGAACCCCGGCCCTTCCGACGTAGCGATCAATCAAAAACTTCCATTGTTCCCTTCCCAATTCTGTCCTTAACGCCATCAACAACACGATTGCCCCCCAGTACCAAGTAAGGGAAGCCGGAGGACGAGCGATCACAACCCATTTCCCTAGATGCAAATCTTCCTCGACGAAAACATCGTGGCGATAATATCGACCGACGATTCACTTTCTTTCACTTTAGCGACCCCGACGCGATTGCAGCCAATTGCCCGAGTCTCCGCATTCAGCATTACTTAGCGCCTCAGGAATTCATACGCAAGACTCGTGGCCACGGAAGGCCAGTCTGGCGGACACGTCGGGTTGAACGGGCTCTGCCCGCAGCTCTCCCAAAATGCCGAAAGGTGATAATGACAAGGCGGTCAACAGATCGAGATGGGCTACTCGGAAACTCACTGTTAAGAGCAGTGGTCTTAAGAGGCTATCCCTCAAAGACAGGATACAACATAAGCGAACTGGCTCGATAGAGAAGAAACGTCATTCGGGCGGCAGTCAGTCTACGAGTGACGATCATGCTACATACGACAGCGCGTCTGCAACCGAGCAGAATGAACCAGGCGATTCGAAGAGTACCGTGTCTGCTGAGGAGGAAGATGATGGGGGGAGGATAGTGTACTTCAATCTGGCTTTGCCTGACGAGCTGAAAGATGATGAAGGCAACCCCATTCGTTCATATGCTCGAAACAAGATTCGGACGGCCAAGTATACACCGTTGTCTTTCATCCCTAAGAACCTATGGTTCCAATTCCACAACATTGCCAACATTTTCTTCCTTTTCATGGTGATTCTTATTGTAAGTGAAATAGATCATATGCGTTCGGGAGGGACGCTAACACTTAATTTTAATTGTTTAGATCTTTCCTATTTTCGGAGGTACTAATCCAGGACTTAATGCTGTACCTTTGATATTTATCCTTGCCGTGACGGCTATCAAGGACGCGATCGAAGATTATCGCAGGACGATTCTTGACAACGAATTAAATAACGCACCCGTGCACCGTCTTGTAGGGTGGAACAATGTCAATGTTACAGAAGATAATGTTTCGCTATGGCGGAGGATCAAGAAGGCTACTTCGAGATCTCTCGCAACGTTTTGGCGTGCGGTGAAGAGCTTATGGAAGAAGGACGAAACAAAGGGAATGTTGGAAAATTCATCAGATCCGCGTCCCTCTGTCGAAACCAAGGCGACGCGTCGCGATTCTACCATGCTATCTCCTCACACTGACAGAACGTCATTCATGTCTGCGTACGAAGACATTCAGATGACACCAGTCACGTCCCCTCTTCCTCCCCAGACGCCCAAGAAAGATTTAATGGAAATCCCGGAACGGCCGACATCTGAAAGATCGCATACTCCAAATGAGCCGGAGACGCTAGCTCGAATAAAAGGAGACCTTATCAACTACGATGTGAAACCTGGCCAGGCCCGGTTTCACAAAGATCACTGGAAAAATCTACAGGTTGGCGATTTTGTGCGACTTTATAATGATGATGAGCTTCCTGCAGATATCATCGTTCTTGCTACTTCCGATTCAGACGGTGCATGTTATGTGGAAACCAAGAATCTGGATGGAGAAACAAATTTGAAAGTTCGTCAAGCACTCCGTTGCGGACGAACTTTGAAGCATGCGAGGGACTGCGAGCGCGCCCAATTCTTTATCGAGAGCGAACCACCCCAACCTAACCTCTACAAGTATAATGGTGCCATCAAGTGGAAACAAATGATGGCAGATGGTCCCAGAGAAATGTCGGAGCCGATATCCATAGATAATATGCTCCTCAGAGGGTGCAACTTGAGGAATACTGAATGGGTTCTCGGCATCGTTATGTTTACAGGTCACGATACGAAAATCATGATGAATGCAGGTGTCACGCCAAGTAAACGTGCCCGCATCGCCCGGGAGCTAAATTTCAACGTTATCTGTAACTTCGGTATTCTCGGCGCATTGTGTCTTCTGTGTGCCATCGTCAATGGAGTCTCGTGGGGCAAAAGCGACGCTTCCACCGCTTGGTTTGACTACGGTTCCGTCGGTGGTACTCCTGGTATGACCGGGTTTATCACATTCTGGGCCGCGCTTATTGTCTTCCAAAACTTCGTTCCGATCTCTCTTTATATCTCACTCGAAATTGTGCGTACGCTGCAGGCTATCTTCATATATAGCGATGTTGAGATGTACTATGAGAAAATCGATTATCCATGTGTACCAAAATCATGGAACATATCCGATGATTTAGGTCAGATCGAATATATCTTCTCAGACAAGACAGGAACTCTCACCCAAAACGTCATGGAATTCAAAAAGGCTACTATCAATGGCCAGCCGTACGGAGAAGCGTATACTGAGGCCCAGGCAGGCATGCAGAAGCGTTTGGGTATTGATGTGGTAAAAGAAGCTGCCAGGGCCAGAGCACAGATCGCCGCCGGAAAAGCCCACGCGGTGGAAGGACTTCGAAAAATACACGACAATCCATATCTTCACGAAGAAGATATGACGTTCATTGCTCCGGATTTTGTTGATGATTTACGAGGCGAGTCCGGCGAGGAGCAAAAAGAAGCCAATGCGCACTTTATGCTCGCATTAGCACTTTGTCATACTGTTATAGCAGATCATATTCCCGGCGACCCTCCTAAGATTGAGTACAAAGCTCAATCGCCGGACGAAGCAGCACTCGTAGCAACTGCTCGTGATATGGGATTCACTGTTCTCGGACATACAGCGGACGGTATCAGAGTGAATGTTATGGGCGAAGAAATACACTACCAAATCCTCAACACAATCGAATTCAACTCCAGCCGAAAACGAATGAGCGCTATCGTGAAGATGCCCGATGGTCGTATCATTCTATTCTGCAAGGGTGCGGATAGTATCATATACTCACGCCTGAAGCGTGGTGAGCAAGCAGAGCTTCGGAAAACCACTGCTGAGCACCTTGAAATGTTTGCTCGAGAAGGTCTACGAACCCTATGCATAGCCGAGCGTGTACTTTCTGAGCAAGAATATCTCGAGTGGCGTAAGGAGCATGACAAGGCCTCCACCGCGATGCACGATCGAGAAGAGAAGTTAGAGGAAGTTGCCGACAAGATTGAGCAAGAATTAACTCTCCTGGGAGGAACGGCAATCGAAGATCGTCTTCAAGACGGTGTACCTGACGCGATCGAATTACTCGGCCGAGCAGGAATTAAGCTATGGGTACTCACCGGAGACAAAGTCGAAACTGCTATCAACATTGGTTTCTCGTGCAATCTACTGAATAACGACATGGAACTTATTAATCTTAAAGTGGAAGAGGATGAAACTGGTTCGACACCTGATGATCTGTTCGTAAACGAAATTGGACGAGAGCTAGACGCGAAGCTCAAGATGTTTGGTATCACCGGTGACGACGAAGACTTGGCCCGCGCCAGGAAGAATCACGAACCGCCAGCGCCAACCCACGCTCTTGTGATCGACGGATTCACTTTGAGGTGGGTGCTCGATGACAGCTTGAAGCAAAAGTTTCTCCTTCTCTGCAAGCAGTGTGCTTCTGTTCTGTGCTGTCGTGTCAGCCCTGCGCAGAAGGCTGCCGTTGTATCCATGGTCAAGAACGGTCTTGATGTTATGACGCTCTCCATCGGGGATGGTGCCAACGATGTCGCGATGATTCAAGAAGCGGACGTCGGTGTAGGTATCGCCGGTGTTGAAGGTCGCCAAGCCGTCATGTCTGCCGATTATGCCATTGGTCAGTTCCGGTTTCTCGAACGATTAGTTTTGATTCATGGCCGCTGGTCCTACAGGAGGATGGCGGAAGCAATCGCCAACTTCTTCTACAAGAACATGGTTTGGACCTTGTGTATTCTTTGGTTTCAGTGTTTCTGCAACTTCGACATCACATATGTCTTCGAGTACACTTATATCCTTCTGTTCAACCTTATCTTCACCTCCGTGCCCCCCATTGTCATTGGTGTCCTCGACCAGGATGTGTCCGATAAAGTCTCGTTAGCTGTTCCTCAGCTATATCGACGTGGCATTGAACGGCTTGAATGGACCCAGCACAAGTTTTGGTAATTATATCACCCTGTTTGATTATGTTTAACTGAATTTGCTAACAAGGGATAGGTTTTACATGTTGGATGGTTTATACCAAAGTGTAATATGCTTTTTCGTTCCATACTTAACCTTCGCATCTACCTCGGCCGTTACCGGAAATGGACTTGATGTGATGGATCGGTATCGATTCGGCGTCTACATTGCGCATCCGTGTATCATTACAATCAATCTTTACATCCTCATCAACACATACCGATGGGATTGGCTTACGCTCCTCATTATTGTTCTCAGCGACCTGGTTGTCTTCTTTTGGACCGGTGTTTATACATCGTCAACGTTTGCTGGTACGCTTTATGAGGGAGCTCCCCAGATTTACGGCGAAGTTTCGTTCTGGGCGGTTTTAATTGCGACTCCGATCCTTGCATTAGCTCCTCGGTATGCTATCAAGGCTTTGCGCAAAGTCTACTGGCCCCGAGATGTAGATATCATTCGGGAACAGGTTACCATAGGTAAATTCGATAATCTAGAAAAGGAGAGTTCAAGCGAGGTTCTAGTAAAATCGAGTTCTTCAGGATCATCACAGTCCTCTAGGCGCCGGCGACACCAGCAATTTGCAAGTGTGGATGAGGATTTAAAACCCATCTATCCACCTTCTGTTGCAACTCAGTCTATTGCCGGCCATAATTCTCGTAGCCAGAATGGCAGCGATGGCACTAATTACACTAGACACGAGCCATCGATTGATGTCCCTGTTGCTCAACCGGTTGATCCGCCTGCTGAACCTCCGGTACGCCCATCGCACGATCGGGTTCGTCCATCTTACGACCGTATGCGAGCCTCGATGGATCGAGTTAGGCAGAGTTACGAGATGTCCAACGAGTTTACTTCAGCTGCCATGTTGAGCAGATTTGAGTCGACTCGCTCCGGCGTTACGCAATCACAGGAGGGTAATGGGATTGTCAGCAGAATAAGAAACCGGACCCGGGGTAAATCCTTTAAGTCCGCATTTATTCACCATAAAGACAACCATATCCACGAGCATGAATAAAGAACACTCACGACGGCCCCCGCGACAATTCTTGGAAGATGGTGTGATGTTCGGGTTTTGGCTTCTTTTATTCCATTCGATGTGATATCCGGAGCACTAGGTGCTCAAGTACGATCTCGGACGAACTATTCACGATACCGCTATGGTTTCCTAGCTAGGCCACCGAATCAAACATTCCAAATGGTCTTTTCCTTTTTCTTTTTGCTCGTGTCCATTTACAACGGCGTCGGCGTTTCTAGGGTGCATGGAGTCTGTGGGAGGACTTATATGATGAGATGACGATGTTGGTCAGAAGGTTGAAGGTTCTAGTTTCTTGCATCATAGACTTTCTTCTCAAGTCGAGGCTGCACAACACGTGTCATCGCCAGTCCCTTTCGAGGGAGACCCCTACTATATCTCGAATTACTATTATTACAGAGGAGAGTTGGTGCCTCGTCGTTTTTCTTTTCTTGCGTTCCGTTTTCTTTTCTTCACTTGAATTTTTCCCCATAGGCGACAGGCTGGTGACAAGGCGTTCTACCAAAAGACTAAGGCAGGATTTGACACCTGGATGTGATAGCATACCGTGCGCGCAGCAAGCAAGCAAGCAAGCTAGAAAGCTAGAAAGCAAAGAGAAGGAGAAGTTACGGGATTCTTAAGGCATGGTGGGCTTCCGCCGCCTGTGTATATAAGATGATGGATAAATGCGACGAGTAGAGCATCGGTGGCGTGTGGACGAGTAGATACATATAATCGGCCAGAATTGGTACTTTCAAGATAAAGACGTCACTTTCAGTTTATTCATTTCTAGTTTAATGTGCGGCCGAAATCTTATACCTGTTATTGTTAGATGAGGCTTGCCGGTCTTGAAATTTAAGATATTTAAGGGGAATGAATACATGTGGAAAGTATGACTTAATACAAGGTTACCTGAACTAGTCTATTAACGATGTCTTCAATATAAAATCTGTGATCTGTGACTGTTATTGCTGAAATAAGTGGCTAGTAAGAACGTGTATATAAGTTATGCTTCCTCATATAGCCCATATGCCGTCCTTTTTACCAGTTACCATCTCAATACACGCCCATTATAATATCCTCGACGACCGTAACCCTTAGGTAAATTATAATAGGAGAATAATGGAAATGTGATTGGTCTGCTCAATACATATCGCAAGGTCAAGTCCGTCACAAATATAAGATCACCAGAGGTTCGTAGTCAATTATCAAGGTCGAGGGGGGCCCTCTCTTCTATATTTTCTCGATGTCAGCCTTAACTCGCTCGTTCTGAACCCTTTGACCACGACGCAACGTACTAGGAATTCGGCGTTTCTTGCAGCAGTATGCCCAGCTGAAGAGCTTCGTAACTGCTTGTTTCAGCGCGAGGAGTATTCTTTCGCGTCTTCGTAGCGGTATGGCGATAGCTTGTAGTGGGGGATCCATTTTGGTGTAAATTAAGCATTAATGGACTCTTTCTTTCGGATATGGTGTGGTGAGAACTGTTGGCTTGGGGGGGCATCTTGCTTATTTTAATAGGCGGCCCTCCCGCTTTGACGGTATCATGAGAAGCGTAGGGTGAACCTTGTTTGGGAAATTTATACTAAGTATCCTATCAGGTATTGGCCGCCAGATAGTAGTCTGTGTCCTATAGTCGATGGTATAGACATGCTGACATTAATGGGTTAGCCGAAAGCAAAACTCAAACGATACTGTATGTCATAGTTCAAAAGGCCAACTAAATATTCTCCGGTTGAATTCTTTACCTGGGTATAAGTCAATGCTTTATACATTAATGTGTCTCTAGTCCGTTCGCTTCGTCGTGACTATGTTGCGTGGTCATAGTGCGTCCACGCTCGAACTGATATTTGGTAAGGAGTATTCAATAGTCAAGTGAGCCAGCCTCTTAGATATCACCCCACGCTATGACATCGTAGGACGGGGCGTTTGACTCATATAGAAACTTTTTTCCCCCGGATTTATGTCTAGAGTTTAATGCACATAAGATATAGTACCTAAGGTATAGTTCTATAATGAGGTGCTCGCAACAGTGTCTTAAATACTTTCAGGGCCTATACCTAGGTAGGTAGGTACCTAAGGTAGCATTATGTGAGAGGCCTGGAATCAATGATGGTAAAATGCGAAGAGTGATGCTAATTGTAGATTACCATGCCAGCCCTTCCACGTAGATTACCCCACAGAACAAGTGTATGCACCTGGCCACTAAAATTACTAGTAAAATGACATGGCCACTTTCTGCCTCATAACTTTCTCAGAACACGGCCGATACATACTAATTTTGACGTCAAAAGGATTATATTGATGATATTCCTGATGATGTAATTGATGTAATTGATTTAATTGATTTAATTGATGTATAGAGATCGTGGGAATGTTTCCTAGGTCACCTGACCAGGTCCGCCAGGCCTGGCCGACTATTTGCCTACCTATCTATTTCTTGTCACTCTTTAATATCTTGACCAAAATACGGTATTATTATATGATTGTGGTATCACTAGATTAGTCTTCTTAAGCTGATTCGATTTATATAAGTAACTACTATTGAATATGCTGTTGTGGCCGAGGAATATAAGATATATATTGCTATTTGTAGATTAGTTGGCTTTATTCGTAGATTACATGCCACTATTTACAGATTACATTCCCTTATTTATAGATTACTTTTACAATAACTTGATTGCATGCGGTAGCATTCTAATAAAATTAATACTAATCAATTCGTCTCAGTCATAAGACTTTTAATATATAAAAATATATCAATATATCTATTAGTATTGTTGACAAATTTAGACCTTCTGTAAGATTGATGAGGCAGAAGGTGGCCATGTCATTTTACTATTAATTTTGGTGGCCAGGTGCATACACTTGTTCTGTGGGGTAATCTACGTGGAAGGGCTGGCATGGTAATCTACAATTAGCATCACTCAATGCGAATAATTAGGCATTGTTATTATTTATCTGATTATGACAATAATAGAATAACTAACCGAAGATGAAAGTGTTATAGAAAGGCCTACACTCATCTAAAATTCTAAACAGCGTTATGCGCCCATGAACCAGCATTAAAAGATTAAATCTAGCCGTGCCCTCCCAGCCCCCAGCCCCCCGAGGATGAGATAACCCATAGGCCACACTTTAAAAGGAAGAATAATAATAGGTGGCAATGTCCCGAAATCAGCTACTAGTTGTAAAGCGACTGTAGAGGGGACAGCAAGGTACTGAGTAACTATTAGAGATTAGTAAATGGGAGCCTGAACATGAACATAGGTAAGAATAGACATACCCAGCGTTCCAAGTCCTTTTCATTCTCTCTAAGCTCTTCGTATCGTGAATCCATAAGTTCTGATTACGCCAGATGTTAGTTTTCTTAAACAACTTATGTAGTAAAACTATTGCCTGAGGGAATACAATCTTACCTGCTGTCCGATAGAGGAGGACGTCCTGGATATCGACATCATACTCTAGGCCGTCTAGGTACGCTTTCGCCTTTAGCTCGTCTTCGACGTAGCTGATATTCTTACGGATCTGGCTAATTTAGAATCTGACCACTGGTGGAGTTTAGCTCTGTTGTTTCCCAGATGTACCTAGTCTTCAGAGAAGCTAGCGAACCTACTGTCTTTCCTATAATTATCTTTACTATTTTCAAATTTCATGGCGCATTCGTGGATCTCCTTGCGGAATCGATCCATGTCTTCGTTCTCGTTCTCGTCTAGCTTGCCTGTGGAACCACCTTTGCCGGCTTTCTCTGGTGGGATACCCATCTGTGGTCACTAACACGAGAAAGGAGCGCTTGAGTGGAGTACCCGCACCAACGTCCTTGTAGATGAAGGGGTCAAGGACGTTCTCCCTCAACTTTGTACCGATCGGTGTCCAGTCCTCGGGATAAAAGCTTTGGATTCTCTGTTCAACCTGGTACTTAGTGAGGCCATTAGCATCAGGGGTTTGTTTATTGATGAACCGAGGGTGACAGACTCTGTTAAGAGGGTCTATCCGGCTAGCGATGCTGCTAATTCGTTTGACAAGTTCAATCTGGGCGCGCCATCTATCTCCCTTCCCTTGACCATTCTCTACGCTGCACATTGACCCGCTATCGTCTGATATACATTTAGTTCAAGCCGTTTTTTTCGGATGGAATTAACTCTCACCGCGATATAGAATTGGTTGATACAATGCTAATTTGGCAAGACCGTCGACCTGAGAAGGAGAGTTCAAAGGATTCTTCGGATCATTCTTGAGTTCGAATGCCTTTTTAGCCACATCTGTAAGATAGGGATCGTTGGGAGGGAAGAACTTTTCGAGGCCGCCCCTTTTACATTTTATTAGCGATAGTAACAGCTTATTCTTTGGTAAAGACACATTTGTATACTAAAATGTTGGGAAGATGTCGCACAATATATAAGGCGTAATTGCTGTACAGCGATTACGGCGTCGTTTTTCGTGTTTGACAGAAGAATACTTGGAAATTTCACGAATATTAGACTTATTTACTTTTGACTACATTATTCAGGTTATTTTTGAAATCCTCTACTCTCTGGTGTTCTGCGATATCCTATGCCAAGTCTCGAATTAGTAGCCAAAGGATAATAATATACCTGGATTGACATTCTCACCTCTCCTGGTGCTGGGTTAGACCCTGAAAGTTTGTAATAAGTCCTAGATGCAGCATCGGAGATGACTATAAGGGGGCTCCAAATGTCAAAGTAGGCGAGAACCTTCAGTACCTCCTCGTTAATGTAGGTTATGAGCCCCCCTTTACGGAGGCTGCAGCTTGTCAGCTATGCCTTTTGCAGTTTGGCCACTGGCATTCTTCTTTTCTTTCGAATCCCCTGCTCTCACAAGAAGCTTGACGGCCGCGGCATCTCCCTTCCGGACGGCGGCCATCAATAGGTCTCGTTCCCGAAAGATGCGGGCCCCGCTGCATCGAAACTGCTAGGTTCTTGGCAAGAAGAAGCTGTATCATTCTGGCCCACTGCTTTGGCGTTCTTCCATCTTGAGTCTTCGTGTCTGGGTTCGCGCCATTATCTAATAGGAGCTTCACAGTGGAAGAATTTCCCTTCCGTATAACTGCCAATGGGGTGGGGCCCGACGCCGGGTCTGGCCTATTGATAATTGATGGGCCACCTTTGAGGTACTCGGCAAGCTTGATCTTGTCCAGAGCTGGTGGAGTAGCTCCTGCATCGATCTAGAGAGGCACGTTGCGCGAGTCACTGTGATATCGAATGAAAAGCTAACTAAATCTATAGATTCTAAGTGTAGGAATAGTGCTGTGGAGCGCATATGCATTCATGCGAGGGAATGGAGTCGGGTATTTCTATGATATACGCCTTACGAATATCATTACGAATCTTCAGTGAGACGATTGGAGAAGACGTCGGATATACATCTGCCGTCGGTCATTTGAACCTGGTAGCTGTCGATCTGGCTGAGCTCGACAATATCGGCGTTCCTTTGCTGGTTGACTTTTTTGTAACCGAGAATGTCTGCGGCTTGCTGAGATCGAGAAGCTGTATCTATCGGTGATGGCGTCCCTGCACAGTGAGCTAAGTGGTCGTAAATAACAAGCTGACATGCAAATGTATGTCCGATATGCAAGACGAAAAAAGCAGAATTCAACAGAGACATGTATGAGGAGAAAATAAATTCGAGAGGGAAGAAAGTGGTACCTTCAATTGACTATGTAGCATTAAGGGACTGCATAAGCGTATCTATGTATTGCGAATCTACGATTGCCAAGGTGCCAAGGTTTATAGCCTCATCTGGAATATCCAATTTAGGACTAGTGTTCAGCTACTCACAATTCATATGTTGTTTTAATTATATTCACCAAGCTGCTGACCGATGGGGACCCCGACTTGAGCTAATGCAGCAGAGATGAATGACCAATCATTTCTCATTCGCAATCCACATTCGGCACGGCAAACGGCAGGTATATGCAGACTTCCCGTTTGAAACAAACGATGAAAACCCTATGGATCAATCTGTGAGATGTACATGGTTACATGTACATCCACGTGAGCGAAGGTCATGTGTTATTCAGGCATTCAGAAACATCAGAAACATCCTAGGTTAAGTATTTGTAAAAAATATTGATGATAGGTACCTATACAGTTAAAAATTGTAACTTATTGATAAAAAAATAATCTAAAGTAGGTAGTTATACTTTTTATTTTTTGTATTTTATTTTTCAATTTTCGACTTTCCTTACTTTTTATACCGACTAAAAAAGGTTGGATCCTTAGCCGGTCCTCGGGTTGGGAAAGCAAAAGCAACTAAGGTGTAACCACCAGGTATGCCACCAGAACCCTCGAGGCCGAAGGCATCACGCGTGGTTGACCTCACCGATTCGCACGCGTTTCAGTGGGCGGGGAGATCGCGCGGTGACAGCTTTGCCAGGCAATAGCTTCACCCGTACCTCTCCCAGGCCAGAAGCCACATTCTAACCTCGCGGGCGTAATGATTTATGACGACGTTTTCACTCCGACTAGGACTACCGTGTTTACACCGCTAGGAGTATTACGCTATACAGCCAATGGTATAAGAGCATGCCAGCCTCAAAAGCCTTCATGCCCGATCAGATATTAGTCAATGCTATATGTGATCACAACGTATTACATATCCTTGACTTACTGATTTACTAATACTAGCTTATTCAAAGGAGGGGTCAAGTAGGTCGACGATTGGGTAATAGTCAGGCGTTATAGATGCTATGTCTCCATAGCTATGTAGTTTACGGTATTAGGTGGCGAGCTGAGCTGCAATGCCAAGCGTCTACAGTACAAGGCCGCAAATAATCGAGGGCGAAAGCGTCTCCTAGGACGACAGTCCGAAGGTGAAGTCGCTCCGTGTCAATTTCTTTTCCCTTTTACCCTTCATTTGTTCCCTACCTGTCTACGCGTGCATATTTTTCTATTCTCCTCGAAATATATATATTATAAACCAAGTCGCCTTCAAGAAACAGAGAACTTGGACAGCAACCACCGATTATTATCATCATCACATCTTTACACGCACACTCCCCAAACAAAAGACCCGAATCATGTCTACCAGAGCCTGGCTTGACCCGAAGGGACACTCCGTCGAAGGTCACACAAAGCAATGCATCCTTACCTTCAATGGCCGTAATATCTGGGGGCCGAGCTCGTGTCATGATAATACGACCCAGCTGCGAGATGCCCTTCATAAGGCTGATTCCCGATTTGATCTGATCATTATGGAAAAGCCCAAAACAGTCGAGGGTCACACAGCCTACATCAGCGTCAGCGCCGGCGGCACTGTTTTTTTGGACAAACTCTCCACTCACGACAACATGACAGGGCTATGTAAAGCCGTTCACGACGCGCAGCAGGTACGTGGCTCTCGTTCTATCTACTTGAGACCTTGTTCCCAAAAGTTCTCTGAGGATAAAGCCGATGCAGCACCGCCGTCCCAGCCCCCCTTAGCCGTCTCCTCCCATGCACCTCTAGTTCTGCACACATTAAAATCTCATACGAATATATTAAAGCTAACCCCTTTCTAGTAAGGATTGTACTTGCACCGATTCTTCGTTTCAACCGCTTCGCCTTCGGAGATGGCGTCATGAAGAAATGGACTTCGTCGTGGGAGGATTGATGTTAAACAGAGGGTGATGGGGTTTGAAATGGAGGACAGCATTTGCAAGGGTCTCATACGGCATACTGAAGTAGGGTACATCAAAATGCCCCTATTTGCCGCTCACTCAATGTCACGTGCCCTAGATGGCATCACGGTCACTATTAGAGTAGCCTAAAGGGCACTCACCTAACCAGCCTTCGACTGGCCCACAACCTATACGGTAGTTGGAATACTGCAATAGCCAGAATTCCACCCTTTCACTCACTTAATATATCATCGTTTTCGCCACCAGTTTCCAGTGCGCCGTGTGCAAGCTTTTATACCTAGCCCTTCCTATCCACTTCATCAGTAGTAGTGGAAGGCTCGTCCCAGGACGTGTATGGATATCCATGAATGCCTACACTTCATTAAGATCCTATCTACAAAGTCCCTGGAGATGACAATATTCACCTGCTATTTGGAAATACGAATATCCCTTTTCAGGAGAGACTGCTTGGAACCGTTTAAGCGTGAGTAGATATAGTAATACTTGTATCTTGTCTTTAGCATCGGTACTTTGAGACCACTCGTCGAAGTCTCGCCTAATTGGGACTTGGCCATTGGAACCCCAGCCCTCTTTGATTCCTATAATAGGGTAGTACTTGTAGGACATCTTGCTCCCTAGATGATAGATAGGCAAATTTAAGATACTTAATTACGGGGAATATGCGAGGAGTACTGTTGCTAATAAAGGTCCGAAGCAAGGGAGCGGTTAAGATATACTGTAGTATCTCTAAACATTGTCCTTCGCGATGCCGAGGACAACCCTACAGTAGGTTAACTTACGTATACTCGTCGGAATCGGACCTAACCTATAATTTATAGGCTCACTTTTTTGTACACGATGTATCCTGGAATTTGAGATTGCTATGCGCGCAGGACTCGCGGTAGTTGACCTTGGCATCGTCTTGTACGACACGGCTCTTCTGTACAGAACTCCCTTACCGTCTGTTGCATAATAGCTGCGAGTGCTTGAGCAGAGTAAGCACCCTTTGGAGGCGCAATGGCAAATCAAGTCCATTTCGGGGTAAACGCTACCTGGGAAACTTTATCGTATGCTCGTATACATTCGGTCAAGACCTCTTTCTTTACGAATGCCTTCCATTATGTTCTCTAGAATCAACAGGCTAGACTTCCCACGGATACCACTACCGTCTGGAAATGTTAGGTAGTTAGTACAATGAAGGAGATCAATAGAAGTAGATACAATTACCAAAGAAAGAGATGATATAGCTGAGGTGATGACGTAAGCACGGTTCTTGGACATGATTACCGATTCACCGAAATATCTATTTTTAGAATCAAACGCGGTGTACCGTGGGGCCTTACCGACGCCCGAATAACTACTACCGTATATAGGTCCGAGCCGAGTGGATGTCAGAGCGCCGGATACGAGACCAATACCTACTTATATATTCGAGAATAAATATGCAGATGATAGAGTTAAGTGTTACTAATACACTACTCCTTTAGCGCTATTCGGAACTGTGCTCAGCGAGTTCCACGAGCCAAGTCAGGTCGGATAATCGTATATATTTGGCTCGATATGTACCAGGTCAGATGTATTGGATTTGAGGCTTACCTGGCTATATCGTTAACTTGGCCTTTATACCCTTACAAAGCTACACCTAGCCACATTAGCTACATTAGCCATACAATATATTCCCCCCGAAACCCCTACCAACCTTGACTCAAACGTATATTAGTATACCTCATATAAAGTACCAAAAAAGATTTTGCGCTCGACTCGAATAGATATCCCAAAAAGAAGATCTACCCAAGCTAAGTCAGGCCAGGTCCGATCGAGTCAGGTCATGCATGCTATTATCTGATTCGTGGAACTCGCTGACTGTGTTTGTTTGGATTTGGACCGTATTGTTTAGGCAGCATAAATAGGTAGCATTTCAATTTACACAAGTGCTAGTTAGACTCGCCTAGGAAATAGTAAATATTAAAAAAGTAAGTAGCATTTATAGTTTTCCCCTGGTGATAGGTAAATAGGTACCTCCTAATTATATGTTTTGCTGATATATTAATGTTGGTGGTTGTTAAAATAGCATTGAAGAAGTGTGCTGCTAGCTAGATACTAGAGTTATTAAAGGATATTTTTTTGAAGAGGAAAAAAAAATTGGTCATCCCACCGCCTCTGGGTTCATGATCTCCTGGTATCTGAGATTAAGGAGCCAGGGATATAATCATATAAAGACTCGTTCCCTCCCTGATGCGTCCTTAACCCCAGAAAACCATTTGAAAATGCACCCACGGGGAGTCGAACCCCGGACCTTTGCTAATACATGTATGGTGGTCCATACAAACTGCCCATTGGCCCCTGACCGTGAGTCAATTCCTCGGTAGTGATTGTTGCTACGTTTCTTTGACTTATGTACTTGATTCCCCCGCCACTTAGGGGAGTCTCTTGGGTAACCAAAACTAATATCACCACCTGGCAATAATTCCAAGGGAACTACCAGCTCCCCAATACAACTTATCAGGTACCTTGACAGTTTGTAATTCTAGAATAATTTGATTACATTCTTGTTTACAGAATGCGAAGTCACAACATCCCACTTCCCTCGAAATTACCTGCCGAACCTATCTCTAACCGACTCGTCCAGTCACTACCGGGTATTTTCTCATCAAAACATTTAAATACAACCGCATCGCGAGTTTAATCGGCTTATTACATCTTTCTTGCAACTGCCTGGTTTACTTTTGTATTCGAAGCTATTCTTCGCCTAGTTCTACGCGCATCATGCCAACCAAGTTCGTCCCCCATCTTCACACGCTTGTCACAAAAGGCTCTCACGGAGGTCTTGCGTGGAAAACTCAACCTAAAGATGTTCTTGACGAGAAGATGTACATTTACGAGAAGAAGTGTCGATTCCTCCTACATCACCCTCATTCTTTTCACATCGCCAAGGTGCTCTATAAGGGCTTAAGGTCGAAAAGTCCATTGCTGATCGACCTAGCACTCTCACATATCTATGAGTTTGCAGCCGAGAAGGTTGAGCTGTGCTCTTCCCTCGAACCGGTGGATTTTTTCGCGTATGTTAAAGACTCCTACGACTGGTCATCTCGCTTTACCGACAAAGCATTTTGGGCATTCACATACAAGGCTTTACACGCTCGACAAATATTCCTCAACACAGTCATCGATCCAGACCAAGAGGACCCAACGGTACGGCCCTTGGCACGGGCCCTCGATCTATTTCGAGATGCCTTCTTGAAAATGTACCCAATTGACCCAACTATGATACACGAAGAGGGTGACAAGATTTGCCAAGAGAATATCGAGCTCGTAGAGGATATGGTTTACCTCAACAAGGAAATTTATGGAAAGTATTTTCCTTATCACCTCACCCACCACGATGGACAAGGCGATGGCACAGACAAGATCACTCTTTTCAAAGAGAGCAAGAAGAAGGACTCTAATGAAACCGCCAAACCGAGCATGCCGGAATATCAAGAAGTAGACATGTCGAAAATTCCGGACGAGGAGTTATTCTTTTACGATACAGAATGCAAGGCCAAACATCACGATGCTTTCCAGCATGTTTTGAGCACGAAGGGTAAAATAGGTCTCAAGAGTAGAGGGCTACCCAAGGGGACGGAATCCGTGAAGGGAGCGGGATCAGTGAGGAAATACGACACCTTCAAGGACTACCGAGATACGGGTAATGCCGATGATGCCGATGATGCCGATGATGCCGATGAGCCAAACCCTTCAAATGAAGGCACAAATATCGTGGACAGCGATGACGACGGCGACGGCGACGGAATGCCAAATATCAAGAAGCTCAAGATCGAAGACGATGAAGCCGCGGCGGATAAGGATGAAGATGAGGGAGTCCCAGATATCAAGAACCTTTATCTCGTGGATAATGAAGAAGCATCTGCCCCTTAATGGCGGATGGTCGTTGGTCTAATGGCTACATCTGGCGGATTTTAGGTGACAGCTGGCAAAGTATCGGTGACGCCCAGTAGCAAAAAGTAAGGCTGCACCAAATGATCGCACAACTTGTACTTTTATTTGCATTTCTTTGCCGTACTCTAAAATAATAACAATAATATTACTAAAAATAAAAAACCCGAATTTCCTACCGTCAAGGTACACGTAGAGGTCAATAGAATTACTTGATCCATCATGTCTTTTGAACATGCCAAGGTTCTAGCCACAGAACCCCTCGTAAGTATCCGCCCTGACGCGCCGAATTCAACGCGATCTTCTAATACTGACTGTTATAGGCGAATGGCGACGCCGTCTGGACCAAACTTGTCAAGTAGGCATACATAAAGTGTCCAATAATTAACTCTAGATTGTATTACTAACACTATTATACATCTAGGCTAACTTACACTGATTCGAAACGCCAAACGCGTACTTGGGAGTCAGCTGAGCGTACTACAAGACCCAAGAAGAGTGAAATCGATGGCGTCGGAATTGTTGCCATTCTAGAGAAGCCTACCGGGCCTGAAATCGTTCTTCAGAAACAGGTTAGTGATTGGAATTTCTCGCCGTCTCTGAAATCTGAAATCTGAGATTCAGACTTTACGCCAGAGTAGCACGCGTCTTGGGTCCGTGCTTAAGGGGCTCCGTTTTATCCCCCTTTTCTTTCGGTTAAATCTCGGATACATGTTTGCTAACATCTATAATTCAGTACCGCGCACCTATTGACAAGGTTACCATTGAGGTTCCAGCCGGTCTTATTGACGAAGGCGAGACAGTTGAGGAGGCTGCTATTCGCGAACTGAAGGAGGAAACTGGTTACGTGGCCAAGGTATCTGAGACTTCGCCTATGATGTTTAATGGTAAGCACCTCTCTATTATTGTGACAAGGACTATTCAAAGAACATGGAACTAGTTACGAAGACTATTCATAAGTATCAAATACTATCTAAAGGATATTCACTCCTGGATGGCTAAGGAGGATACTAATTCGGTCTATTCCGCCGAGTCTTTACATACTAACTAGTCAATGATAAGAATTAGCTTGCTAACAGAATATTACAGATCCCGGGTTCTGCAATACCAATCTAAGAATGGTCCACGTCACCGTTGACATGAGTCTGCCCGAGAACCAGAATCTGCAGCCCGAATTAGAAGAAGATGAGTTCATTGAGGTCTTCCTAGTCCCGCTGACCAACCTCTACGACGAATGCAAGAGGCTCGAAGCAGAGGGCTACGCAATCGACGCGCGAGTAGGCACATTTGCCGAGGGAATCGAGTGTGCTAAGAAATTCAAGCTGTGAGGTTTGCAGCCGATTTATAATCATTCAGGGCTTGTCTTAGGGTTGCGAAGACGGAACGTTTCATCATTACTGTGTACTCTGCATAGACTTTCTGTTGTTGACGAATACCCCGTTTGGAGATTTCCTTCTCGCGGTTAGTAGGGCGGGAAATAGACTAGGTTTTAGATTGGCCACTAATCCGGGAATAACATTCTATAGGGTTATATTACCTTGGGACCGATTACTCGTGACGCTCATGATTCTTAAGCCTGTGGCTCGAAGTGAGCCTCTATCTTGCTATACTTAGCGAGTTATAGCTATCAAAGCTTCAAAGTACCTAGGTAAACTGCAGTCAAGAATATAGTAACAAGTACTTACCTAGCTAACCTCAGACATATATCATGTATAATGACTAGAGGGAACTGCGAAGCCCTTAGTATAACTTTCATTAAGAGTACTACTCTGACCAAGCTTGATTTGATAATTATTACTCTTGAACGATTAGTGATAAGTAGTCAGGAAGTATGAGGATAAAGACGACATTAGATATCACAGAAGTATCAACTAAGTTATTTCTAAGTTGCAAAGCGGCTCATAGATTATTTGATTAATAATTTCGGACAGGGAGCTGAAATGATTTCCTTAAGGATGACGTAGTATTATTAGCTGAATAGGTAAAATATGTTTACTGATCAGACGGACTACCGGCAGTAGATTGGCTGGGTATGCGTATATGGTAAACTAGTTCCTACGCCACGCAAATTTCCATGCATTGATGGCATCAGAATTCTCCGTTAGAAATATTAGCTTCCCCGAAGGCGACCTCAGCTAAGTAGATTTCAATAGTATTTATCAGCAATGAGTTTTAACCAATAGTTAAGGCCGGAGTTTGAATGTCTGATTACTGACGGTGGTGGCACCGTGATAGAATAATCAGAAAATGCAGCCTCGGCCACACCCAAAAACGCCATCCGTTGGTCGTCTACCGTCAGCATAACGACAGGTTAAGACTCAGAATAATGAAAAAAGGAAATTCAAGGGCGGTATGCAAAATATATAAAGTGTGAGGGTTTTGAGAGACCCAGCCAACTTATTAGAATACAATTCACACTACAATATATATCACACAGTCTTCAAGAAACACATATTCTACATACAATCTTACTCTAGGATGTCTTCATCTCGCCTAATCGCAGTTGTCGGCGGCACCGGCGCCCAAGGTATCCCTGTCGTACGGGATCTTTTGCAATCCGGGAACTATGCCATCCGAGCACTTACGCGCGATGCCTCTAGCTCCCGCTTCCGAAAGCTTCAGTCTTTCGGGACAGTGGAACCCGTTATCGGCACATTTGCCTCCGAGAACGACCTGCGGGCTACGTTCCGCGGTGCCTGGGGCGCGTTCGTCAATATTGACGGCTTCAACTCCGGCGAGAAAACCGAGATCTTCTGGTCTATTAGGGCATACGAGCTGGCTATTGAAGAGGGTGTGCAGTTCTTCGTCTTCGGGAATCTTGATTACGCTTATAAGAAGAGTGGCTATAGACCCGAGTTCAGGTCAGTTTTCTATGTGATTCGCCATGGGTCCTTATCCTTCGAAATATCTAGGAACGTTAATGGAGGACCGTGAACCCCTGGTCTGGACCGCATAATAATCAACAAAATGCTATGAATACTGTATGCTGACTATTGGATACGAGCAGAGCTGGTCATTACGATGGCAAAGGGCGTATCGGCGAGTGGATCCTACAGCAGAACCGCGAAAACCAGCATCGCATGAAGGCCGCCCTTTTTACAACTGGTCCGTATATGGAGATGACTATCTCCTATAACACACCTATGACCATTTCCGTTGAGAATGGCGTGGCGACATGGCGTCTGCCTCTGAAAGACGGTGCAGTACCCTATGTTTCCCTGGACGACTGCGGTTACTACGTGAAATGGCTATTCGACCACCCCGAACGAGCGAATGGTCTCGACCTCGGAGTCGCCATAGACCACATCGGACGCGACGAACTAGCCCAAGCCTTCGAAAAGGTCACTGGACACCCAGCTCGCGCCATCAACCTCGGCCTCGACGAATACTTCGCCGACGTATGGACGGGGATAGACCCTTCGCTTCCTGCGGGGTACAACGCGGATCCGAACGACCCAGCGACGTTGAGTCTTAAGCAGAACTTCTCGGGGTTCTGGACCACATTTCAGAATTCGGGCGGCAATAAGGGCGTCTTGAAAAGGGACTACAAGTTGCTGGATGAGATTCATCCTCATCGCATTAGGAGTGCGGAGGAATTCTTCCGGCGTGAGAATGAGAAGGGTATTAAGGAGGGATTGGGCACACTTTGGGAGAGAGTCCAGCCCGGTCGGATTGGACATATCCTAAAGATTACAGAGGATGGGAGGGTTGGTACACTGTGAGATTATGGTTGCCGGATATACGTACGGAGATCTATGGATTGTGGATTGGGGAAACCAGATTGGACATGACTCGATTCACAAGGTGCTATTTATTCATAATACATGTATGGAACCTATCTTTAACTCGTAGTTTGTGGGATAGTAGTTTAAAGTTCACCGGACTGAACTTACATATGCAGTGTTCTCGTCGCTTACAAGTCCAGACAAATAGAAATGTTTCAATCGTATAGACACTTATTTCTAATGATTTTACCTGACGATGTTACTCCAATTTTCACTCCTTTAACTATGTCATCATTACGGCGATTGGAAATGGCGCCGGCAGCTCGGATACTAGTCTCCCTATCTAAAATATGGAGGAAGCTTATTAAAGATCTTCTATGTCATGGGAGACGCAAATTAACCTAAGAACCAAGTCGGAATGCTTTATAGCGGTAGTAGATACACCCTTAATAAATAACTACTAGGTATGTCTGTCTATAAAATACCGCACATGGGCCACACGTCTCTGATCAAGCACTACCAACTCTAACGTTTCTTATAACGAACATGAAGCACTCGCGCGAAGCCAAAAAACCAGCGGACGAGCACATTGAACACTTACAGCGCCTGAGGAGCCGCAGGCTGAGCACACGACACAGAGACGAACCAAATAACTCGCCTGAGTCGATTTACGGGCAGCTAGGTCGAAAATCTTCAGAAGCTGTGTTACCACATCAGGCAGATTCAGGCTCAGAGAGAAGACGAGTATCTGCCCCCGAAAGAATCCATAATGCGCCTCATGAGAAGAAACCCAACTGCACTGATGCTAGGACGACGCCAAAAACAGCTAAGGTGCCTGTGCTAGAGAAGTCGGAAGCGGAATATTCTGCAGGGGATACCATTCCTCCTGTTAGAGACATTCCATGGGATTTGCCGGAACAAACGGGTACAACCAATATTTCAACTGTTGCCTACGAGCCAGCATATATACTGCGGCAAAACGCCGAGTATTTTGACGCTGACCAGGATGGAATTATCTGGCTAAGGGATACGTATAATGGCTACAGGAAACTAGGTACGTCTCGAGAGATTTCTCGGCATTGACAGCTGCTGACGGTGTTCCTAGGATGGGGCATTACGTACTCGTGTTTGGTTGCAACTATCCTCCATTCAACTCTCTCATATCCTACTATGGACGGTTACACCCCCGACCCGTTACTCCGAATTCATTACGACAGGAATAGCAACGGCAAACATAGTATTGGCAACGCCTCTTACGATGAAAAGGCGCAGGGCAGGGGTAATCAGGTTTGCGAGAACATCTTGGCTAAATACGACAAGAGCAATAAAGGGGGCATGGATATCCAGGATATCCTACGTTTCTGGAAAGACCAGAGATCCGTATCTACTTCCTACGGCTGGAGCCTCACTATTATAGAATGTAAGCTATGTTTCCAATCTTTCCCTTAATTATAACTTAGGTACCTATTATTATATAAGATACTGACGATTGATAATAGGGTCGGCCCTATATCTTGCACTTCGACACCACAACGGTATCCTAGGCAGTGAAGACATCCGCACAGCCTTCGACGGCAGCGCCCTGTTCAAACGATCCGAGGAGCGGCAGCGGAAAAATGAGACGCATCATAAACATGCCGGAAACGTTACAAGAAATGGGGATATAAATAGAATTGAGAAAAAATTTGATCCGCTGAAGCTTGCCGTGGCAAGTGTTGTCGGGCTCGCTATTCTTATGTGGGTTTTACTGGGTTTATACCGTGGCCCTTCCGGCTGGGAAAAATACTGGAAGAAGGAAGAGACTCCTCAAGAGGCAGATTGGACGAAACAAGGGTTTGTGGATAATTGGTAAGGTGTACTCTTCGTCTGGGCTGTTATACACCCGGATCAACCAGACACCTATGATAAAGAGTTTCTATATATTCAATGATCTAATCTCAAAAAGTTCATAGTTCCCCCTGGTTCAAGAATTTAGGTTTTCAGTCTTTACTCGTATTATTACACGGGCTGAATAAGAGATATAGGGACAAGAGGTCGAGGTAAAGCTGACTTGATAGTTTCTTAGACGGCCAGCAATAGTCAGTTCTACATCGGCGCAAACGGACAGTCTGAATTTCATTATTCATAATTGGGGACTTTATTCATCTCCGAGGGATTCCATCATCCTAATCATAATATCATCGGGCAGGTACTCTCTCCTGCCTAGGTATCTAGACACGCCGTATTGCATGAAACAAAAGCATACACAAAATGATGCGCGAGCATACAAAGGGTATGGGGTAATCGTGTAACCATAAACGTCCCACTGGAGTCTATGATGGGTGGGGTGAATGAGAGGCGTTGATCATTGCAACCACTTCCAAAACACATTGCCCACCAGCCCAAGCCTTGCGGCGTCCCAGTTACTTTTCTCTTCTATAATACTAGGTAGATCCTAGTTGAAGAGACCCTTGCCAGCCCTCTTACCCTTGGAGACGAGCCCTCTCTGTCGAGTGCTTTCTGTAGAGAACATCGGGGCTAATGTTGCATCATCTGTCTGGGGACCAACGTCGGCCATTCGAAATCCCTCACCATCCTTGAACATAGTCGTATAGAGGCCAGCTAAAGCTGCGGCCCAAGAATCCATAGCCTGTACTCGTTCGGCATCGTCGTCTGATTCTATTTCGAGCACACCAGTCTGCTGGTCAATCTTACCTTTGACTTTGCCATCTACGATCAAGAAACCGAGGATATCCTGAACCTCTGCCTCCGATATCTTGAGTTGTCGTGCAATCCAAGCAAGCTTCATGCATGTGTAAGGTGCGATCAACTTGACAATGGCTTTGGTACGCATATTGCGAGTAACCTCGTCAATATTCTCCGCGATGAACGGGTCGGCCAAAATGTCTTGATTCTTCTGTAGGACGTTGACGTAGGTTTCCATGTCGTCTCGCTGGTACGCATCTACTAGCTCGGTCATGGCGGCAATGCGAGGATCGTTGCGGTAAGGCTTTGTCTCTTGCGAATCGAAAGGGTTGATATCGGACTTCATAAGCATGGTGGTAAGGAGAAGATATTTGAGGACCTGGATTCGCTGTAGGGATCCGGCTTCGTCATAGTTGCGGAACGACTCGAAGAAGTCGCTTTGTGCATCTTTCCAGTTTTCTTCACTCATATGCATCTTGCCTCCACATTCACGAATGATACCCATGATCTTCGGGTGGGGTACCGCAGAGCGTACCTTAAGCGCTCTCTGGTACAGAACCTTAAGCTGCTTGTTATTGCGTGTCTCGGCATACATTTGAATCTCCAGGGCGTATATCTCTAGAGAGTAAGTGCCTTTGCTGGGGTCGTCCGTACCGTCTTCTCGTTGACAGACTTTCTGTAGCTCACGGAGCTTCTTAGTAACTGCAAGATATTCTTTACGGTCAAGGAGAAGTTTCGCTAGCTTGATATTTGTCTTGAGCCATAGACGCTCGTTGTTCGTTGTCTGGAAACAATTCAGCGTCAAGGAATAGAACTGCTCCACAGCTTTTCGCGCTCCCTCGTTCTCCGACTCCTTCTCGATATAATCTAGCATTTTTGTGATGGATGTCTCGGAGTAGTTACGCGTGACAGCAGACTTGACGTATGTGAGGAGTTCGGTGTAGTGCTCTACAGCCTGGGTTTAGTTAGTCAACTGCTAGAAGTGAGGGATTGTTTGGCTAATGGGGAACCTGACCTGATCATATCTTCCAAGCCGAAACTCTAGTTTGATAGCTTGCTTCAGTCCTTTGAATCCCCAGTCACCTTTCTCAGCCTCAAGCTCGGGAATGCCCAGAAACTCTTTGAGAGCTTCTTCGGGATCATCATCCTTGATCTGCTTCGCATTGTAGTACTTATTATCGATATCGACGTCGCCAGAGTCCTCAACGCCATCTTCGTCCTCGTACTCGAAGTCATACCTGCGAAGTTCAGTTATTAGCGGGCCGGTAATTGAATGGGGATAGGTACACACTGTTCCTCATCGGACTCTTGCATGAAATCCTCGTCGTCAGACATCGTAACGGTATTCGGCGTAGTAGATGATGTAGTTGTAGAATATGTATGGCTTGGTATGGATAAATAGTCGGATTACGTGGAACGCGGGTTTTTTGCTATAGAATTTCTTGTATGAAGTTGTTAAAGTTACGCTTTTATGCTTCGACGTGATGCGAACGGTACCTTTATGTTATCGGAGCTCTAAATGACTGCGGGAATCTACGACGTGGGGCTGCCTGGCTTTGTGGGGTTACTTCCGCCTAAGAGGTACTCAGGTACCGGTGACCCCTGCTGCTCTGCCAATTGAATAGATTAGGTAGGTACGTACCACCCATGTCTCTGCAGTAGGCGTGGCTGGGCATTTTAGGTGGCAACCATGGAAGATCCATAGGTATTTGCGACCGAACGAACAATAAATCATCCACTTCAACTTCCCATCATCATTCTACAATATCCTATCGCTCTTCCCAACGTTTGCATCGCCTAAGTCGCCAACATGTCGTTACAACTCAAAAAATCTTACCATCCCGCCCTCCTCCGAAATCAGCGACGTGTTTACGAGGAGGAGCAAAAGGCTTTAGAAGAGCGCAAGAAGACCGAAGCTCGCATCCAAGAGATTAAGGAAGAACGCGCCAAAGAAGAACTCCAAAAGCAACTTGCTATCTCCGGAGGCCGTAAAGTTGTTGATCGCGTCGATTGGATGTATCAGGGCCCTAGCGATGGCCAAAACGGTACTTCTGAAGAGCTCGAGGGCTACCTGCTTGGAAAGCGACGCATCGATAACATTCTAACTAAGGGGTCCGATCATGAAAATCTCAAGAAGACTGCGGGCCCAGAGAGTTTCATGGCCCTACAGAATGCGAATACAGAAAGAGATACCGCGTTAAAAATTCGAGAAGATCCTCTTTTAGCCATTAAGAAGCAAGAACAGGCGGCATACGAAGCCATGATGAACGATCCCATTAAGAGAAGACAGCTACTCGCATCCATGGGACAAGCAGATGAAAAGAATTCATCACACAAGAAGGAGGAGAAGCACTCGAGACGGCATAGGCATAGATCGCATTCTAGAGAACATCGCCACCGCCGACATCATCGATCCGACTCGAGAGAAAGAGATGAATCAAGGGAACGGCGACACAGGCGTCGCCGGGCTGATTCGAGAGATAGGTCCGAAAGTAGAGATCGTCACAGCTTAAGGAAAGAGAAAGAACGTTATGCCGAGCGACCTAAGCGGAGGGAATCGGACTCCAGGGATGAACACCGAGATAATGATAGATTGGGCAGAGATCGATCAAGAAGCCCGCGTCGTAGTGATACCAAGGACGATGGATATCGCCGACGCCATGAATATTCTAGGGAGCGACCGCGAGAACGGCAACGGCATTCGAACGATCAGAATGATGGTGACCGCCGTGATTACCGCGATCGACGGCCACACAAAGACGGACCCAGCAATAATCGCCATAGTAAGGTCTCCGGTACCGACAGCTCCGCAGAATCAGCCGCAGAAGAGCGAGCTCGCAAGCTCGCAGCTATGCAAGAAGCAGCATCTGAACTCGATCAAGACCGGGAGAAGCGCTTAGCAGCACTCGCAGAAAAGGAGCGCCAAGAACGAGAAGCTGATGACAAAGCGCGGGAGAAGTCTGGAAAATATGGAGATAGGGAATTCGTGAACGGTTTACGGAGACAAGTTATCTCTTGAGAGAAAGAAAACATTACCGCAAGACCGGTACCTTAGGGTAAGGTCTCTTCGGCCTAAATCAGCGATACAGGGGATTTTCTCAGGCTTCACAGCCTATACACAGATAGCCATTACTCGACTATGAAGGCAACTCCCACAGGCCTACCGTTGGTAAACGTCATTATGCAAAAATGGCGACGACGGGCCGTTTCATGACTTGGACGGATGCGAGCAAATTTAAGTCTAATTTCGAGTATTTTATCGCTCGATCAATTGATTTGGAATGGTTATGCGAGTTACTCAAAACTCTTCGTCTAATAGAAAAAGTCTAATAGAAAAAAAGAAACTTCTATAGCCAAAATGGTTTTCGAGGGAAAAGTACTACAATCGAAACAGTAAACGACGCTGGGGATTAGCTAACCCTAGATATTGTAGATGTTGTGTTGGAATGAAGTAGTACGGCGAGATATAAGCACGAGCTTCTAATGAAACGAATATTCATACTACCTACCTCTTAGGATCAATTTAAATACAACTTTAGGTACCTACCTGCTAATTTCACCTATTTTTAAGAGGCAAGGCTAATCGTGAGAGTTCTCAGAAGAATCAAATCTTTGGAACTGTCAAATCGATTTAGACTAAATATTGTATTTGTCCGATCATCCTGTCCCTGCCCCGTAACACCTTCGCTCGATTAGTTCCCGACAATATCAATATCAGCCTTCAATCAGTTTCTGAGCCGTCGTAAATGAGCGATTAAGAGCTGCCTTCGTCATCACTATTGATAACATCGTAGTAGTCGCCGAACCTGTCGAGGTAATCCGAGTCCTCATCCCGTTCCTCAGCGTCCCCTTCGTCATCGTCAGCAAAGACCTCATCGAAGTTGTTTAGAGCCTCTTCGTCTTGGTACGGGAGCGTATCGTTGCTGTTCAGAGTCAATTCGCCCTCCGCGTCGACTAGGGAGTCGTCAAATTCAAGCTGGATAGCATTGCTCTCGTACTCCTCCTCAGCATCTTCGTCGTAGTCGGCCCAGTCGCCGTCGACGCGGTCCGTGATCTCTAGGAAGAGCACGTAGCAGTCGTCGACTTCACCGTTGGTGATACTGTACTCAACGTCAGGAGACTTGAGGATCGCTAGCCCGGCGTCGATGTCCGATCAGATTAGGTACACCTTGGTGCCTGCTGATGCGTTCTTGTATGTGCAGATTGCTGGGAAGAAGATCTCGTTGTTGGTGTCGGTGGCTGCTAGCATGCTTGGCGCATTCTCGCTTTCATCATCGGTGTAGTAGAAGGGAGCAAGCGCACTAGGAAATCGTGGATGTTAGCTAGAGAATGTTGACTTCATGGGATAAGAATCCTTACACATAGGCAGCAGTTGCTGGAAGCTCCGTTTCGTCAGCTGTACGGAGACGACTAACACCGAGCTTAGACATGGTGTTGTTGTAGTAGTGGAGGACGCCGCTGTTAGGCGTCGCCAAAACAACATCTTCGTATCCAGACCACAGCGTTGTGCAGGTGCTGTGGTATGGGAGCGAGTTCTGTGTTCCGTTTTTCTGGATGTATAGATTGCCATCGTCGCATGCGGCAAGGGTGTACTCTCCATTAGTACCGTTTAGGCTAAGGGTGCTGTACCAGTAGCCATCGAATTCGCTTTCGTCGATATTATAGGGGATGTCAGCAAGTTGGAGTCCGGGAAACCCAAGGTCTGCATCAGCTTCGATCACATATTCCGTCAGGTCGTAGAGCTGGGAGCTATTGCTAGTCGAGTTGTACGAGGCTCGCCCCCTGAGCTGGGTGTACGCGGCGTCGGAGATTTCCAATCGGCTCTGGAGTCCGAGTCTGCCCTTGCTGGTGCCGTCGGTTTTGTTTCTAAGACGAGGTGTGTTAGCAAGGCATATAACATATGAGACTGTCTAACGAGTCAGTGCTAATATGCGTGTTTGAAACTTAGCCAATACAGTACGAAGCGAGGATATGGTCGGTACCATTCCATAAACTCATGCTACCCTTAACGAGGCCAAAGCCGTTGTAAAAAGCATTAACATCGTTCTTGACGCTAAGCGCAGTGGAAATTCCGGAACAGTTATTAGTAGCCTTTAACCCAGCATCAAAGCTCTTATCCGTGGCATTGTAGCTGGCTTGAACCGCTAATACTGCGGCAGCCTTAATTGACGGAACGGTCTCGACACCAACAGCCCCCTCGCACTTCGTGCAGCCGTTGAAGGTGGTTATAGCAAGTTCCAGACCAACCAGCACGCCAAACTGAACGGCAAGCTCGACAGATCATTCAGCCTCGAATGTAGCCTTGAATTGAGGCTCAAAGCTAGTCGATGAAGAGCTGCCCTTCTTCCAGTCGTAATGATACTTTGCGCTGGCGAGACTAATATCAGCCCGTGCGAGGGCGGTACCGGTCATGTTGACGCTGAACTTGAGCTCGGTGCCGATTGAGATGACAGGACCAACACTGGCAAAGCCTACAGTGAACGGCGTAACAGGGATATCATAAAAGTTGTTCCTGAAAGTGGCTTCGCGATAGTACTCGGCGTGGATACCAAGACCGACATCAATGTTGAAGTTCATTTCCGCGACAAAGTGACCATCGGTGATACCTCTAGTAACTTCAATGGTGATGTTGCCCTTTGTCTTCAATGATCCCGTAAGGCCGCACTTGACACAGTAGAAGCTGATGAAATTGCCCTTGGTCAAGGATGTCTGTTTCTTACTTCCCGAGGGCCGCAGGTTCTGGGGGGACGGGAGCTCACCGATCGTCTTGATCAGAACCGCGTCACCCCACGGGCTCTGGACAATCTTGACGCCTCCCTTGGGCTTACAGGCATTTGCCACCTTTTTCTTCTCATCGGCAGTCTTGGCATTGTCGCATTCCTTAGCGGTGAGAGGGAGGAGCAGCTTGTCGAAGTCCTTCTCGAATTTGTTGGGCTCGCCAGTCAGGATATTTTTGCCAACTTCAGCGACAATCTTGCCGACCTCGTATATCGTGGTAGCAGTCTTGACGATGTTCTTTTTGGCGTCTTGGACAACCGTCTTCGCCCGCTCTTCGGTCTTCTCGGCAACCTTGTTGGCGGCTTGGGAGAGCTTATCAGTTATGACGTTTCGCTTTTCGATCTCGCTTTCATCGGCGAACAGGATGTCCTCTACCAAGGACCCGTAGGAGAAGTTGCCGGCTTCTAGATATCCAAGCTTGTCATCTAGGTCGTCATCGAAGTAAGGCCTTTAGCGAAGCTCCTTAATAACTGAACCCCAAATCATGCAATATTTCGGATGCTTTAAGCATAGCAGAACGGAAGACGGAATAGTGAAGAAGATCCAACCCCATCTTTATATACTGTGCACCTTGGCCGGTGAAGATGAAAGCTATTCCCGTGTCTTGGCTCGAGCGAACGCGGGCAGAGAATAAGAAGCTAGCCCTCGAATGCTTTTCTTCCGTATTGACGATGGCGAAAGACCTCCACATCATCACACTCCTCCGGCCGGCCAGCGTGTATCCGAGTTGACTCAGCCGACTTCGAGATCTAAATACATGCTTCTCGAAGTATCGAGTATATTGCTGTATTATACGCTTGAGAGCGCTCTCGTCCTTTGCGGACCATACTAATAGTTCATATTTGGAAGGTGGCTCGGGGGCTCCCGGGGGGGCGTGTCCGTTAAACGTTAACGTGGAATTGACCTTTTCCCGAACAGTCCCTTCATTTGACTGACCATGGCCCAGGTTGAACCCATTAGTAGAGGATTCTCAGTTGACCTTCCCGTTTGATTGCGACGGTTGAGTTGATGGTGATGCCTGCTCTCTTCTTTCTCCATTCTGTGCTGTTCCATTGGGTAAGGCACCGTTTGCATGATTTCCCTTAGTTCCGCAACCGATTTCTTTTATTAGTTCTTCAATCACAAGTGTCTTATGGTTTCCATTCTCACCAAGCCTCTGAAGTGTATGGCAAGCGTCATCCAAGATAATATGGCCGTTAGATCCACCGAAACCAAACGAGTTAACAGAAATCCGACGAAGTCCATCAGACGGTCATTTAATACAAGAAGTTGGAACCTTGAAAGTATCAGTGTTAGAGATAAGTATGGTAAAGGCTCAGAGTTTTCATATATCGATATTATTTGGCGTGGCATTGATCTTGGGGTTCCACTTTTCGAATAGGGGGAATAATCCCCTTTTCCAGGATCAAAATAGCTTTGAGGATACCGGCAAGACCACTTCCGCCTTCTAAATGGCCAATGCTAGTTTACCATGGGCCTCCACGTAACGCGTTGATTCGAAGCCCAGATTACGACTTCTGTATACGGACCGAATCAACTCTTCTTGAGATGCGGCACCCGGTTGAGTGAGCCCAAGGGTATGCGTTGTTGGAATACAGCCTCAAAGTTACCGAACCAATTGCAAACTGTATTTTGGATTGGCACCGCGATTCGTATTATCTCCCGTGGCTTACGTTCCACAATTCACCTTCAGACTGCATAGAATTAGGTAAAGCATACGGGAAACGACGGCGCGATTAAGAGCACCGTGGTCGACTATTTCCATCTGATTACTGGCGATGTACAATTTGAACGATTTCACTGCACCAACCTTGGAATTTGATAAGTCACATTGGCACATTCCACATCCTACTTCAGCGAAGCAGGTAGTTGACATGTCATTTGCTGATGCGATATTGGGTAGGTAGTGAACAAACATCAGCTAGCGAGGTCTTGTTCCTTCATACATCCAGTATGTCGGTTCTGGTATATATGGTTCTGGTATATAGGGTGCAAGGGAGTGTCCGTGGTGGATGTGTTGCTGCTCATGACTTCCCTCAAATGATACCTCAACCCCCCCAGTATCAGGGATGTATATCGGTAGCTCGTATCCTCCCACACTATCATCTGTGTTTTCATCGTGTTGTGGCGTAGTGTTTCTCTGTACACTCCTCCTTTCCACCGATGACCAGCCGCTGAAGCTGTACCAATGCTTTCGAATTGAAGAAACTCCAGGCCAACTACTCGGACTGAGTTTCACAGCCCGGGTAAACAGAGGCCAGCATATCGGAAGACATGCACAGACTATACCCGTGCAGCAGTGCACTGTCGTCCATACTTCAGTCCTACCAAACGACGGCTCGCGGCTTCCAGGTACATAACTCAGAATAACTTTGACGACGCCTGAAAGAATGGCGCTTTTGGTTGTAGTCGGAATTAGTTCAAAGAGAGCAATTATGAATGGGCATTGTCAAAACACTTACAAGACGCCTAACAAGAACACACCCGCAACAGCAAATTTCTTGCTTTTATTCAGACTTAACCCTATCACTACCCTAACAGGCATGATGATAATCACGATATCTAAACAAGCCTCCACGATACCGCTGGTGAGCCAAAAGACGTTATAATTGAAGCAGTACCGTGGGTCATCAAGCGCATTATTCCATGTCCATTCGAGCGGAATGCAATTGAGCAGATCGGCGACAGTGCATCCGATCCAGAAGCCTGCTACAGCCGCGGCAACGATGATGACTTGACGACGAAACGAGGCGTCGACAGAAAACAGCCGGTTATACATCAGTAGAATAGATACTTTAGTCGCAGAAGTGATGGTGAAGTAGAGCACTGTCCCGATGTAGCTCAGTTTGGTGAACTCGACATCTGCGGGTGTGTATTGGTAGCTGGGGTCTGTGTTAGATGCCACCTCGGCGCCATCCGGATTCACGCTGGTCGCTGAGAGAGGTTATTCGTAAGTCAATGGAAGACCTAATTAAGTCTCGTTCAATATCCTACGAATATCAAAAGGGAAACAAACCGTACAGTACCAACACGTCGGTCAGAATCGTAGCTACCAATGCCACTAGTATAAGCCAGTCATCCCATTTGAAGCCAGCCTTTGTATAGTACCGCGAGTAGAAGCGTAACCCGACCGCTATACCGGCTAGAACTACCACTATAGCTCCGACGTCGGTTGTCACATCTTCGTCACTCATTTCAAGTGAAACATATCAATCAGAGAAGTATTCTAGGAAGTCATTTCCTTACCTAGAGAAGCTTACTGACATATGATGACAGCGAATGCTCTCGAATAGATATACGTACGTTCCGTCTCTTATCGGCGTCGAACTTGGCTTCATCGTGCCCGATAATCCTTCTCGGAGGAATGGAGGAATGGCTCTAACATGGTGTAGGGCTACGCTGCGTCATTTGTGAAGACGTGGTGTTGGTAGTGCCCGAGTTTACGAGGGATATTGTCAGACGATCTTTTTGCCTGGCCATTTTTCGAAATAGGAAGTTCGTCCGTGCGCAGCGTTCGAGCGTTTTTATTGGGTGCATCCTCGAATTCTCACGTGCTCTTCCAGATCCCCACTTTCATCTTTTTCTCGAAATACGTATCTTTTTTTTTGCCGTAGCTTACACCAATTACGTAGCCACGCATTACATACCTACCTACAAGAGCCTGGGTTCGAATCTTATATGCACTTCTTTTTTTTTTTTTTTTAAAGAATTCTAGCAAAGGTTAATATTCGAGGTTGTCCGCCGCTGCTGCCGGGGAAAGGCGCTCGGCGCGCTTCGTCCCCGGCAGCAGCGGCACGTGATCGACATGTTACGACCTTCGTAAACTCGGGCTATTGTGGTGCCCCGCAGGGGTGCCCTCATGTACAAATAATAAATCCTTGATGCAAGAAGGTAGGTATTAATATGTACCTACCTAGGTTAGAGGTAGGCAAGAGTAGATTGAGCAGGATCTGACGAATGATGATTGATTTGTGGTCGCACAACAGACGATATTTCAAGTAGGAAAAGCGGGCCCGGACCGGATTCCCCCCTGTTTCTGGGTTCCATGAGGCAGGCTAGGTACTGGCAGGTTGCAGCAGGCCTGGAATACTACCTATGTACGCGCCAGATGTAACTTCCCTAGAGAACAAGGAAATAGGGAGAGGGAAGGGGCGGTACCCGACGCAGCAATATGGACATTTCTTACGTGATGAGAAAGGCAAAACTTTTCTACTTTTTCACTCGACCTAGATATATATGCCGTCTATCATCTAGGGATTCGCTTCCCTTGTTCGGAGCAAGTTGATCCCGTATTTTCGTTCTAGACGAACGTCATTTGTAAGTCCGCCCACCGCAGAAGTATTTCTATCGCCTCGCTAGAAGTGGCCTTGAGACTGGCACTGATTTGGAGGATACATAGGAAAGCCAAGCTACCGACATGGGGACAATATTATCAAAGAATGAGTTCCCCGTGGAGGGCAAGGTACGCAATCGAGTCAGCTCAAGTATAAGGAATTGAATTGACAAACCTGAAAGACCGTGGTTATCACCGGTGGCTCGCGAGGTATGGGGCTTGCGGCTGGACGTCAGCTCGCTGAAAAGGGGGCCGACGTCGTGATTGTCGCTCGCGACCAGGAAAAGCTGCTTCAAAGTCTCGAATATATACAGGTACATTATCCTAATTCCAATACTCGCATGATATGAAGCTGACTTCGCTATAGCAAGGAGCTGTGAACCCTCAAACACAGCGTTTTCTTCAGATTAGCGCCGACTTGATCAATCCATCCGAATCTGTACGCGTCATCGACCAGGTAGTATCATGGAACTCGGGCAAACCTCCAGACATCGTGTGGTGTTGCGCAGGCAGCTCGTACCCAACGTTATTTATTGACACGCCCATATCCGAATTCCGGACCCAGATGGATAGCAACTACTTCACGAGCCTGTATATGGCACATGCAATCCTGACGTGCTGGCTAAAGACATCACGAAAAGCCACCGACGATGTTCGAACAAGCAACCCAGCCCCCGCACGCCACCTCATATTTACCGCTTCTTTCGTAGCATTCTACAGCTTCGCCGGTTACTCGCCGTATAGCCCGTCCAAGGCCGCATTGCGATCTCTCTCCGACAGCTTGTCTCAAGAGATGAATCTGTACGCCGCAGCCCACCCAAACGATCCGCCTGTCCGGCTACACACCGTATTCCCCGCCACTATCTACACTGAGGCGTACGAGGCCGAAAATCGCATCAAGTCCGACCTGACCAAGATGCTTGAAGAAGGGGACGAAGGCCAAACGCCAGAGGTCGTCGCTGCGAAGAGCATCAAGGGACTTGAGAGTGGGCAGGAACTTGTTACAACTGACTTGTTAACAGGACTAGTAAAGCGTAGTATGCTGGGAGGTTGCGCAAGAGGAGGTTTCTGGAGAGTCTTAGGTGACTGGTTTCTAGCATGGGTTTTAGGCATCGTGATGGTATTCGTCAGGGACGATATGGATCGAAAAGTAAGGACATGGGGCCGAAAGTTCGGTGCCTCGGGTATGAAGCAAAATGATAAACATGCCTAGGTTTGAAGTAACAGTCATACCATCCAACGAGTTCCGTCTGTGCTATTAATATTCGTGTTCTAGGGAACCCAGAACATCATCTTTAATATATGATACCTTTTGGTTTTAGCCTTGTGATAGTTATTAAGACTAGCTCCGTGACAAAACTTTTATCCCGGGGAATATCGAGTGCTTGTAAATGTCAGGAAGACGACAGGACTTAGAGAAGTAGGCAGAAAATGATAAAGCCTCGAGAATCGCCATGCTGGCAGGTGGATGATTATCAGTAAACACTTGAGCTGTACCTATTGTCTGTAGGCTGAAATCGAGCAACAGCCCAACCGCCTTGTTATCTGCCCATAATAATCTCTTTAGATTCGCGGGTACCAGTGCTCTGGGGTGGCATTGCATAACAGTTACATTTAGGGTCTAGATGAGGCGAATTAGCCAAGCCCGCCAATTTCTACAGGCAGCCTACCTAACGTTGCAGTAAAGGGCGGCACGTTTTTCGTACCTCAATAAACAAGTACCTGTCAGACAAATGTCTGTCCGGCATATAAAATGTAATAGAATAAAATCTGTTACCAAAATAACCTTTTAGTGGTATAGCGGTTTGTTCGACAGTACCTAATATATGCAGTCAAGGTTTCTATTGGTCAACCATTCAATCTGTAAGGGAGCATTGTGTGATAGAGCCGATCATCCTCCCTCGCATCTTCTTACAGCTTGGCGGGACTCTAAGTTTCCTTTCAAAATATCAAACAATATACGAAGTAGTCATTTGATTTAAAAAAAAAAAAAAAGCCCTACACAAGGTATCTATCTACTTATGACTTGGGTACTAACTACGATGTACCGTTTAAATATAGAGACCAATCAAGTCATTCGAGCCAAAAAGGGGGCTATCATTACTACATTTCACTGATCTGCAACCAAGCTCCAAACACCTTGGCTTCAACAATTACCAACTTTCAAGGGAATATTACAGAGATATTGCCAGTCGTAGAGCTCTCTCGATTATTAGTTGAACGACTATATTCTCTTCAATTGATCGTGCCAGAAACCATGTCTTCCCAGAGGAAATTCCAGGTGACTTCAGGAGGCGAAGGTTCGACTAAATCATCAAATAAGACTACTTACACAGTGTTACTAATTAATCCCCAGAACGTGTCGGTAGAGTTGTTGACGTGCTAGGCCCAGCTTTCGAGTTCGACCCCATATTCAGATTCGAGCTTCAAAACTTCTCCCTAGCCGAGCAAAAGCGGATACTACCAAACCTCTTTCACAGCTTCTTCTTTGCTAGTGCCATTAACGATGGCATGCTACTCGAGGCGGACAACTTCGGGTCTTGTGCTATTCTCATGCCGCCCGGAAAGACAAATGACAACTTCTGGACCGTGCTCCGAGCCGGCCTGATACCCAGACTCTTCACCATCGGACCCGCTGCTTGTAAGGTACGTGTCCTACCCTATCTAATCAACGTACGAAGTCTCTTTGAGATGAAAAATACATGAATCTCATGTCTTCTAGCGAATCGTTTTAGACTACCCCGGCGCGAATAAAGCCGCAATGGCGAAAGCCCTCACGCCTGCCGAACAGAAAGCACACTGGTACGTCTTCATCATGGCGACAGCAGTGGACCGTCGTCGGGAAGGGCTTGCAAGCACGTTACTTGTGTACATGAAAGACAAAGCCCGAAGTGATGGACGCCCGCTCTGGATCGAGGCTACAACAGTGGTGTCTCGGGACCTTTATGCCAAGCACGGCTTCGAGGTCGTGACTGAAGTTAATCTTGGAAAGGGGCAAGTTGGTCCTGACGGTTTGGTGAAGAAGGATGGTGAAGGAGTTACAGTATGGCCGATGGTATGGCGTCCTGAGTATTAGCCAGCAGGGAGTTATGTTGCGAGTACGATTGTTGTGTAAAAAATGTATAATAATATTAGAATTGGGAATCCATGGACCTGATCTCAAAGTGAAAGGTTTACTTAACTATTTCGGAAAGGTAGGTAGAAGTATCTTCATCCGGATTGAAGTACCAAGGGAGTTTCACGGTGTGAGAGCGTGGTATATGTATACATTGATATTTATATGAGCCTAGACTAAAATATTTCAGACTATATTCCTACAATGCCAGCCTCGAGAGCTAACTTTATATGGGCAGTCTAGACCGCATACGCTCGTAATACTAACCATACGTCCACGGTACTTAACGGGTCGAGGATAGAAACTCCACTTAAAATCACGAGCTGTGAGTAATCTCGTCCTGGTTGATCTTAAGCGAGAAATCCACATGCGGCGTGCCTTGGTGAATCGCGCTCGTCGAGATGATGTCGATATCTAATATACTATCGTCAGCAAGGAATACGAGGTGTGAATCAACAAAACTCACCATTATGCGCATAGTTAAACACGTTGTCCTCGCGCAAACCACCAGAAACCTCTATCAGGAATTCGCGTTTTCCCTTCCACTTCTCCCTCAGATTCTTAGCCGCAATCCTGACACCATCTCCCGTAAAGTTGTCCAGCATGACGACGTCGGCGCCAGCGGCGATAGCCTCGTTAGCCTCGTCCTCGTTTTGAACTTCAACTTCGACTTTGAGCGAAAATCCGCCAACCATCTTGGCAGCCTTCACGGCCTCGGTGATACTGCCGCGGCTCCACACGTGGTTGTCCTTTAGCATAATCATGGAGCTTAGGTCCATGCGGTGCGTATCAGCCCCGCCGACCAACATGCCGTACTTCTCAACTAGCCGGAATCCCGGCGTCGTCTTGCGCGTGCCCGCCAGCACACCCTCGTATCCCGCGCTGCGTAGGGTGAGTAGCATATCGCGGCTGACGGTAGCGATTCCAGAGCATCGTGCTAGCAGGTTCAGCCCTACCCTCTCACCTAGTAACAAACCGCGCGCAGGGCCTGTCACAGTAGCGACCTTAGTCTTGCCCGAGCCGTCCTTAGGGCGGTCGATATAGCCCCCTTCTTTAGCATGCCATTCTACCTCGCATCCGCACTGCTTGAATATCTCAGTGAAGAAGGGAATGCCAGCAACGATACCGGCACTTTTAGCCCAAAGGGTAGCGCTTCGAGGGTGCTCGCCGACGACGAAGCCGGCGTAATCATACGACGGCGTGTCCTCGGCTAGCCAAGCGGTAATCTGAGACTTCCAGCTAGGCGGCAGGAGGTGCTCCAAGGAGCCGTGGTGGATGGGCTGATCTGTATGCATTGGGGGATGTTACGAGATGACGTAAACTGAAAAAAGATGTTTGCTCTTGAACGACTGAGGGGCTAGCTATGTGGAATTTAGAAGCTCAAAGTGTGATGTTGTTATTGTAGGATATGATGATGGGTTCGTATTGCGCGCTTGTATTGGTCAGGATGAAGTCACTTCTCGGAATTTACATGGAGGTAAATACATGCAAACGTATGTCCCGTCGCGGTTACCTACATGAATGTACATACATGGTATCGACTTGAGCCGGTTCAACCCGCTGGTGAGATCAATTGCTGAGGTGGGGGCGGGGGCGGGGCACTGCCGATCTATTCCGCTGTGGGTGAGCTTCTAGAAGATGGCCCCTCACTACGGCTGCTACAGGAGCCACACAGCTGCTGACAACTGGAATGAGTATCCGATTTCTTCCTAGGTTAAACATTTACGCCTGTACTTAGGTAGATACATACATTTTACCTGCGTACAACCGCGTCTCTTGTTACAAAAGTCGCGTCTTAATCAACTTAAATCCAATCAACTCCCCTTTCAATAATACCTTGATCGACTACAATTCTGCGAGCATTTTGTGAGAAATGGTTTTGTAACTGGATCCATAGATCTCATCTCTCCTACCCACGTATCCTTTGACTCTCAATCTTTTGCTCCTAATAGCTGACGAATGCCCCTGTCTTCTACCGTTGCTTGATGATCTGAAAGTGGAATCGTGCGGACTACTTCGGGTTTCTTAACCAGCCCGGCATCCTTGATATCGGGGAAGATTCTAATGGTGTTGATTGCCTTGGGATCCACGGTAGCCTGGAGGGCGTCGAGAGTTCTGGTATGGTAAAGGGGCTCGAACACTCCGGCCGTCGGGGAGATTTTGATAGACCAATGGTAGAGCGCCTGGCTGAGGTTGATATGGTCTAGGGCCCGAGTAGGTTCGAGAAGCTTTTTTATAGGCTTCGGGGAACTGCGCCGCATGCTTCGTGAATTGGGCTTGCAACTCACCTAGGAAGTCGAAGTCAGCCATTAGGTGCATATTCGACGAAGTCGGCGGTCGGCCTTCAGGGATAGGGCAAAGTAGGCTTGGGCTCCTCGAGGTCATGTTCACTGGCGATGCGGTAGCTTCTGAAGAAGCAGTCGAGTTCGAATATGCGCATGGCTGTGGCTGGGGCTGGGGTTGTAGCGGCCCTTGCGACTGCGTTTCCGGATTCGCTTGCTTGGTATCGCCAGTTCCCGTTCCGTCTCGCTCGAAGGTCACCACGACGCTTTGGTACTGGGTCAACGGACCGAAATGCATGATGCATGGAGCTCCCATCTCCATGTACTTGTTCACCCATGCGTGTCTAACAACGGCGAGCAACAGCTCTGGGCGCCGATGATAGATCATGATCACTAGCTTATCAGGGCTCTCGTGGATGACGACGCCATACTCGGAAAGTTCACGGAATCGAATCCCGAGGTGGCGTAAGGGTATAGCCCGAAAGCTGCAATTTACCCTAGGGTCACTTGAAAGAATAGGACGTGCCATGAGGTTGCTGGCCATATGCACGTCGTCCAAGTTGTAAGTATTTGGTTTCATCCCGGGTTGCTCCATTCTGTGAATCGAGTCGGCGATGTTGCGTATAGGGGTGGTTTCCGCGGGCTCAGTGTAGGTTCGATAGACGAGGCAAAATAGCCAATCATGAGGCGGCTTTATTCATAACCAGGTAAGTGACAAAAACCATCGATGGGCCGCAGAGAGATATCTACGAAGAATAAGGGTAACCATAGAATGGAGATTGAAGTTGCTTCTTAAATAAGTACCTACCTGTTAGTCATACTTGACGCCATGACAACGGCAAGAAAGGTTGAAGTAGTTCAACGCACGTACAAATATGCGTATGTCGCTATGGGAACAGCGTCTAGATTCTCACTGGTTCGACTCGACCTTATCTAAACTCTCTTCAAACTCTGGGGCGTCAAAAGATGCGGGAAAGACGTTAACACGTTTCCCAACGATACTGCGACCCTAGCGCTGATAATATTGTGTCTATAGCACATGACGCTATGCTAACTAGCCGACAGCAACGAAGAGGCCTCACACGCTAGCAATTGTTATTATAATATCTCCTAATTAACAATTTGATCTAGCTAGAATTCCCTATGTAAACCAGACGTACCTATACTATTTTATCACCAACCGTATTATCACTCAACTAAGTCTCAACAGATGGCAAGCTAGGTAATAACCCTACTTGGATGCGAGTTTTCATCAAGACTTCACGAGTATATTTAATTAACGAGCGCCTGGGCTTTATAACAGAAGCTAAATACAACTGCTAGCAAGGTCCCTTATTGTTAGACTACCTTAGAATAGCTGAATACTTCAATGTTATGTTAACTTCTCAATTTAACCGACGTATATATCCCGTAGCACAACAAGTACCATCTTATATCAACACCAGATGTCCTCCTCCCGCTCAGCATCCTAGCCCTAACCAGTGGTGGGAAGACGTGCTTTCGAGTCTGTTGTTTCTGTTAGCTGCAAGAAGGTTCTACTCCTAAAACGACTTATAGTAGAGAAACAAGAAGATAGAGGCCTAGCAGAGAGAGGTACGAATGGATACTTCGGTAAGAAAAACCAGAGGAAAGTATATAACTAGAATCGTAAAAAAAGAAGATAAACGAGGGAAGAGAAAGAAACGACCGATTTCCAATGCAAGAGAAAAACATGAAGCGCCACCAATGCAAAACCCAAAAAAAACGAAGGAATACCGTGCCATGCAAACAAACCCCCTTGTAAATGCGCGCAAATCTAAAACACCATTTTCCCTATGAGAAATGCCTCCGCGGCACATAAACGATCCAGCACCGTAAGAGAAACAGGTGCGATTTTCCTAGCGCCTCGCCAACCAGAAAGCCCATGGAGTGATCAAACGACAGACCGAAAAAGGAGAAACGGGTAGAAAGGAAGGCTGTTAAACTTAGTACCATGTCGGCGCGGCAGGCCAGTGCCGCAGCATATTCTCAACCGCCTGGGTCCATTCGTACTCGAAGCACTGCGCGAGTTGGTCTGCTTCCTCCTGCGTGGGATCGCGGCCTCCCCACATCTCTCGGCGCCAGGCGTCTGCTTGCGCGTATGCCGGGATTAAGCCCCTGTTCGAACGAGGTGAACAACTATTACGGGATCGGAAGATATGTGGGAAGAGAAGGAGGTTTCTGGGAGTGTTCTGGGGGTAGACTTACTCGTCGCGGATCTTCACCAGGCATAGCCATGCCAGGTTCCAGCTACGGTTCGAATTCGGGTCGTTTCGGACGAGGTGATGCGCCTGGTCAACCAGGTCTCCCGAGATGGGATAGTTGCGCGTCAAGCCTCGTAGTTCGGTCAGGAACTGGTTGCTGTTCACATAGTAGTCCCATGCGGAGGTCATCGGGGCCTGGAAAGCTTGCGCGTCTTCCTCGTTCTCGCAGCTAGCGGCAACTCGTTCAATCCGGCAGAGTTCAGTAAGCGTGTTAACTCGGTGGGTGCGTAGCGACTCGATGAGCTGCTGGTGGGATGACTATTATGCTCGAGGTTAGCTAAGAGAAACTACCGGGTTGGCTATAAGCTTTGAGAGTTATGAGTAGAGTATCAAGGATGGCTGGTGTTGAGTAGTAGGAGGAATTTACGAAGTAAAAACCGTCACGCACTTGTCTTCCCTTGTTACCGCGGGAACCTCTCTGGCCACTTCCACTTGATCGTGATGAAGACATTGTGAATAACCTCACAGTGTGTTCTAATGTCCTTTGAGTATCGTTGGTGATGGAATTGGCCTCAAACGACGTGTTGGTCTTCGTCTTTAGTGGAATGTCCCGAGTAATTTGCTTCTCCTAACTGAAAGTGCTAGAATTCGATAGCTTCGGAGTTAGATTTTTTTTAAGTCTTTGATGAAGTTTCTTATGAGGGACGAGTTTGACTTGTGTCTTGTTAGCTAGGGGAGGTTGTCGATGTTTATATCCTCGAGTTGAATACCTTGAGAGCCTCTCTCGGTAGCATAAACATAAAGCACGACTTACCAACTAAAGAGTTAACCAATTGAAGCTACTAAAGTCACCCGAGAGGTGAGTCCATGTTGGCAAACGAGGTTGAGCCCGGATCGTAATCTGGAACAATCTAATCATAGGCACAGGCCCTCTTCACAGTATGATATTAGGAAACTATATTGAGAAAACCAATTATTGGTATAGTGACAAGGCCGTGAGATTGCGCCGGTAGTTTCCCACACTCGGTGACGAAAGTCATGGGAGGTCCTAGAGAAACACCCTGCTCGTGACTATCGTCCAGCCATGAAGCTATCAAAGCATACCGATTCTTGACGAAATCTATGCCCTACCATAAGGCTCGCCAATAGCAGCGCTTTGCACTAGGGTAGAATTAAAGTAAGTTGACCAGTCAGACTCAACTTGCAACTTGAGCTAGATAGGACGTGATCCGACCTTACCTCACCCACACATGCGGGCTGATGCTGACGTCGCTATCCGTCATGCTAGGCGTTCGTGTCGCTATTCCATTGCTGAAATAGCTATTACTCAGTATAGTATAGAAATAGACTATAAAGGTTAGAGAGTTGAACCTGCAAGTAGCTCTTGTCGGTGAAGACGTTAGAGCCGCATCCTGATTGGATAACCGTAGATATAAGAGACCCGTAGAAAAACTAAGCTATTACCTTAAGAAAGACCCAAGAGAAAGCAGAAGTGACGAGAAAGGAAGCTATTATTCCATTCCGGATCGTCGTGTCGTTCCTAAAAAGAACACCTGCTATTAACTTCCAATAGGATTTGAGGGGTGTATTCCGTCGTTGACTTACCCATGACAAGGTTAGAAACCGTGCGAACCTAGAAATCGGCCGTTCCGTGGTAGCGAGCTGCAGCTCCCTGTCAGTGAGAATTTAGTGGCTTAAGGCTGTAAATCTAGGCTGGATTGGGGATCATTGTAACTCGATTCGCAATTTGGAGGCTGATTTACTGGAAAGACACCCCTTGCCGGACAATTATTTAGTTTAGTTTAATTTTCGAAGCTATCTTGAGATGGCGAGATGCGAATTAAAGCTAAGGTTAGAAATAACGTCGAAATAACCTAGTCCAGCTGGGCCAGGTACAAGGTTGTATGACGATAGTAAATATAATATATCCTCTACCAGTGCAACGTCCTGATCAAGTAGCGTCTTAATGAATATTATACGCGGATAGGGTGCCGCCGGATGATAGACCCTAGCATGTATACCCATCCGGACGTCTTTGCTATGCCGTAGGAAGTCCATACCTACATTGTATATTTGCATACAGCAACGATAAGCGAGGAGGCTGAAATAAGGCCGGCCAATAGTGTTGCTGTCTTGTAAGTTCTGAGATATAATTGGAAAAGCTTTGTCATGGAACAAGAGTAGAAAGCTTTTGGGTGTTGGTCTGTGCTTGTGCGCCCTATGGATGATCTTAACCCCCTGGTCACCCGAGAACTCAGAACTTCTAGAAGGGGGGCTACGATCTTTGACGGAAGTGAGCCTATCTGAGCAAGGTCATCATCGGTGGCCTCACAAGCGGAGAATTCCGCGCACAGTCAGGACTTGTTCAACTATACTGTTTGGCCTGTGAGCCGTGAGGCTGCTGACGCGGGATGAGACAAGTTCGTCAACGCCCCGGAAAGATTGTCCGGTACGGATTGATGACGATGAGGCGATGGTAATTTTTTAGCATACGGGGAAATGCAACGACGGGATTTATTATTGGATCTGTCTAAGACAATGGCCAATACTCGAATACTTGGCACGTCAAACCGAAGTCCTGGATCAGAAGGTAGAAAATGTATCCTTTCCGGCGGGGTTGAAAAAACATGCCAATGAGAATTCAGTGTTCGGTCGAGCTGATCTGGTAACTTAGCAGGTAAGGCTAGGGCAGTGCATAGGTACCTAGGTACGAAAGAAGAGTTGAACTCTGCTGCCATTGGCTGCGTAGACGCGATTTTTACTATTCTCGGACAAGGACACCCTTGCATTATCGAAAGTGGGGGGACTTCTAGAAGCAATGGTACGTACTTTAGATACCTAAAAATAATTGGAAGCGCGGGAGAAGCAAATTCCGGGGTTTGTCTTCTAGTCATCACGGCGTCGCATCGTCACATGCATGCAATGTTTAAAGCTTTTTGGATTACATTTTAGGAATGCATGGCCGTGGATGAAGCCATCTTTGAGTCGGCCCGCGAAATGGATCAATATCGGATTTTGAATATCGCACGACCTAGAATGAAAGTTCGATTATCTATCTCATCGGATTTATAGTGCTAGAGCCGACGAGGTCCGTATAAGATTCGAGCATATACAGTACCGCATGCAGTGCTTGAGTCCGTGTGTAAAAGAACGGCGGGAGAGGATCCGCTACTTCCATACTCCATCCTTGTAAGTCAAAGAGCCTCTTGCATATATAACTCAGTACAATAATAGCTGTCTCTCTCGGCTGGTTTAAGCTGACTAGGAAGAGGCTTTCGTGGCCCCGATATTTGTCTTCTTGGGTCGCCCGCTTTATGATCCTTGACAATACATGATGATCGGGAGGTCGGCGAATCGACTTACTCCTCGTGACGTTCGGGTAATTCGACATCATATTAGCAAACAGGCCTACCCCCGTCCATGTCTCTTGAGGCTCATATCACCTTCATCTAGTATCCGTCCTTGGTAAGAAATCACTTCGCTTAAGATATTCTAATAGAAACAAACATCTGATCTGGAGATATCGAGGGGGGTATACTAATCGATTGATATGCATAAGGTAAGTTCTAAATTTGGTCCCTTTAGAGACCGGTTTCATCCCATTTCATGCCCCAGCATGCAACTCTATCCATCATTATCATTATCATCAAACTTCTTAGTTATCACCGATTAGGTCCGGCTCGGTGGTCTGAAGTTTAGACGCGCGGCATGACCTCCTAGTCCTATTACCAAACTAGGCCGAGGTGAAGCGACCTAAATACTAATAGCGATTACGACTCAAGGGCATATCCTCTCTTGTATCATATAAACCTTCTACTCGGTGAGTAGGTGAACCCAAGGACTTCTAATTTGCGAATTCAAAGCATTACCGCTAAAGATTAATAAAGTCTGCCGCTATTGTTGGTAGTGTTGAGTGGCGGTGTAGCCCCCTCTTATCGCCGCGGAGATCATGCAAGATAGGCGTGAGTATAGAAGCTAGTCGTTACAGCTTTATAGTAGCTTCCGGATTCAACGCCTTCAACAGACCCATGTAAGCAGACGCTATCGACGTTCCTATCTTATATATCAGAATAGCATCATGCGTCGTTGTCTTGGTTTTGGTGTTCGTCGACGTCAGTCTCCTCTTCGTATCCATCGTCCGTACTTTCAAGACCTTCGCCATGAATGGCGCAACTTCCCAGCCACCCAGCAAGTGCCACCCCTGCGAATAAGCCCCAAGCAAGAGCCTCGCCCTTCGGCTGAACATGAGTTGAGACAGTATAGAGTCCGCCGGAAAGGAAAGGGCCTACACTTCTGCCGGCAGCCGAGAGAGTCTGCGCGATACCATTGAGTGTACCTAGGCTTGCGTGGGTTGGCGCTGAATTTGTTATCTGAATACGCGTTAGCTATGCCTTGCGGTGGGCTCTTCTTGCTTAGGGTAACTTACTAGTAACATAACGCTTGATAAACCGCCAACAGCGCAGATATTCTTAATGATCAATACCACGCCAATTTCTAGGTACAACCATGTTTTGCTGTCGCCAACTCCAAACGGCGGATTGGAATCCACGTAACCGACAAACGGCATCAATGCCATTGTCACCGCGAAACCGAGTAGGGAACACTGATAGGACCTAACATTTCCTAGGCGCGACTTCAACGGCCTAAAAAGGAATAATTGAAATAGGATGGTGAATGCTCCCGCGACAGAAAGGGATACACCGATAACATCTGCATGCAGGTCCCTGCCCGTGGGCGTCTGTCCGGACGCAAATATAGGGTATAGACTATTGAAGGAGCTATTTGATAGCTGGAAGACCAACTGTGTGGTGAGAAGGATTATAGTCGTCCGGTTTAAGAGTTGCCGCCACGTTGTTGTATCTTGCGATGATTTCGGGTCGTCGCCGCTCTGTTCGTCCCCGTGAGATTCTAGGAGAGTAGTCTCCTCCCCCACATCCTCCTCGCTAACCTCTCCCTGCTCGTTGTCGGCGTCTCTACCTTCGGGAGAAGCCAATGAATGTTTAGATCCATTACGAGCTTGCTTATTAGAACTAGAGAACCAGGACAGTCTCTCGATCCAGTCTGGGATATCCCCCTGATCTTCCAAGGTTTCGTCAAACCAGATACCCAAAACAACCACGCTAAGCGCCAGAAGCGAAGCTCCTAGTATATTCGGAGCTAAGAATGGGTAACTGTCTTTTGCAAACCTGCCCGCCAGTAGTCCACCAAGCGCTGGGCCAGTAATACTTCCTAGGCTATAAACAACAGGTAACCAAGTGAAAGCCTTACTCTGGTTGCTCCGGTCGGTCAATTCTCCTAGGCAGGTGGGTACTACAGCCGCATTGCCATTGAACAGTCCCATAGCTACGTGTACCAGGACGATATGAAAATACCGAGTACAAAATCCGAAAGCTGCAAAACAGAAGCATAGGAGTAAAGTACCGAGTAGCATGACGGGTTTCCGACCGATAATATCCGATAAGTATCCCCACAGGAGATTAGTTGCTAGCTGAGCCAGCGCAAACGCGGAAGCTAGTAGACCGACGTATAAGCCAACCTGGTCATGACCGATTCCAGGAAATGACTCGATCATCTCTGGCAGATAGGGCGATATGGAATTAAGTGCCGTCTGCTCGGATAACGATAAAAGGGCCAGAAGAGCCAACTGCTTGACAGGCAAAGGCGTCGTCGCGCCATGGTTATCATGAGCGTGAGAGCCGGATGAGCTTGAACCAGTATCCGGTCTCCGGCCGGCCGTCCTCGGCGGTGGCGTTGGAAATGTTTGGTAATGATGCTGAGAAGACAGACGGCGAAGTGTCGAGGATAACCTGTTTGTTGGAAGAGAGGGTAGCGGTGAGCCGGCACGAAAACTTCCCATGGAAGCTGATCTTGCTTGCGCTCTACCTGGACGGCCGGCCGGCGATGTAGCCGCAATAGTTGCGGCGCGTACCATCTTATCTTTTTTCTTCTTTTTTCAATGGTAAATCCGAGCTCGGAACTTCAACTCAAATATTCAAAAGCCTGTTCATGATATAAGCTTACTTAATTAGTCACCGAGCAACTAATATTGATCATAAAGGAATTGATTTAATACGCGTAGAGTAGGTAAGCGTAAAATAAAACGCCCCTTGACTCTAAGGAGAGATGTAAGGGAAGAAATGTTAATGAAGAGAAACGGCCGAGAATTTGAGGCGATTGGGGAATTCGGAGATACGATTCCAATGATGTAAAAAGTCCATTCATCATTCCTAGGCCTAATCATTCCATTTTCCCCTTGGTTTTTCTGGGCAGATGCTATCGATAACAGGTAACAGAGCATGAAGTGGTTGGTAACTACATCCGTGCGCTACTGCTTTGTATCACCGAAAGCTACCCCACGCAGCTGCCTACATCTTTGGACTAGGCTAGTGATGCACCTCATGGATCATGCAGTAGAATATTATGTATGTAGGTACATAAGTCATGTTAACGATTACGTAAGAGGTGTTGCGAACAGGTTGATAAACCATATAAACTTTAAGCATTTACCTATGAATCTTATTACATAGGTAATCTATTTAAGTAATATATTCGATGCTCGGAGTATACGTGTCTTGTAGGTCCATCTAAGTGTCATTTAGATATTCGCATTTATTATTTGACTGCTGGTTCAACTTAACTCTATATGTAATAGGTACTTAAATCAATCTACCGTACATACCTCTAATGACACTAATGGAGGCTAGCAAATACGTAGTGCGGGGTGCAAAGTCCTAGCTTTTAGTCCTATGTTAGTTAGAAGTACTCCGTACTTAGATTACCTATTGTACATATCTTTCGCTAGTGCACAGCAGAAGTATCTGTTGTGCAACTCCAAAGCAGATTTGCCCTGTTTTATTTGCTTAATGCGTGGTTTAAAATGTTCAACTTATGTCTTATTCTACTTAATTGGTAACCTATGAGAAAATGTGTCTCATTGCTTAAGCCAATAATACTTTGCTTATTTTCTGTGCCTTTCTGGCACTTGAATAAAGCGCTTGCGTGAGTACTTTATACTCCGTATAAAAACTATAGTTAAAAGCCTTCCATGCGTGCTTTGTACAAGCTTCCAATCCCCCGATTACTTTACAAATATCTATTATATATATAAGAATACTCAGGCAAGAAAGGCAATTATCAATAGAGTTAAAACATTTAAATTTGATATTATATTGGTAAGGTTAGGTAAAGAATAAATAATCTTATACATAAGAGGTAGGTATGGCCCATACATGTATGTTGGCTTACAGTTTACCATTCAAGAAAACGTATAACACATGCAGCAACACACCCATTTAACATGTAACCAGCTCGGACATCGCCTCGGAGAAAGAAATGTTCTCATGTTAATTCATAGATGAAATGAGTACCTACTAATATATACTATTTAAGATATATACCTATATAAACCCATTCTCCACAACCCATGCATGCGTAGCCATTCTAGATCCAGTACCATAACGAAAGTCTGAGTCTCACCAATATAAACCAAAGTCAATATATGTAGTTCTGTGACGTTTCGTATCGTTTCTCATGTAGCGAAAAGGGGCATTTGTACTTAGGTAGTTGAGGGGTTTCTCGTACGTGTTACCAGAAATCCCAAGACCCACCGGCTAGAATCATTTAATAAACTCTGTTGTAAAACGTTCATGGAAAAAGCGAAGTCATTAAAAGTTCTGGGGCGCGTTGATGCCTAAAGCTTTCTCCAAGATCCGCCAGGTCGGAAACTTCAAGTTGTAAATGCACCTGAATGAGTCCCAGGCAAAAGGGTCAACTCATTTAATCCTTCTTCCAGTTAAGTAAGTTCGACAACGTTGCCGACAATCGTTTCTTCTCCTTAGGGACTCCGACCGGAATATCCTTGGGATCAAAATCTGGTCCGGTGCCCTGAAGATGCGATACCGCATTCTGCTGCGACGTACTGTCGGTCCGAAGACTCGTACTACTACAACAAGTACTCGATTGGTGAGTCCCGTTTTGTGCTGTGTCGTTGACCTTATCGCAACATGGCACCAGGACGCTACTCTCATTCCTATTGCTCGGAATATCCAACGCCGGATTTCTAGTGAAGAAGTCGGCCGGACGGAGATGGATCTGGTGGATTTCGACGGGCCTAATTATCCCAATCCAAAAACTTGTTAGTCATGCTCAAAATGAGAAGAGGTGGGATGGGAAGGGGCTCGTGCTCACATCACGGGCCAATCCTCAACTCGCGGATTGTGCGTAAGGCCGAAGACGCTCCAAACTACAGGACTACTCTTCTTTCCCTTTTTCTCATCGGCCGTATCATCGTCATGGACCTCCCCATCCGCTGTCCCATTCACACTATCAACCCCGCCATCATCAACGAACCAATCCCCCCTCTCGACCATCGTCTTCACGCCACCTTCCTCCCGCGGCGCCTGGTTCGTGAACTCACCCGCAGCCCATAGTTCACCATCTCTATATCCGGTAAACCAAAGGTGGTGTTTTGCGAAAGGCGCCCTTGCAGCTTGGACACTCTTATCGTCTGCAAGCATGAGCTGTGTAGCGCTGGGAACTAGCTTATAGCCGACGTTCTTGCCGCTGATACTGTTCTTTTTAGTTGTGTGCTCTAGGCGCACGACTCGATTTAGCTGGGGCTCAGCATCTGCAAACCCGGCGCGCTCAACACGCTTTCGTCGAATCTCGTATGCGTTGCCGTGAGGATTTGTTTCCGGGTTCATTGGTATGGGATGGCTTTCTTCAAGGACTACAGCGGTGTCGCCGGTAATGTACGAGTCGATAGCCGGGTCGATACGTACCGCGAAGATGTGCTGGTGATTTTGTGCCATTACTCCTGGATTGACAACATTGCCATATCCTGATACTTTGCCCTCGTCGATGGGTACGACGCTTACGATACCTGTGGCCCGTGTTTCGATCGAGATACCACCTGCTGTATCTAATTTGTATGCAAACACGTATTCGTAATTCGCTAGCGTGGCGACGAATTGCACGACTAACTCACGTAGGCGTGTCACCACTGCACGATTCGTCCGGAAGTTGGTGTGTTTCCAACCTATGCCGTTGTCTTGCTCATGTAGACAAATTACGTTACTCGCCAGATCAGGCTTACCCTCCGCGTTGGGCACTACGCAGTCGAAGTAATGTATTGCGCCTAGACAGTCGCATCCTAGTTTCAGGTTGTTGGCCGCGCGTCCGATTCCACCGTCCCCGAAGTCAAAGGCTTGCTTGCGTTGGAAAGGTGGACGAGGGTCACCATACGGGACAGTCATCTCGGAGAAAGATAGCCGGTATACTATGGGCCGGTTGTCATAGCACACATCGTGGAGCACAGCGCCCTCACGGGCCGTGAAGCCAACGCGGAAACGCCATTTTTGCCACTCGACAAGATTGTCGGCGTGGACTTTGAAAGACGCACCCTCCGGTTGGGTAACATTGATGGGTTTTAGATCGGTGCGAAACGGCTGGTCCAGCAGCTCCGGGAAGTATTCCGCGGGGCCGCAATTCTCGAACAGCTTCTTTGGCTCGCCTCCAGGAGGGGGTGGATACAGACTGTCGCCGATTCCTCCGGTGGCGAGGCGATCCACCCTTATTAACTTCTTGGTAGCTGTATCCATGATAGGGATTATAGGTAAGGGATAAGAGTAATGGTTGGAATCAATATTGTTCTTGGAAGCATCACGGGCGTACACGAGACCTTGCATGTAGCGAGGGATGTTCTCATCTGGATCTGGGCCGCCGTATGGCCACGGATCTATCGTGACGACGAAGTTTTCTGGTAGGATGAACTCTTCCATGGCTGACTTGAACATCTCCGAGGATACGCAGGCATCTTGGAATATACTGAATTCGTGGGCTGTGTAGCTGGTCTGATATCGCGATTCAAACTGCTTGCTGCTTTGAATGACTCCGGCGTCGACATCAACGACCGTCTCCGTGAGTTGAGCTTTTCCATTATTGATGACATCATATAATAGTTTGACCTGTCTCGGCGGGATGGACTCGGGTATCCGGCCTTCATGTTCCGCAATGAGGAACTCAGTCAGATCCGTCTTCTTAGGCTCATCGACTATGGCAAAACGAAAAAACAAAGCAACCCCGTCTCCTGCATGTGCTTTAATCGCAATATCTCGAGCTTTTGATAGCTCATCGGGCGAGAGCGGTCGTAGAGGATGAGGAATCTTTGATCCTTGATCGACGGCCATGTTGCTAATGGTCAATTTGCCTTGGTTATTTTTTTCTGAAGCTCCAATGCTATGAAATCGGGTCAGACTAATATGGAAACAAAGACTCGTTACGACAAAACAACAACTGTCTTATTGATATGCGGTAAAGTATATTATTAAGTCAACTAGATACACCTAGGCAAACTCAACGGACCTTAGCTCGATACTCGACCCAATTTATATACCTTACTCACCCAGATACCCTAAAAATCGGGGAGGCCTCTGGCACGAATAGGCGAAGAAGTGATTGGGCAATGCGGGATACCCTAGATACAGTTAGTCTAAGGGAAACATGCACGTATGTGATCTTCGTCGGCCTCGGTACCAGAGCGAGCAAGCATGTCTTAGATCAGAAGACCGCCACCCGGTCCGGTTCGGTGCAGCAACGGTGCAGCGGTGCGGGCTGGTGTGGGGTATCTCAAGGTATATCTTAGGGGTATTAGGGGCATTAGGGGGTATTAGGGATAGAACTGATAACTATTCGTTCTTTATTCGGCCTTGTACGTATATCATCCATGTCACCTATTTGTACTAAGACCGTACTTACAGGTGACTTACAGGCGACTTACAGGCTTGCTACATTGCTACAGGCGGTTACAGGTTCAAAGTGGGGTCGAAAAGGCTTTCTCCTCGTCCGCTCTCGCCCTCTCTCGCCCTGTTTTTGTGTGACGCCCTCCGATAGCTTATCATTGTGGCATCTATAAGCGTCAGAGGAAAGCTTGATCGGGCAAGTCCTTGCGAACCCTTTATTTTTCTGATTTCCTGACTGCCGGCATCCGCCTTGATGGGTTGACGGCGTCGTCCGAGTGAAGCGTCAAATATTCGCCAAGCGCCCCCAACTAGTATTGGTCTCCTAATATAAACTTTCTCTAGATACTAGATACTAAATATTAGCAGAGCGCGCATTTCACACATGGCGAGATATATCTGCACCGGAGATCAAATGCGGAACGCAACCTGCCCCCCCCAGTAGTTTGAAGACTACTTGATTAGGTATTCATACGCTACGACGACGGTCTATGGTCTACTATGGCAGGCCTCCCACGCGCTCCCACCTACATCCGTCATATCACCAGGGCCGTAGTGGAGGGGAGGTATCGCAGATATGACAGCCGACTCCGCCCGATTCAGGCTTGACATCTGGGAAATCCCGGGTAGGCTTACCAATGATCGACCCCTAATGCATTCAAACCCCGGCTTATCACAAGCTCTTCAGCCGCATGTGCGTCTAGGTATGTGTGTGCGACCATCCCAGCATCCAGGAACATAAGAGAGGCCTGAGGGATAGGTCCATTGTCCATGTATGTATGCACGTCTGTATTGCGGACCGCCCATATCGGTTGCATGATATATCACTCACTGCCGCGTCCCGGTTGCTTACCAGCTGGTTGGTGCGATTCAATTCTCTCATAAGACTTCTCACGAGCATTCTTGTCGAGGTGAGGGCATATACCTCATAGTGACGTTCAATATTCAACACTATCGAACGATAAAATCTATTAGTGAGTAAAGGTTGAATTATCCCGTTGATGTTTAATAGCATGAATAACTAGGCGCAATCTAGATATGATCAATGTGAGAGCTTGTCGCGGCAACTTGAGTTATTAGGAGGCTTCGTGATATGACGATAGCTTACCTATCCGACCGGTGTGCAAGGTGACGGCAATGCCGGGCACATTCTAGGTTATACGAGAATCTGGCATTCCTATATGGTAGGACGGCACTCGTGTTATTCGCTTCTGGATTTGGCGAGACCACGTTGTGGAGCGTACATGGCTTATCTCTGACAGCATCATTTGGGTCAAAGGATTGACCGGAGAAGCAATATTCAACGCTGCGGGTACCGCGGTGGTATCTCCTACTTTTTTGGATATTTGGTTCATCATCTTCGGCAGTTCCTAGATGTTTTGTTTTGTCTGGGTCTTAAAAGCCTCTCTATAGGTGGGAGCCGAAATCAGCGCTTCGTTGGTATTTGACTGTTATATTTGTCCTTGGTAAGGCAGAAGAGTAGAAGAATAGCCGTGAGTGATACAAGGTGTACAAGGACTAAACAGCTCAAAGACGTTACTCCATGGCGGAATGTATTGCTGTAACCCCTAATCCATGCATATGTACCTGTCCCTCACCTCACCTCATCGCTCGTTTGAGGTATTGAACGAAAACGTAGCTTGCACTTCTAGTGCTCCTGGCACCTTCATGGGAGTGGACTTAAACCGACGACGTAGCTAAATGGGAGTATGACAACTATAGATCAGATAATGATAAAATAAATAAATTTCGATCGAGACTAATCTCAATTCGTGATGTATATATAAAGGGTATCTTCCCACGCAATCATATATTCCCAAAAACGACCAATGTACCCCCACCCCGTCCACACTTACTCGGCCTTCTCGCCTGTCTCCGTCTTAACGGGATCCTTCGCATTCGGCGGCGTCTCGGTACCCGATGCCGCTTTCCCGTCGATCGCGGTAGCTTCATTCTCTGCACGGATAGCCTTGACATGCTTCTTGCCCGACAGGTCGAGCGCAATTGCTTTGAAGGTCCTCGCTAAAGTCTTGCGTCCCTCGAAAACAGGGAACAGCCCCACGGCGCCGAGAGAGCAGAAAATCCAGATGATACCTACGGTGACCCAGCCTGTGAAAAAGGGCTTCGAGAACACGTAGCTGCTACCATACATAGGGAATGGCCAGAGCACCAGGAATGCGAGCGTCAGCCCGACCGTCGTCCACTTGGAGATCTTACTGGCCCGCGACAGTTTCGCCTGCTCTTCGACTAACTCGTTCGCCGTCTCTACGTGCCCTGCCGCCGTCTGTTCCAGGTCCACGCCCGCCGTAGTAGCAAGTTCGTGGTCATCACCCCGGCGAATAGCCATCATTGACTTCCAGTCGTAGTTATCCAATCCAAAGATGAGAGTGAAAATAGGAATAAGCACCAGCGGCGAAAGAAGCGCGACGACGTTTCCAGCAAGCATGGGGTTATTGGATCCCGTGCATGTGACATCTAAAGCACCGCACTCCTTGCGAGCCGTGACAAGCCATGCGATCAAAGCAAATGCGAGGCCGAAGACGGGCGATAGCGCTGCGGCCCATTTGTTCTGTCCTTTCCATACGAGGGTTAACGTAGCGGGTATCACCGCGGACGAGATGATGCAGCCCATCATGAGGTAGAGGTAGCCCATGGAAATGCCAGCGTAGTAGAGCCCAACGGAAAATGTAGAGATGAAAAGAGCGTATACTACGACGATAACGTGAGACATATAGATGAGGCGTCTCCCGCTAGCATCTGGTTTGAAATAGGTACGGTAAAGATCGTAAGTGAAAATAGAGGAGACCGCGATCAGCTCAGATGATGTAGCCGATGTGACAGCCATGAATATGATGAGAAGCGTACCGACCGCACCGCCTTTGCCAAGAAGAGCAACGGCAGCATACGGCAGCACGAGGCCGGCAGAGACGTCGGCTTCTGACATACGGTTGGGATATGTCGGGAATGCGGGTGTATCCTCTAGAGCTAGAGCAGAGAGGCCCATGGTGGTAGCAGTTAGCCACGGAATCGCGAACCAGCTAAGACCACCAATGATATAACCGGGAAGAGCGTGAACGGGCGAAGCAGCGATGGCTTTGTTGTAGTATCCATTATCTAGGAACACGGTGCCGAAGTTCCCTACGATGTTGATAACGAAGAAGATAGCTCCTTCTTTCGAGCGCATGGTCAAATAACTTCCCTGAGCATTGCCTTCAACCGGGTGATTCAACGCAGCTTCGACTAGGAGATCATAGACAGCCGATGGGGAGCCGAGTTTATCAGAGGAGGCGTAGGCTGTCAAGGAAAATATGATGATAATGATGAGTAGGATGAAGGTGTGAATCCAATCCGTTAGAATCGTCGCCTTTAACCCGCCAACCATGGTATATGCTATGACGCCAACGGGGAGCAGATATATAGCTGCGATAGTATGCATTCCCGTAAGAGCATTTACCGTAGCCGAGCCGCCAACAACTAGCATGAGACTGACGAGGATATTGGTCACGAGGCCGAAAACCATAAAGACTGTATGGGGAATCGTTCCGTAGCGAGCCTTGATTCTTTATCGGTCGTAAGCTTCACGTATACCCAATAACAATCGCAATTAAAAACTTACACTTCGAGGAATGTATGCGCATTAGGTGCGCGTCGCTTCAACTCAATAGCCAGTGTCGCGAACAGTAGAATCTGAACCGTAGCTCCTGACGCGTACCAGAACGGACCAGAGACGCCATATCTATAGCAGACGCCGGAGCTCTGTAGAAGTGTAGCCGCCCAAGTCCACGAAGACACGACGGCGGATCCGACCAATCCACTCTTTACCGTGCGGCCGGCGGTGGTGAACATTTCGGACGTCTGGAGTTCTGAGTTGTACCGCTTGAGGATGAATGTGACTAGGATCTTCATGTCGCAGTTAGTACGTATATCGTTCCGAGAGCCCAGGACGAGATCCTCATGCGGGTCAAGCTGGCGGGGATTAGAGAAACATGTATAGGTCACTACTTACCATTCCAAGGGCGAATCCAAAGCCCAGACCCAAGACGATGCCATATCCAACGCCCTGATCCAAAGGCGCACCGACCGTTGCGGTTGCCATGCTTCTTTCTGCTGAGATGAAGACTGCGAGATGGGATCAAGATCAAGAGTTCACCGAAGGTATCAGCAAGTAAAATCACCTTTTAAGCGGGACGTGCCAAAGAGGAGGCTAGCATGGTATTATATATCTCCAAATTGCCCAAGCTGCGTTCGCGGATGGCTATCCAATGTATGATATTTATTTTGCTTATCAGTGACCTAGCTCTGCGCTCGAGGCTCTCCCATGTACACCCCGGATTGGCGTCCTGATATGGCGCCCTACCACAGTATGCGATGGAACAAACCCCCGCATACAGGGTCTCGCCTGGGAATATACAAAAATACACAAAGGAGGGATACCGGCCAATGTCTCACCGGGACATGAGTCGTCGTTGATAAACGAGCCTATCACGTTCCAGGCCAGACGGCTGGTAGTGGCTGTATCTACCGAAGAGGGATACATTGCAGCAGCTCTTTCAACTGTAGTCTGGAGCCTCTTACCACGTCGCAATTCAAGGTTTAAAGCTTGCGTAAATTCTTCGACATTTCGAGATCTTAGATACCGGCATTCGATAAGGTCGGCCAATCTGTCGCGGGGAGCTTCTTGTGACTTACACGGTAACTGCATTTGCCAACTCTCCCGATCTGCCTGCCTGGACATGAAGCAGGCTGCACATATTGCACATGCTGTAAGCAATACTAATACGAAGCCATGACCATGACCATGTTCAGGACATGCACATCTTGATAAGCACTGCAAATAGAATCGCAATGTCAGATCCAGGACAAAACGAAACTAGGGTCGGGGATCAACGAGGTTGCAAATCTGTGACCCCCATCAACGTGTAAGCGGAAACTTATCAGGAGCCATTGACCAATCCTAGAGTCTAAAGAGTTGGGTAAGATGATAAGGAATGCGTGGAGCTTCCATTCGAACAGATATCTGCGCTCGGGCGTAGGCGATATGGAGTTAAGATCCGCTAGCAAAGAAATTATAAAGCTGCCTTATGTAAGTGCCGCTGGTGTCGATACGCAAGCAAAATCGTCCGATTGGTTAGTTGGGAAGATCTTGGTTGAATGCCGGGGAGAAAGAGGGACGGCCGTGAGCTTATCGATGAAGTTAGGTACGTCACAATCTGAGTTGAATTGATATTCAATATTTGAGAATGGCTTCTCGGTGTAATGATATCCCAGAGCTACACTGCCTTATGAGAAAATATGGGCTTTGAGATGTCGCCATAGTAAAGACTTATTTCATTAGTTTAGGGAATTGAGTCTTGATAACAATATTTCGGAATTGATTAAGTTGGTTCGGCAGACAAGTTTGAAGCTTCACGGAGCTAATGTGATTTCATCCTAGTCGAGGCTTGATGTAGTGTGGTCTGTGCGCATACAGCTAAGAATATAGCTGCAATATTCCTTCGAATATGCATCGGTCGCGTGGTGTAGTTGGTTATCACGTCAGTCTAACACACTGAAGGTCTCCAGTTCGAACCTGGACGCGATCATCACTTTTCTTTTTGGTCTTCCACTACCTGGTTCGCCCTCATCTACTTTCTATTATTTTTTTGCCAATAGTACCTAACCTATATTCATACCATCACGATTGTTCTTTGCATGTACATGGAGATTTCGGGCAGTGGGGTCCTCGCACACCAAAAAGATTATCAAGAGGTTTGAGAAAACCCAACAACGGTTCTTGATGTGCAGGGAAATTTAAGAATTTCTCGTCATAAACCAAGCATCGAGGGGCAGCAGAAATATACTGGCTGCGAATGCATTATCAAGTATGGGCAGGATTTCTAGTCATGTTCTTCTCAAATTAGAACATCGAGATATCCGCATTTTCTAGAAATAATAGAGTCTTAGCTGCCAACTATAACTTTCCCATATCCTTTTTCTCATCCATCGCTGCCAATACGCAGCAGAGTCGCCAATTACACTTGCTAGCTTAACTGCCAGTGGGTCTGAACGTAGCAAATATCGTGATCTATGATACCTTTGCCGACAAGAGGATTGAGCTGTTGGAGGCCACTGTCAAGGGCAATAGGTAATAGAGGCGGTACCAATCGTACCAGCGCAGATAATCACCTTGGCATTCCCGACAGGGAGATCCTTAATGGCTCTGTCCGCTCCGTTTCGAATCTGTATCGAATGAACCTATCTTCATGTAACCAGCGATGAAGCTACTAGTTAGCCGAGGAAATAAAATTATATGAAGTGTGGGAGATAGAACCGGGAAATACTTACATGATGTCCCTCTCGAAAACCTACCAGGAACTTTAATAGAGAAAACTTACTCTGTGGAATCTTGAGGATTCTCCGTCTTAGAGTGTTCAATCGATAGGACCTCAGTGTCTAGAGGGACTGGTAAATGCCGGTCTTTGGCAAATATCCTGTTCATCAAGGCCAGCGCAGTACTGTATGCGCCTTGAGGGAACTTGTAAGGTGCAGAAGAGTTGAACTCAGTTGCGACGGGCATGAGATCTTAGTCGACACCTGGAATAGCCGTTTGCAAAGCGTATTTTACCTCGCCAATCTCAGTCTGGGACATCTGGCCGCTATCAATTGGGTATATCTCAGGCATCTGTGAATGTTGAGTCTTGAAACTGAATGCTTTGGCGTAATTATCCGCTATCTTCTTTGTTTGAGATAGGAGACGACTTCGGTAGGGAAGTATTTTCCCAGGGTCTATGAGCCTTCACTGCATTGAACTTTCGCCTTGATGCTGTCGTAGATAGTCTCATTAGCTTCTGGAGAGTTACTGGCACCACGACCGTAGTATGGTCACGAAGTATTGAGAACATGGGTTGAGAAAATGACTGTTCTTCTCTCGACTAATATAACCTTTTTCTTTTTCCGAGCAAGGTAATCGGCTATAGATCCACCCCTGGAACTACTACTGGCGGTATTGTAGCAGACTACATCAGCATCGATATAACTAGTGAAGGTTGTCCATAATGGATGAAGTAGTTTGTCGAAGTGCGAGTACGGTTACTATAGAGTTGATGGTGGGAAGGTAAATATAACTAGTTTATTTACATGAATAGCTTCAAGGCATCGCTGTTCAAGGTTAGGTCAGCGATTTCGATAAGTCAAGTCAGGTCAAGTATGTTAACCACAGCTTTAGCCACATTAGCCACACAATAGTATACTCTACCCCAAAATCAACCAGCTACCAATCATATTACATCGAAAATATATAGGTATACCCTCAATTTATATAATTGTTACACAAAAAAAGCATTTACGATTTACCCAAGCTAGATCAGGTCAGAAGGTCAGGTTAAGCTATCAACTGGCTCCAATTGCTGCATTATGTACAGTATCCCGTGAGCCATTGCCTAGCCTTTAGTGAAAGACAGGTAATTACATTATACTCATATCCGATTACCCCAAAGCCCCTCGGGCGCAAGCGTCCGACAACAAGCGATGATTTAAGACTGACAATACTTATGCTGCGCTAGCGACCCTGATAACTACTATTACGCTATTAAGTCTCTAAGCTCAGAGAATGCTGGGTACTTGACACGAGGAGGTCACCGAACAGATATGGAGGACGCGCGGAATGCGGTAGTGAAGCCAGCTTCTGGGAATGGACAGCCAGAGTGGTCCCAGCGGTGGGTTTTGGTTCCGGTTTAGTTACCTACAGCTTTGTTATGTCACAGTCGCATGACTCTACGGTGGAGAGCAACGATTTTTTCATATGTCTTTTTCTCAGCAGGCCCGTTGGCAGGCCTAACGCGAAGAGGGGACGACGATGGGTACGATGATTTACTAGGAATGATGTCTTATTCGGCCTGACCCGAAAGAGAAGACACGAGTGAGGGGTATTCAACATACCCGGTCGGATAAAAAACTTCGGAAAATGTCAATCAGATGGATATAAAGGATATGCGACATATCTTCCGACAAGTACATGGAAGTAGGAGTCTGCCACCCTACACGTCCTGGAAGTCGTTAGTTGCACAGCAACTTGCACTATTATAGTTTTCTCATTAGTGGAACTAATAGTCAAGCATACATCCTCTTTTCAGAAAGCCGTTAAACGTTCTGTGTGACAATTTGAGCTGTGACAACCCTCTGAAATTAATGTGAGAGATGGGCAAATATCATATCACTGTCAATGGGGGGTTGGTCCAGAGACCTTCTTTAACGTTTTTATTTTTATAGGGGCTTAGAACTACCTTATGAAGGCGATTTAGGTTCGTATTGGCGCATATTTTTGGCTTTCAACCCATATTTGCTAACTGCTGATTAGCAAATAAAAACAGATTACACGGTCAGAATCCGCTGTTAATATGCAACAACAACAACAACAACAACAACAACAACAGATATATATACTAAGAAACACTAGGGTGATTGGTTAAAGTACTAAAGGTAGCTGTGTGGGTTTGACTCTTTGAAAATGACGTGACAATTGTAATACATCTGATAAGAGTTTTATATGATAGAGCCTCTATTCGCTGGCATAGAGTCCATTGTTTGTCTCATCTCGTCTTAAGTTATATTAGCAGGATCTACAAACAAGAACAAAGTAGATGTTGATGTTAATTCAAGACCTGGAGACTGGAAGATTTCATCACTCTCTTGACGATACAGAAATATTACGAAAAGAGTAACCTGGCTTGGTCAAGTTTACCGAGCTATGATTTTCTTTCTATCTTTGCGGGTTATATATTTGGCTAACTACTTAGTAGGAAACTCATAAGCCATGTTTCAGTCCCGCCATGACACTTCACGGCCCCAATAGGATCAAATCATTACTATAGAGGCAGTGTACGGATGGAAGAAGTGTGGAAACAACTCAGTTTCTATGTTAAGAACTATGGATAGAGACGGGACGAAACTTATAGTTATACTCTTGTTAGTTATCTAGTTATATTCTCTCTGTTTTTGCTGAGCGACCTTATTTGTAGTATCTTTAAATACTATTGAAAAGGTTACATAAGTAGTTAGAGCTTTAAACAGGTTACCCATCGAAACTCAAGTGTGGTTAATGATATATAAGAGTGGCTGCCTAAATATAGACTGCGTGAGATATGGTAATAATCATATAAACTGTCCATCTTAATACTAGTGAGACTCAGTGTATTAAGTATAATATAAGTTAGCTGTAAGCCATACATACTTCTCAGTAACATCCACTTTATAGTTCTTTTTCTTCATATCACTCAGTCACGATTATTAATGATAGTCTACTCTACACCAAGATACTCATATACACGAGAAATATGATTTCTAAGCGTTAATTCATATTAAACAATCTTGCGCTCTTCCGAAAGCATCTCTACAAGAAGTGACCGTGAAACCCATAGATCCCTGGCTCCTAGTGTCAAAGCCCTCACGCGTGTAATAGATGATTCCTCCGTTTGCTCTCAGGACAATGAGCGTTTTCACCAATCACCCTAGTGTAGCTTTAGACCTTGAAATATTGGGCTAAGCGTCTTGGTACAGCGAGAACCGAGCCACATGTTCCAACTCAAATCTGCGGTATTCCTCTTCGTTTGGCAACTTGATTTGCCAATGGAAGGATTTTTCCTCGTCATTGTATGCCATCCTAGCTTCGACGTAAAGGGTAGCTTGTCCCACGACCTCAGAAACTTTGGTATGCTCCTAAAATACTATAAATCATGGGTTCATTTTCTTAGCAAAGGAAACTCACCTCGTCTTTCATAGATGGTAGCTGAGGAGGAGAAGAAGGGGGCTGGGTTGTGGGAGAAACATTACCACCAGCTATCGGTTTTGGCTTTTTGTTCATTCTTAACAAGCTTCGTCTCTAATATCACAATTGTCAGTGAAATCTAAGCCAATTTCTTTGAAGGAAATAAAAGGTACATATTTACATACATCACTGGAAGAATAGATAAGTAGGAATATGCTCTATTGCCGGCCTAGGTAGGTATTGTTCAAGTTGCGGTAAAGTTCTAATATTGTTGAACAAGATTGTGAACGCGTATGATCATAGAGTAGAAGAAAATTTTCCCTGCGTGGTCCGGGGTTCTTATATGACTGCAAACCCTCCTATCAGCATAGGTTCATACCTTAGCTAGGTATTCTACTCTCACGCTCAATCATTTGTTACATTTCGAATCACAAATAATATTAGTTTGTCAAATATGATTACAGGAAACTACAAGGTAAATAGCCATAAAACACAGTAGAAATAGGCATCCCTTCGTGATTGTTGATTACTGAGTTACCTCAGGTAGATAGGTGGCCACGCACAATCCGTTGGTGATTTGTATTTTTTCCCATGAGGCACCCTTTGTTCTGGATATCCCTTTCCATAAGACGACACGTTGGCTTGGTATAATATAGCAGTGACTCATATCTTTTTCTATCATTTACCTACCTAATCGCCTAGAGACCTGGATAATGACCCCCACGTCATAGAACGATACTTAAGATGTAGAGTATGTTATTTTGTAGACGACGCACAAATAAATGTTGGCAAGTTGTCGGCACTAATATCAGTTTTCCTACTAAATTCTACCGGCCCTACCTAGAGAAATTAGAAACTTGCTTGCTACGAGAGTCTAAGGTCACTCAATTCTAGTTTGATAGAAATGGTCTCTGGAATGGTTTGAAAACACTATAAGATTAAATTCTAGCATGTATTGGCACTACGACCATGGAATACACATTCGTTACAATGATTTTCAAATCCCCTTAAATCGTACGATTGCATTCTACCAAACTATGAATGAAGTATCGATAGCCTACTTCTCCTGCAGTATATCTAGGCAAACAACTGTACAAGAAGCAATCTAGATATCTCATAGGTGTCTAGGCTATTCAAGCTCCTGCTCCTTTGTTGCTCTGAAGTGTTTGGCTCATAAACGCAGTAAGTATAGCCATATACCTGTATTTCTATTAGTTAGATATATCCAAGATTTCTTCAATCATTTAGTGGGAAGATAAAGTGAACTTGATACCAACCCTGCAGAGTATGCAAACAACTCTTGTCTTTTTGGTCGGGTTACATAGCTGAGAGAGCAAGTAAAGACACACGTAGACCCAAGTTGAATGAATATGATACCCACTAGGGTTGAAGTAGTCATTTCGCCTTGGCATAGGCGATATAGGGGATAAATCGGGCATATGAGAACTATAATGAGTGTAAAGACCAGAATAACTTCTATAGCGGTGTTGAATTTGCCTTTGCTAATGAATATGGGGTCCTTCTGGTGGGTGCTCTCCTAGAAAATGTTTTAGAAACTTTGCAGGATTATTTGAGTTACGATTTTGAACGTACGTTGTGTTTGAAAATTTTCTATGCCCGAAGAGTGTTAGCTTTCAATGTGATAGATGCTTTGCCTTTCCCCTATTTGCTTCGCTCTGTGGCAGACATATTTACCTTGATCAGCTTATTAGGTTTGTAGAATATGAGCTTTGTAAGGAGCCCATCCACTCGTGCCGTGTCTTCCTGTAAGTTCAGTGATACGAGGTCCGCCTTGTACAGGTAATACTTCTTTTTCTCGTTGGCGAATGGTGCATGTACTTCGGAAAGGGCCCCCAAGTTTTTGATGTCTGTCTCGGAGGGCTCTTGCTGGAAATGAGGAGAAGACGCATAATCCATCATTATCTCTGGTTTCATACTAGTTAGGCCCTGGATTTTATGCACAGCACATCCTATTATAGCTTACTATATCTCTTCAATGTCTCTTCAATATTTCTGAGAAGGTCCATCTTTGGGGCCAACGACGGATTGTTGGCACCCTTACTATGGCTCTCTCTGTCACGTTTCTCAAGATCTTCTTCGTACCCTTGTAGCTTGTCCTGAAGATCTAGTAGCACCCTCGCATGCAAGTACCCGAATTGGCGGATGATTAAGTAGTCTCTATTCGAAGCAACTATTGCGGCAAGTCGCGGGTAGCCTCGTGAATAACTCTTAACTAGATAGGAGGGCCATTTAGTAAGTGAACCATGTGTAGAGATCTCATCAATTAACTCACTGCTCCTATTGATATAGTGTGGTATATCGGACTGTGAGTCTTCGGTGCTACTGTTGAATAAGCCACCGAGACTTTTCTTCATTATAGCATAAGCTCTATTCCTGATCTCAGAAGAGGTGATATCGCTAGGGTTTGCACCTTGAACCTGATGTTAGACCTTCCCGACTAAATAACCCAAAACAGTTCACTACCTCTTAACTATGGTGACTTTGGAGAGGCCAGGCATATGTTTCAAGAGTAGGCTTCTTATAGGACATACCGTGGTTTGAATTTGAATTGGCGGCATTGTAGGGGCCGGACTGGCTTTCAAGATGAGAAAGAGTTTGCATGATTTTAGTAAAAGTTCTGCTGAGTTGAATTGTAAGGGCGCTACGAGTATCATGTCCGTCTAAGCCTCCAGGTTTAAAATCCATATGGAGACAGGAGGTAATTTATATTCGACTGGGGGACTCACAACTCCTAAAATTGCGACTATATCACTCGGGCGAAGCCTCGAAAACTTCTCGGTACACTAAAAATGCAACTAGCCTGTGTGCAGCGAACCTCCCGATAACCTATGCTACCTACCGAGTATCTGTCGTACGAAACACCTTTGCGTATGACAAGATACCATAGGTAGTACCTTAGGTAATATCTAAAGATTGGAAGCTTCAGACATCATGGTACGAATCGTATCTAGGTAAATAAGAGTAGCGAGAGTAGGTACGTAAACTGTGTTTTCCCCCCTCCCCCCCTTCTTATTTTTATTTTTTACGATGGTGTGATGTAGTATTACGTGAAGCTAAGCTGAAACCTAACTTTGATCAATGCCGTGGCTATTACTTTTACAGATACATGTAACTCATTTTTAGTTCAAAATGTAGAAGTAAGAATTAGGTAAGGAATATTCAGATGAAGGTATGAGACAGTATTTTCTTTTCTGTGCTATTCTACGTCTGGCGAGGCTCCTATATAATATAAACAGGGTCGAAAGCTTTAAATCTATGAATTGGGGTTTACCTAGTGGTAACATTCTATGGTTTCTATACTGCTAACCTTCCTATCACGCGGGGACCTGTCCAAATCTATATTGAGCCCACGCCATACTACCTTCGTGCAATGTCCATGTCCTCTTTCCCTCATCATCACCAGCCGCACCAGCTGTTACATATACCGGCATTAAGTGGTCGAACCGCTGAGAATGATTAGCCAAGCCTTTTGTAGTTTAGGATTCTTTGAACTCACCGGATGGGCTTGTTTAGCGTCTGGCCGCTTAGCAATATCTTTCATGAGAGCACGTCGCTCATTTGGCGGGGACTCTACGGCATCTTTCAAAGCCTCATCAAAGGATACTGTATAAGGTAATGGCCTCGGGTCACCCCGAGTTGTGTACAAGTCCCTAAGATTATGCACAGACATTCCTGCGCCAATGATGACGATGTTCTCGTCACGTAGAGAGGCAACGGCTTGCCCTAGTTGATAATGCATGTCCACGTTTTGGTTGGCGTACAAGCTTACTTGAACCAAAGGAACATTAAGGGGGTTTTCTTCAGGGTGGAAAGCTTCAGAGCGTTAGTAGAGACAAGATGCGTAGAATACCAAGGGATAAGCGTGGCTGGGCAATAGAAACATACCAACATGAAATCCTGACCAAACTCCATGGTCAAGACCTCTGGTTACTCCTTTTGCCTTGATACCAGCTTTTGTTAGGAGATCAATGACCTTGGAGGCTAGTTCGGGGCTTCCCCTATTTGGATATTGTGCCTTATAGAACTCGGGCGGGAATCCATAGAAGCTAACCAGGTATATCAGCATCGGTCTCGTGAAGAACTCCAATAGGTACAAACTCACTCATAAATCAAGTCTGTGTGCTCAGCAGTGTTGACCTCGATGACATCAGGCTCAGCCTCCCAATGGCCAGAAAAGACGACGACAGCTTTGGGTTTCACTTTCTTGGTAATCTCTCTCCCGATATTTTGGAGGATTGGATAGACGGGGTGGTCCGTTTTGTATTGCACATCCGGCTATATCTCCAAGTTAGGATAATGAATTTAAGTGAAGTCAAATTCATAGAACTCACACCGCCATGGCTGAAAAAGTAAACCGGAGTTTTGTTAGTCGTCATTGGTGGTGAAGGCGAGTTTGTTGATGTTTGATATTGAGCTATGATAGAGGAAACGGGTTTCCAGATGGAAAGGGGTAATACGGCGCGAGATAATGATGATGAGAATAAGAAAGCCACGGCTACGACAAGGAGCGATACAATTAGAATTGTTCTAGTAATTAACCTAGGAGAAGCCATTGCTATGAAAAGGTAACAACTATATAACTAGAAGAAAGAACAGGAGGCCGTTGAAACCATTTGTAATTCGTCCCCCTGCCGTAGGTGCACCGAGATTCCCGGTGTAAGTCACTAAGGAGACCACTAAGGAAGCTGTATTGAGTCTATTGACCGATTCTTCAGCAATTACCAAGGATCAGTCAGCATACCGCCTAGCGTTAACTTTCAGCCGCTATGGCGCTAGGTACCGTAGTGGGCCGTTGCATTAGCTTAGGCGATACATAAGGTAATCGTCCGCATTTCTAGCCGTTTCGTTGCCCATTAATGTAGCCAATCGAGGCAGGAGTTACAAACATATTGTACCTAACACAGAGATGGCGGAAAACCGAGGGCCCCCCCTGTGGGGACCACAAGAGCCCGACTTTTAGCGAAGCTCATGCTTATGTCATCCCCTTATGTCATCCCCCCTTATGTCATCCCATCCCCTTATATCGTCTTTCCGAAATTTAGCCGCTCATCCCACAGGGTCACGTGCCACCACGCCAGACCGGGCGCGGGGGGGGGGGGGGGGGGGGGGGGGGGGGGGGGGGGGGGGGGGGGGGGGCGCCGCCCCCCCCCCCCCCCCCCCCCCCCCCCTCGCGCCTTCCCTCGCGCGGCCCGGCGGTGGCACGATGCTTTGGCTATATCTCTGGCTATGTATTATATTGTTGTTTATTTTTTGTTAAAATAAGAAAAAAAAGAATGTGTAAAATTCGAACCCGGTTTCTTATAAAATAAACTTAAGTTATATGGTGTTATCTCGAAAAGGTTTAGTTTTGCATTAAAAACATGTGACTTATATGTGCATTTAATGTGATTGGTTAAATTTTTAGCTTAAACCTAATGTATAAACCACGTTTTTTCTTTAATTTTTTTATTTTTTATTAAAAACTTTATTTTTTTATTAATTTATTAAAAGTTTTATTTTTTATTAAAAATATATATTATTTAAAATTTTTAAATTAAAATTAATTTAATATTAATTATATAATTATGTTAAAAAAATAAAGTTTACATGTAAAAAACGGTATTTAAAAATGAAAGTATTTTTAAAAAGTATTATATTATTTATATGTTATTATTTTAATAAAAATTACGTTTATATAACCAATTATTTTATAAAAATATAAATAATTAATTAAAGTTAATAAATTTTATAATTTTATTTATAAATTAATAAATTATTATAAAATAACTTTATAATTAAATAATTAATTAAATATTATTTATTAATAATATTTTAATATTAACAACTTTTTTTTTTAACAAATAAAATTATCGTTAATTTTTTTAATTTAATTATATTTTATATTTATATATATATATTTTTTTTTTTTAACTTATTTTTATAATTATATTATTAAAATATTTATATTAATAAAAGTTTATAAACTTTTATTTAAAAAAGTTTTTATTATTACGTTAATAAAGTTATTTTTATTATATATTTAACAAATTTTACAAATTTTTTAACGTTTATATAATTATTATAACGTTATAATATTTATTATTAAACGTTTTTTTTTTATTATATTTAATTTAATAAAACATTTATATAATAAAAATAAATTTATATAAATTATAATAAAAATTTTAAATAAGTTTAATTTTTTAAAAATAATTATAAACGTAGTATTTATAATAATAATTATATTTATTTTATTAATTATAACGTATATTTTATTTATTAATATATTATATATAATATGTTTATATTTTATTAAATTTTAATAAATTATATTATTTATAATTATAAAAAATTTATTATTAAAGATTTTATTTATTAAAGTAATTATATATTTTAATTATAATATAAAATTTTAATTATTTATAAATAATATATTAATAAAAATATATAATTTAATAGTTTTTAAATTTAAAAGTAAATATTATAAATTTTATTTTATATTATTTAATTATTATTAAAAACAATAATTTAATTTATTAATTTATTTATTATTAAATTTTTAATATTAAGCTATTTTTAATAAATTAAAAGTTATTTTAAATTAATAAATAATGGTTATATAAACGTTTTTAATATATTATTTTATATATTATTACGTTGTATTTACGTAATTATAATTAATTAATATAATTTTTTTAACTTTATTTTTATAACGTAAATAAAAGTTATTATTATTATTTAACGTTAAAATATAATTATTAAAAATTAATAGGTTATTTATAATTAAATAGTTTTTTAATTTAATAATAAAATTAATTTTTATTAATTTAACTTTTTTAAAATTATTAAAAATTTGTTGCAATCAAAATGGCAACGCTACCGATTACAAACATGTAACCAAGGCTTATATGTTCGATACACCCTTTAAGTAATCATTATTTTTAAGTAATAAAAATTACTTAAATCGCAACATTTTAACGTTTTTAAAGCTTTATAACATTGGCTCATTTTAGCCCTTAATTTTCTAGCCGTTAATCTTGTAAAAAATATATTGTTAACTATTAGCTAAGCGTATTTCTACCTATAACGTAATAACTTTAATTAGTTTTAATCTCGGAACTTAAGCTTTTAGTTTATCTAACGCGGTATTATACGATGCTTTTAATTCGATTCGAACCCGCGCTTTACTGCCAGTACTAGTCTAGCTCTAAGGCTCGATCGGGTTTAGGATTAGCGCAAGGTTATATTTGAGATATGCAGGGAATGCGGTGCGATACCGCTGCGCTAAAGGGCTCATAACTGTCGCAATCAAAATGGCGACGCCGCCGATTGCAAACATGCAACTAGGGCTTATATATTCGACAAAATTTTATTAAATAAATTTAATATATTATTTATTTATATTATTATAAAGTTAAATTGGTTTTTATTTATTATTATTAATAAATATAAATTATATATAAACATTATTATTTTTAATTTATTTATATAATAATATATATACGTAATTTATTAATAAATTTTAATTTTTAATATTTTATAAAAAAGTTTAATTATTATTATTATTATATTTATAAAATATTAATATATTATTATTTAAAATAATTTTATTAATATTATATGTGTTAATTTTATTTTAAATTATATATAAATTTATAAAATATTTTATATTTATATAATTATTTTGTTTTTTAATAATATAAATATTATAATAATAAAAATTTATTAATTAATATATTAAATTATTGGTAATTAAGTTAATATATATTTTTTTTTTAAATTATTATAGTTTTAAATAATTAAGTATAATTTTTTATAAAAATTATTTATAATTAATTTTTTAATCTTTTATATAATATATAAATTATAAATATAATGGTTATCGTATTTAATTACGTTATATTTTTTAAATAAAAAGATTTTTTTATTTATTAAAACCTTTATTTTAATTTTATTAAAGGTTTTAAATAATTATTTTAATATAATAATTTTATTTTTTTAATATAATTTAATAATAAATATTTTATATTTTTTTTTATATAATATTATATAAATAATATTAAAATTAATAATTTTAAGTTTATTTTTATTATTAAAAAACTTATTGCATTTTTTAATAAATATTATTAATTATAAAAGTTTATAAATTTTATTATTTATTTTATTATTATTATTAAAATTTAATTATATAATAAATTTTTTATTTAATATAATTATTAATTTATTATAATAATAAAGTTATACGGTTATAATTTAAAAGTTTATAAGTTTGTTATTAATTTTAATAATATATATATTATTATTTTAAACGAATAGTTTATAAAGTTTATTTTAATTATTTTTTTTTATTATATTTTAATTTTTAATTAAAGTAATAATTTAAATGTTAATAATGTATTTAAATTATTATATATAATTAAAGTGTTATTAATTTATTATATAATTTTTAGTTTATATATTTTTATTATTATTTTTATAATAATTATTTTATGTATTTTTAATAAAGGTATATTTAAAAAATTATTTATTATTTATAAATAAATGTTAAATATTAATAAAATAAATATTAAATTATTAAAGTTTATTATATTATTAATAACTTTTATAATTATTTATAAAATGTGTTTAAGTTTAATATTAAAGTAATTTATTATTATAATTTTATAAATTTATTATAATAATATATAATATTATTTTAATTTGTTAATTAAGTTATAAATTTTTATAAAGATTTTTTTTAAAGTAATATTTAATAATGTTAAATTTGTTTTAAATTTATTAAATGTAAAATTTTTACCGGTATTATAAATTAATTTATTAAAAAGTTTTAAATAAATGTTTATTTATATTTTTTTTAATATATATTAAATATTTTTAACGGTTATATTTTTTAAAAATTTTGTTATTTAAAAAAAAATAACTTTATTAATTGCGTATAATATAAATTTAATGTTTATATATATTATATTAATTATTATTAAATAATTAAAATTAATATTATTTTTAACGGTAAATTTAAATTTATTAAATGTTTTATTATATAATTAATATTAATAGTAATATTTTATTATTTTTTTAATTAAATTTTTGTTAAAATTATTATATTTAATGCGTTTAAAAATATTATATAATTGCGTTATTATTAAATAATTAAATTGTTTATATATTTAACGTAATTTATTTTTTATTAAATAGTTATAAATTATTATTATATTATAATTGTTAAATAAAAATTAAAAGTATTTTTATTTATATATTATAAAATATTATTTATTTTAATATATTAAAATATTATTAACGTTATTTAAATAAATATTAAAGCGGTTTATATTTTTAATATATATTAAAAAAAGTATATTTAAAAATATTATATAAAATTTTATAATATTAAAAAAGGTTAATACGTGTATTATTTTTAAGTTAAATAATTAAAGATTATTATTAAAAAATATAATATATTAATTTATTGTTATAATGTTTAATTTAATATATAAATATGTTATTTATAACGTTTTTAATTGTGGTTTTTTTTTGGAAAAAATATTTGCGGCGTTTATATTAAATATTTGTCGCACGGGGTGGATAGCCGTGGTTGTGGCACAGCCACCACAACGGCTATAGGGAGCTGTGGCGTTAGCCACAGCTATTATGTAATCAACTAACTATATAAAGGTTGCGTTATGCGCAACCATACCTTAAACAACTTAAACCTTTACATACCACTTACAGTTACCATATGCTATTTGTGACAACACCATAACCTTTAACAATATTATATTTTAAAAAATAAAAGTGTATTAGTTTTTTAATAAAAATATGGTATTTTTTATTAATATTATAATTATTAAATCGTTTATAATTAATTTATTAAAAATATTAAATTTTATTATAATGTAAAAAATAATTTAATTAATTAAGATATTAATTATTTTTTTATTGTTTATAACGTTATAAAAAGTTATAAATTATAATATATATTTTTTATTTATATTTTTAATATTATTATTAAATTAATTAATATTATTTTTAATATTAAAGTTTTTAAAATTAATTTTTTTATAATTAGTTAAAAATTAATTATAATTTTTGTTAATATTATTAGTTTAATTATTAATTAAATAATGTAATTATTTATTATATTTTTTTTAACGTTTTTTTTAAAAGTGGTAAATAAATTAACATTTTTATTTATTATATATAAAGTATTTTTTTGTTATAATATTTTATTATATAAATTGGTGTGATTAATATAAAGGTTTATTATTTTTATATTTTTTATTTATTAAATATTAATTATTATTATTTTATAACGAAAATATATTATTAAGTAATTAATAATGTATATAAATATTTGTTACGTTTTATAAATTTAAATATAAAGTGTTAAAAATGTAATTAAATTTAATAATAATTATTTTAAAAGTAAAATAATTTTATATAATAATTAATAAATTATATATTAAATATATTTTATTATAATAATTATAAAATAAATTGTTATAAACGTTTTAACGTTTTAAAATAAGTATTTTTAAATATTTCGATAAAAATTTATTAAAATTTATAATTTATATAATAAAAATATTTATATTAAATTATTTTAATATATATATTTATTTTTTTTTAATAGTTTAAAAAAATGTTTTTATATGGTAAATTATTTTGTTAAATAAATATTGTTATTAATTATTTGCGGTTAATTTTATATAATAATATTTTAACGTTTTTTTTTTAATATAATAAAATAAATGGTATTTTAATTTTTAAAGAGTAATTTAACGGCGTTATATAAATTGTTAAATATTTATAATTTTTTGTTGAAATTATTGTATTTTTTACTATTATATTTTTATTTATTATTATAATATAATTTTAAAAATGTAATTAAAGTTTTAAACGTTAATAAATTTATTAAAAAATATTAATAAAATAAAGTATAATTAAATTTATTATTTTATTAATATTTGGTTTTATTTTATATGTTATTAAATAAAGTTATTAAATAATATAAAGTAATAATATAATTTATAAAAGATTTTTTAAAAATTATATATTATAATTATTTAAAATAAGTTTATAATTTTATAAATGTAAATATTTAAATAAATTTAATTATTTATAAAAGTATTTTAAATTTAATGTTAATTTTTAAATTTTTTTTTTTTATTTTATTTTATAATTATTATAAAAAGGTAAAAAATAAGATTTATAATAACGATAATTTATAATATTAATAAATTATTATTAATTTTAATAATAGAAAAATTTATTATTATTTAAATTTTTTAATAAATATTAAATTATTTATATTATAAAAGGTTATTAATATTTTTATTAAATTTTAAACGTTTTTGTTAAAAAGTTAAGGTTAAATTAACGTTATAAAAATTTATATATATAATAATAACGTACGTATTAAATTTATAAAAAATAATAATATTATAAATTTTAAAAAATTTATAATTTTTTATTAATAAATAATAATTAATAAATTTAAAATAGTTAAATATTTAACTTTAAAAATTATTTTTATAGGTTTTTTATAAATGTTTATTATATAAAATATTTTTATAATATTAAAAAATTTTAATAAATATAAATAAAAAAATGTTTTTAATATTTAAAATATTTGTTAAAAATGTTAAAAGATTTATATAATAATTTTTATATTTAATTTTAATATATTTAAAAAAGGTTTTAATTATTTTAAATAATTATATAAATGGTATAAAATGTATAAAAATAAAAAATTAAAAAATATAAAAAAACGGTAATAAAATTATTAAAAAAAAAGTTTTTTTATACGTAATAAATATAAATTATTATTTTATAATATTTAACATATATTAAATTTAAAAACTATCTATTATTTATTATTATTAAATAATTTTAAAATGGTTTAATTTATTTTAAAATAAACATATTTTAACCTTTTTTATTTTAAATATTTTAAAATAAATATATTTATTTTTTATTAAAATTTTTTATTATTTATAATTATTTGGTTAATTATTAATTAATATTAGAAAAATAAGGTTTATATGTAAAAAACAATATTTAAAAATAAAAATATTTTTAAAAAGTATTATATTATTTATATATTATTATTTTAATAAAAATTACATTTATATAATTGATTATTTTATAAAAATATAAATAATTAATTAAAATTAATAAATTTTACAATTTTATTTATAAATTAATAAATCGTTATAAAATAACCTTGCAATTAAATAATTAATTAAATATTATTTATTAATAATATTTTAATAAATTAAAACTTTAATTTTATATTTTAATTTATTATAATGTTTAAAATTTATAAATTAAAAAACATTAATAAATGTATAAACAAATTATTTAATTAAAAAATATCTTTAATTTAATTTATTATAATAACTTTTTTAAAAGTCGGGTAAATTTTTTTAAAAGTTAAATATAACTTTAATTACCATTATTTTATTAAGTTAAACCTGTTTTTTAATGCGTAACGGGAAAAAATAACAATTAAAAATGCGAATTTAATTATGCGTATAGCGTATTATACCGCATAATGTCATATAATGGCGTATAATAAAATTATTATACGTATAACGGAAATATTTTTTCGTTTATCCGGCGTATTAATATTAAAAAAATATTAATTTAATATATATTTAAAAAAATATATATATGTATTTACCGCGTTAATATTAAAATAAAATTAACTTAACGTTAAACGATTTATTACGATCGTAAATTTAAAAAATTAAAGTTAAAACATAATTATTTTTTATAATATTAATAAAACGCTTGTTTTATAAAAAATTAACTTTAATCGATTAATATAAATTAATTAAATTTAAAGTTATTATTTATAAATATTTTAAATAAAATTATAATTAATTTTAATTAAAATAAATGGTGGTGTTATTATTTAAATTTACGTTGTTAAAAATTTTGGCCAAGTTTTTTGCATTATGTGCAAATTGTATGGCATTATGCGCATAATAACGTATAATGCCATTATACGGCATAATAGATCTATTATGCGCATAATGGGCATGCCTAATGACAACTACAACTAGAATCAACCATCACGTAAGTTTAACTCATTACCTCCGGCCTCCATCCCGACCTGCTTAGCTCATTTTCCATCTAGCGGATGCTCACCTTCCCTATCGCGAATACATTAATCCTTTCGTTCATAGTATTATTGTTGTTCCTCTTAACGGCCACATTCGCCAGAACGAATTCCGATCCCACTATGGCGATGCGCCGAGCTCCACCGCTGTTATTCCCGGCTGCCGCCAAGCACACAGCTACTGTCATTTTCATCCACGGATTGGGTGATACCGGGTACGGATGGGCATCGGCAGTAGAGAACTGGAGACGGAGGCAGAGATTGGATGAGGTCAAATTCATCCTGCCCCATGCCCCGCGCATCCCAGTTACAGCTGTAAGTTACTCTCACTAGAGGTTGAGATGTGTTGGTGGGACTCACCCTAACTGGACAGTCGGGCGGAATGTCTATGCCTGGGTGGTACGATATTGTAAGTGGCCTTCTTACTCCTTATATGTCCGCTGTCGTGTCTAATGATTATCCAAGTTTGCACTCACTGGCAAAATAGACGATATCAAAAGGCATCAAGATGAGAATGGTATCATGCAGAGTAGAGAGTACTTTCACGGGCTGATCCAAGCTGAGATCGACTCTGGGATACTCCCTAACCGCATCGTACTTGGTGGCTTCTCACAAGGCGCCGCCATGTCCCTCTTTACTGGCTTGACGGCTAAGTTCAAGTTAGCTGGCATAGTCTCGCTTTCGGGCTACCTACCCCTAGAATCAAAGCTTGACGATCTTCTCAAAGAGAACGATCACAACCATCAAACACCAATCTTAATGTGCCATGGAGATGAGGATGGAGTCGTACCGACGAACTTGGGCAAGATGTCTTACGAATCACTGAAGAACCGTGGTTTCGATGTGACAATGAAAATATATCCGTGAGCGGCTCCTTTTTTTATTCTTCCTTGCGACTATGCTCTTGCATTTGACATTTAGCTAATCGAAAATAGGGGATTGCCTCATTCAGCCTGCATAGAGGAACTTGATGAGGTTGAGTCTTTCCTGAAGGCTCGTCTCCCACCTCAAGACAACAAGAAGACGGAACTCTAAATTCGATAGGACTGGGGAAGTGGATATTCAATGCGATAGAGATATATTAGAGCAAGAGAGACTATTATGACGCTAATTCTACAAGGTGGTTCGTATGATGTGCAAGTCTAGATGGTGTTCGTTGCGGATTGGACGATAGAGACGATTTGCAGTGCAAATCAGAATGGTTGGAGGCCATAGTATGATTATAAATATGATTGGACGTGCGGCGGACTTTCTTTACTAGGTACTTAGACGCCAGGCTCGAGATACATGTATAGTCTGCAGGTTATGGATGGATGTCTTAGAATTCTTAAGTTCATCTGACACGCCGAACCTCATTAGAGTTCTCGGTCAAATTTACAAAATTGATCATAAAGCTTCAATATATTAAATATAATTAGGATCGTATTAAGAATATCTATGTAGACCCAAGTAACCATTGAGAAATTACCTAGTGAGATAGTGGGTGGGATATCAGGTGCACGGAGGTATAGACATTTGCATTGTTGGGAAGTCTATAGGGGCAGAGGGGGTCTTGATAGGGGGGAATGGTGCCTTATCTTATCGTATAGTTGGAGGTAGTGGAGTCGGAATCACAAGATGGCGGCATAACGGCGTAAGCTTAACTGGGGGCAGCAAAGATACATCATACCTTACCTTCTTACCTTACCTAACCCAAGCTTTTATTTAACATTTATTTAACAAAATTCCAAAACAAGATTCATTCTTCCATCGGGTATTCAACTTTGTCTCTGGATTATTCTGTACATCTTGTGGCCTCCGTCCTCAACAATTCTCCTAAATTTTCCTACTTATTTAACTGTTTATAGGTAGACTACCTTAGGTACATATATATGAGGTAGCTACACTGCTGTTGGATTATGTCGTCTCTTCCGCGATTAGCCCGATAATTAATCATTAGGTATTATTATCTACTGCTACTCTAGCCCGAATCCACACCAGCCGTTGCTACGCTATCGGATCGTGTAAGCCTAGGTAGGATTACTACATATCCAGGTAGACACGGCAGAAGTAAACAAGCCCCCGCCAACCAAAACCATTATACCGATATTAAAAGGAGAGGAGGCTCTCTGGGCGAAAACAACAATGCCGTCAGCAGCACGAGCACCAACATCTGGTAGGCCGCCGTCGCCATCTCCCTCTCAAATCCCTCTTCCCGCGTCGCCAACATACTCGTATGCCTCCACAGCCAATCCGCTCTCTCAATATAACCTACCACTTCCGCCTCCGCCCCGTCCAGCCCACGCCGTCCTCTCTAAAAACGACCTCGAGCAATCGCAACTAGCATACTCGGACTTGTTAGCTACAGCCAAATCGTACCGGATCGCCCTCGCATCCCTCTCTACTGCTGCCTCCGCATTCGGTTCCGCCCTCGAGTCCTGCGCGAGGCTAAAAGAAGCCCGAGCCGATACCCTCGGCCCCCCAAGCGGTACTAGCCTAACCAATAGTTTTACCACAAAGGGATCATGCACCGCTGAGCTATTACTAAGTGCAAGTGGCGTGCACCACTTAATCGCAAACCATCAGCAGATCTTAAGTGAGACAGTATACAAGTCATTCGAGGTACCGCTACTACACGAGTTAGATCAGTGGCGGCGTAATATCGAGGACGAGGATGAGACGTACAAACGCGAAGTTGCCGCGCGCAGCCGCGAGATCCGCCGCCTCGAGAAGGAAGGGTTGAAGCTGCACCGCCAGAGTCGCCGTCGAGATGTGGCCAAGTTCCGCGAGCACCTGGTTACCCTAACTAGTAAACTCGACGACCTAACAGGATTGCATGCAGACCACGCCCGTACCCTACTACGCGACTCACAGGAGGCTTCGGCTAAGATTCTCGATGCAAGCTGTTCGCTCGTACGTGCCGAGGTCGACATTTTCGAGGGCTTGGCGCGGAAAGGGTGGACAGGCGGTGGGCTTGAGGATTTGCTAGAGAAGGGCCAGGACTTGTTTGCGAGCGACGAGGATGGGCTGCCGGGGGCCGCAACGGCGGCGGGAGTCACAATTATGGCGGCCAACAGTGCCGTCGGAGAAGGAGGGGCGAAGCTGTTTAGTATACTCCCGCCCAAGAGCATCCTAGCGAACGACGCGGCCTCGACTTCCGTCTCGGATTCGGTACTAACAGCACGTGCGGGTGGGCGCGCCGATAGCTTAGTAGTCGATCCGGAGGAAGACCAGTTTCAAAGCTTAACGGGGGCCGTGGAACAACCGCAAGACCGCAGGAGAGATAGAGAAGACACGGAGAGCATATTCTCAGAGTCCAACATGAGCCGGGGGTTAAGGCCGTTCAGTCCACAGCCTATCCGCCGGCGAACTACGGACGTGGTCATGGATCCGGAGGAGCTATTATTTGGCGGCGGCGGCGGCGGCGGCGAGGAAGAAATTAACAACGACCTCGTATCGGATGTAGACGACGATGACGGGTATGACGCTGCGACAGTTAGAGGCGCTAGTAATTCCCCGGGCCGGATGCTAGAAATGGAACTAGGAGAAGGAGATTTAGGTCTGCAAGATGACGAGGACCCTGCGTTCCAATGGAGAGACGACGAAACACGGCAGAGACAAATCAGTAGTAGCAGTGACCCTGTTTCGTTACCTTCCCCGCCGCCAACGGGGAAGAATGAGGTAGACGATAGAGAGATAGATAGGCAGTTTGCTTGATTATAGTTACATCGCACAAAGTGCACATACATACCCCTCATGCTGGTATGGGGAGGGGAGGGGTGCTACACGAGGATGAGAAGGCGGAAAGGTGCCTAACCTATAGGATAGGATGGTTCTAACGGCGGTTACGGCGGCGAAATATTGATTGATTGAGTACTGTATTAAATTTCACGGCACACGAATAGATGAGCGGAGTCATATCTTCGACATTAGAATGGCATCTCCCGCTTTGTATCTTCGCTTCCTGGCTCTTATTGCATTAGTACAGCCGGCATTCGGTCTACGTCTCAAGTATTACATGCACGTAGATAGTTCCACAGCTGTACGTGTATAACATTACACATTACACATTACACTTAGCCAATATTCATACGAAAGAGAGCAAACACAATATGACTTGGAATCCATTATTGTTCCCATTGGTCTCGAGTAACCCTATGTAATTCATCGTACACAGAAAAAAAAGCAAACTCCTCGTGGTAACAACTATGCGCAGTATGCCGCTAACCCAGCCCCATGCCCCTATCCACGTGCAGCTCGTCTATAGTAATAATAACGAGATCAAGCATAGCAAAGCTCCTTATTCTTCACTTTACCATATGTCTTTAGGCATTTTATCGTAGGGCTTTCCGAATGTGATCCTCAACTCCAGGGGGCGTATTACCAAAACCCGCTTTGCCCTCATGTCCCTACTCTTCATAACATTACGAAATATAAAAAAATTGATGATGTAAGTGATGTAAGTTGGTATGTGCGTAGAGTCTCTTAGTCTTCCTTATCGCCACTAACGAGCTCGCGACCGAAGAGACCGAACCAGAGATCCAGGTAAAACATCAGCTGCCAGTACAAACTAGCTTTGTTGAAGTCAAACTCGCCGAGCTCGTTACGGGGCACCTCGTTTCCGATCATTGAGCCCCCGAACCATCCTATCAGTGGAATATAGATTAGCAGCTTCTGCTGCCAAGTCAGTTGAGGGGCTAAGGCTTGGTCGGCCGGCAGGATTCTAGCCCGCTTGGCCTCTGGAATGCGCCGGCAGTACGTATTGTCCACTGGCTCTACATTCTGCGGTTCTGGGGCCGCACCCGTTACCGTTGCTGTCGATGCTGTGGTGGTCTCCATAGTCTGGGTCGAGCTTTGGGATCCTGGGGGGGAGTCTTGTAGATTTGTAGTCTGCTCGATTGTCTGTGTTAAGAGAGTCCTAGGGAATGTCGCGCCCTTATCTATGCGGGGCTGCGATGGTCTTTTCGGCACGCTTCTAAAGGTGTTAGACCTAAACGGATCGATCATGCCAGTATCACCGACCACATCGGGCACTGCAGCATCTTCCTTAGGGGGCAGGCCACGGTAGGGTTCGGCGTAGACAAGATACCCTAATATCTTCTGCGGAGAGGCGTACATCGCGGCTTCTGCTGCTTCCGACGATTCGAACGTAATCTTCACCCAGTGTTCACCGCTGGCCACCCTGCTAACCTTAGCCCGCTCAGCGGGTGATAAGGGTTTTCGCCTCGTAAGTGCGGGATCTCGCAGGTCTGACTTGTAGCGTCGCGCCTCGGGCGGCGGCTCTCTAGAGTAGTCCTCGCATATCCTCCCTGCCAGCTGCTCGTAATGGTTAATAGCCGCATACTGCTGCGATGGCGACGAGTACCCTCTCAGGATAACCTCAACAGGCTCCTTGCGATACGTCGAAGCCTGGGTGGCAGAAGCAGGATCTTCTTGCGACTGCGCAGCGGCCTGTCCTAGATAGCTAGTCTTTCGTTGCGTAGCGGCGGTAGTTGTTGTTGTTGCTGTTGTTGCGTTAGGGGCTTGCTGTCGGCTTGCTATGTAATTCGAAAAGATTTTATCGGCGTTATGCATTGTAGCATCCTCACGTTTCGGCGGCGCGCTCCCCGTTCTAGAGCGAGATCGTCTAGTTGATTTGCCGAAGGAACCCGACTCTGTCACCTCTCGCGCACGCGTACGTGGGAGGGTACGTTGTCGTTCGCCTCTATCGTCGGACATGGTGGTAAGCAGATTTGATTCAAAATAATGCTTTCTTTCAAAAGGAGAAACGGTTACATACTCGGGGAAATACATAGCATATGGACGCTGAATCCCATCGTCTCCTGTATAAAGTTCCTCGTCCGGGACGTTATGCAGGATCAATGGCCTCATTGTCCTCTCCCGTTATTCGGTGAATAGAAATTCGAGGAATGAGATACAATGTTTAGGACACACAAGGTGGATAGGCAAACACGGATACCTAATCAAGGATTCCTAATCAAGGATGGATTCTTGGATTGCAAAAGGCACAAACTGGTGGGTGGTTGCGAGAAATGGGTTGAAATGATTGGAGGGAGATTTAATTAAATTCGGATGTTGCTGGCAATGCTGAGATGTCACCAAGAAAAAAAATCGTAGCTGCAACGCGCTTCCAAATATGTATTATGGAAACCACCATACCCACCCAGCAACGGGCATATGGGGTAAGTACCTACAGTACCTAACCTTATGTAGAACTTCCATTACGCCAAGGTATGTACCTAGGTACCTAATTCCCCCAACCCTTCAGATAAAATCGTGCACAGGCCACGCTCAAACTTGGCTCATAGTACTTTTAACTACATGTACGAATACTTTTTAACATATCCAGTACCTAGACATTCTCAACTCAGATACTAGATACAGTATATATCACTTCGGGGCTGTAACTTAAAGTACATACATTTCCACCATCTTAAATCATACATGTACCTTTAGCAGGAAAGGACATTGTAGACGCTGTGTACATACCTTAGGTACTTGATTTAGATAAACATCGTAACATGCATATGTACTTCGTACCGTAGACACTAAAATCTCTAAGGGGATTAGCGTAGATTAATAAAAATATGGACCAACCCAACTAAGGTTGTTCCTGAGCTACATGTGGCTGACAGGCAATTGATAGGCCGACGTCACCGAATTCCCGGAAGCTATCGCAGCTTCCAACGCCAAGTCAAAAGCTGTCCCAAAAAAGTAAATTCAACTACATCACCGGTTTCAAACACGACTTCCTCTTCTTTAATCTTACATCTATTAGTTGATTCACAAGTAAGCCACAAGAAGCCGTAGTTACAATGTTCCGCTTCGTAAGTTTGAAATTCCGAGCCAATAAGTAATAAATGCTAATGCGTGAATAGCACAAAACTCTTGATATCGTCACCGTCTTCCACAAGGCAGGCTCACCGGCCTCCACAAGAGCGGCAACTCTCCTAAAGCAGATTTCAGCCAATGCCACGGAGACAGCAACTGAAGATCAAGCCAGTGATCATTCTCACCAGACGCATCCCAAGCTCTCGCGTCAGGAGTTTGAATTGAACATCACTGAAGAGCCTCCCACCGCCGACCAACTCAAGACTATTCTAGAGTACGTCGGCAAAAATAAGATCGGATCTATCGTGCAAGGCGCGTCGACAGAGAATGAGGCATTGAAGAAGTTCAGAGAGAGCAAGGAGAACTTCAAACGGCCTGTAGTATGTCTCCTTTTCTTTACTCACTCATAATCACAACCCCTTCCCCTATTTATCTAAGTAACACGCTAACTCTAGAACAGATTGTTGATTGGAACAATGGAAAGGCTATCGCTAGCGACAAGGAGTCAGAGATACTCAAGATGTTAGAGCAAGAGAATAGCAAGGAGTGATTCTCGAGCACTGTACACAACACAGGTACCTAGGTAGTCATATCTGTCTTGTGCTGGTATTGGTTAGGCTCCATGAATCCTTTGCCAGCTTAATGAATATTCAGTCCTAGTTCTAGTCTGTTATAATTAGTTCTCTAGCTAGCTAGTGAAAGGGGCATCTAATTTAGATTGCCATATACGAACTCTACTCCCATAGCCTGCATTCATATCTTGTTCCCATGGTGGTTTGCTTGTAAATATACAGACTCACCTTTCTTAGCCATGTACATATCCATCCATATATGCCCCTTATTTTGACCTTTGCCCATGTTCCAAGTAGAATTTTTAAATCCCAGGTAGAGAATAAAAACACGTCCCATAATTAATTCTGACAGTTAAATCCATTGTGTCAAAATATATTATAGAACAATTACTAGTGATCTTTGCTTGAATTCATTGCAAGGAGAGACATATCCCGCTATTGGTCATTCTTTAGGGTTCTACCAGAAATATCAGGGAAAGACAGCTGTATACCCAAAGTCTGAAAAGGGGAAATCGCCCCTAATCACAGACTTAAGCTGCTAAGCCATTGATCAGAGTCACAGACTTACAGTCCGGATACATACCTTAGGTACCTAACCTACCTAGGTAAGTTACCATGTACAAACGAGGCTTCAATAATGAGTACCTACCCAGTGTGGTATGTTAATAGGTAGTTGCCCAGTTGCAAAAGTAAAAATTCTCCTTCGTATCCAGGTCCGTGCCCATGTCCGTGCACAAGATATTGTCGTTACTATGGTCACATTTACCAATCACGGGCCATCAACTGCCCTTTGCAACAGCCGTGACTGCTAGTTACGACCTGCCACCTTCCGTCGTAATGGCGAAGTATCTCACGAGAACATCAGATCTAAGGCATCTGTTTGCTAAAATAACTTGGTTAAGGAAGTAACGGCGCTACAACGCGTCTCTCTCCTGAGCAACAAGTCGGTCGTAACCCTCCAAAGTTCTTCTCCGACCTACCTTCCGTCTGTTCTCTTTCTCACATTCACAGCCCTACTTAAACAGTACCCTTCCCAACAAAGAATCCCTTCTGATTAATTCTCTTCTTCATAATCCTACTTCAACCCTACTCTTCTCAACACAGAGTCAGATTAATTAATTCTCTTCCTTACATATCAATCCTTTACCTTACACTAACTACCTCCTTACTATCCTATCATCCACCTCTTCTTAACATTACATTACATTAACATTAACAATACACAAACCTATCCTAATACCTATCCTAAAATATTTCAACCCCATATTCTAATGCTTCAAGAAGCACCTACATTTATTAATCTACAACTTCCCTCATAACTACCTACTCTAAAGCCTAGTCGTCGGCTGCTTTCTTTCTTCTAAAAGAAGTTAGCCTCGATACAACTCAAGCACACAGAGATGGTTGCATCAAACATGTCTCCAACTACCTATAACTAATACTAAAAGTCCCGACCGGTAAGTAACCACCCTTCTCTATATTCACTATCAATGATTATTACACCTACATAATCTTCATAAGGTATTACCAATACCAACTTCTGCCATATACACTATCAGCTACCCTACTAGTAGGCGGCTGTATCCCCTTTACCCTTACATCATTACCTTTGACATATACTTTTTTTTACACGGTCGCGCTAACAGATATTCAAAGCATCCCTCCATATACCGCTTGATCACTTATCATCTGATGCCACAGTGCTCAAGAAAAGCCTAAAGCAGAAGCGTTACTACAGCACAGGCGCTTCCCCAGTTCCCCAGCCCCCCAACTACCCGTGTCAATAATGGCAAACCTATTGACACACGTTGTCTATACTATTATCCTGGTAGTCACCTACTGAGCCTACACTAAAGTTAAGGTCAAACCTATTAACGATATGCCCACTAATTCACCACTGAACAACGGAGCGGCAAAAGAAGTCAAAAGTGTGGTAATAATAGCAACAATAGGACCTGGTGCCGGTAGAGTCACAAAATTTATTCTTGCAACAACATTCAGTTAATATTCAGAACAACTAAGCTATGATGAAATAAGGTGTCTGCAACAAGGAATATCTTGAGTGGCAATTCATACGCCAACAGAGACACCAAATCCCGGCTGACCAGTGCATGGCTGGCGGAGTAAAGACTACTGGATAACCCTAATGCCGGTGGAAGCAATACTACTACTGGTGAAGCTAATAAGACCAATCATCATAACAACACTACAATAAGCCTAAACCTGGAGTCCCATACCGCCTTATCCTTTATTACACACCCCCCCACTCCACTCCAAGGGGATTGCCGAAGAATTTAAAGCCGATGTGGTGTGTCTAATATATGGCAGTTCACGGAAGATATCGTACTCTTCGTGGTGGAGCATTGTGAACAAGGAATCAACTGTCCTGATGGCTTGCTCGGACTCTTAAAGTAACAGGTCAAGACCAGACAGGAGAAGCAGCAGGGGGTTCTAGATGGAGCATCCCTAGCTGCTCAAGGCTCTTTATAATATCACCATTCCTCCTTACTTTCTCCCTACCTAATAAATGGTGTTCATGGCATACTATAGATCTGACGCCAGTCCTAGCCTCTCCGCCCAATTATCGTTCTGGTCTTGCCGTTGCCGGTCCCTCTTCTACAGGTCCCGTCGGCACGGGTGGGAAAAGGTGCGGTTCTACCACATAGCCGACGCACCAAACAACAAATCTTTTCGCCGACATGGCTTCGTACCAACAACAAATATTTTCGCCGACATGGCTTCGTACCAACCCTAACTCTAATTCCAACACCAACTTTAAAGATAACTATCTCTTACGGGGGACATATACTAAGGAGCCATATTAATATAACACAAGCTCGGACTCAGACTCGGACCCTGGTGAGGAATATATACCACCAGGGGGGGTCGGGGTTGGGGGTGCTAAGAAAACACCAACCCATTACTTTAATACATCACAAATCTTCAACATTAGGCGAGCGATACAAAGAGACAAGCACATTAATCGCCCTTGGCATAAGTTCCGACACGGATGTCGACTCTGATGATATCTACCTAACCTAACCTAAACCTTACACCACGTCGAGAATACTAAGACGGGCATATTGATAAGACAATAACTCACTGGGAACATGCTGGGCGGCAGCGCCTCCTAAGTCTTTTCCGATAAAGGGCTATATCCAGTTTACCTTATCATGTCGTGGGACACACAGGAGGCGTGCAAAATAAAGGCGGTTTCTTAACTAAATAATTACCTTACTAAATTACGTTCTGCTATCATGCAGTCGTGAATCTTCCATGTTAAGCAGAATTATGGTGTCTGAGCCTGCACCACACTATCATTAATAATAATAGGTAGCAAAAACAAAGACAAGAATCAGAATGGGAGTGCAACAAGGAGTTTCTATTTTCGGCAGGGTCTTGTTCTCATTATGGTAACATAGCAATACGAATAACTACTTTTTTCTCATAACGCCAGCTATAAGTGAAGTGTTTATGCAGTCTCGCTTTTGACTAATTGTGTAACCGTGTCTTCGATTTGTTTATCCGTGAGTCCTGTAGTATTATTGTCAGCATATAATTCCCTAATATTCGCGTGAATCCGTGTAGTACCTTCTAATGACTGGCTCTTCTCCTTTCCAAACTCTGTAACCACACCCCGTTAGCATTTCCATTGTTTCCGCAGGACCGCATAGCGCAAACGAACCATATCTCGCGTAGACTTTGGGTAAGGTGCCGGAAGCTTCTCGTATGAGGATGGGTGTGAATGGGTTGTTCTTCTTCATCGTGGGGTATGCTCTATTCAGGAATGTCCTATATAATACAACACAATATTGTCAGCTACCTTAGCATCGCGAGATTGCTTCAATTCGCGCTCACCTCGTCGCGGCACTACCCTCTCCAGTGTGGCAGAACAAGAAGCGAACCTCCTTCAGGGCCTTGGTGAAAGCATACTTGCCTGACATCTTTGCGATTGGCGCTCGGCGATCAAAGATGGCAGGTCGGATCGGGATGGTGGAGGTTGAGGTTCGCTTTGTACACTAGAATGTTTAAGTTGTAGTTCGAAGCTTTAGTCAGGACCGATGAATTGACGTCGGCAAATGCATAAAAATTACTTCCGATGCTACACACCACTTATGCAAGATTTATGCAAATGCAAGGAAACTTTCCCAACGGTTCCCGGATCTAACAATCAAATTCCAACGGTCTAAGTTTAGAATACGTATCTTATCTTCGGAACCCCAACTAAATTTATCCTAATATCGGACCTAGGAACCCTTTCCAATTCTTTATTCTGACAACAACTCATCAACTCGAAGGTCCCGAGGACAAAAGCGGAAAGCGAGCAGGCTCACGGTATTTTTTTCTTTCTTCCCCCTTCCTCTCGCCAGTAGCACACGCATTGCATATTTCCAAGAAGCCTGCCCATCCCATCCCTCATATTAAGAACCTTCAAGGCCGACCAATCCCTAAGGAAAACAATGCCAGCCGCTACCACTCTTTTCCGCGCCACCCGGCCCGTGTTCCAGCAGTCTGCGCTGCGCTCGGCCTTCCGCGGCAACTTTGCGCCCCGGACTGGCCGCCGCTTTGCGAGTACCGCGAGTACCGGGGAGGCTGCTTCTCAGAGCTGGTTCCAGCGCATGTGGAACAGCCCTATTGGTTTGAAGACGGTGCACTTCTGGTAAGAACATCCCTTCCGGACCGCCTACGTCTATCTGCTATAAGCGCATCTATGTTGACGGCGAGATTGTTCGCATGACACAGGGCGCCGGTGATGAAGTGGGCGATTGTCATCGCAGGTATCTCCGACTTCGCGCGACCCGCCGATAGGCTGTCATTAACGCAGAACGCCGCCCTAACGGCTACGGGTCTCATCTGGACGCGCTGGTGTTTCGTCATCAAGCCCCGGAACGTCCTCCTCGCCACCGTCAACTTCTTCCTCGGCTGCGTCGGGATCATTCAGGTCTGCCGTATCCTCATGTACCGCCGTTCGCAAAAGAACCTACCCGCCGCCGCCGAAGACGGCGTCGCCCAAGCCAAGGAGGCTGTCAAGGCTTAAAGAGATAGAGCGGTGGGAGACGCATGGACTACGGAGTGATGTAATTTTGATACCGAAGTACAGGGGAGCATTATGCATCGGGGGCGGGGGGCGGGGGCGGATGGTTGCATGACGAAATGCCAGCCGGCAGACTCGAACGAGTCCGGACTTGAGTGTTTCGCGAAACTTATAGACTACGGGTTGTCGATACTTTGTAGATTATCTTGCCTCGAAAACAGGGGCCCTTAGATGATGGGTTAGGTAAATAGGGGTATTCTCTTGTTGATTCTCCTAGGTAGCATGGTAAAGTCGGAAAAGGGGGGCTTGCTTGTACCACCACTTTACTACACGGTGCATCAGAATCAGTTCAACATGGAAGTTTTCTATTTTATCTTATGGTTGTAGCGTGTACCGCCTTATTAAGTATTAGCTTGAAATCAAAAACGTGCGAAGAAACCCTAAAGCTTGGGATAGGCTTAAGGATCGAATGTTGAAACATAACACGTCCTTTTTAGTCTTCCATCTACATTTATATTCTGATAATTTTGAATATTAGAAATACACGCGTTTCGTCCCTAAAGATTAGTGATAGCCAGTTGATAGTAACCATTTTTTAATTGTAGGACTAGCAAGATCCTAGTAGAGAGCTTCTTTCAGCCAGCTTCTCCAGAGTCAAATTGGATTAACTACGGCCATTCAGAACGAATTCAATAAACTTCTCTATTGTATTTCATCGCAATACACCCGTTGTCTGTATTAGCCACTTCAACATACACTGGCTCATATTGATGTCATCTTAAAGTATCACCATATGCCATGTCACAAAAAATCCGCGAAAGGTTTTATTTTGAACAGATAAGTCTTCATTGAAAATACATAATCATGCAAAAATGACATCCATGTACCCAGTAAATATCCCCAGACATTGACAGAATCTACTTTTAAAGCCAAATATATCAATACTACTCCGTCTGGATGGTCCCTAGATACGACCACTTCATTGTTTCTAGTATAAAATAACCCTAGAGATTATCTATCGTAACCAGGAGAGCTCAAATTTCAGCCCATAACCCCGCTTGAAGCGCTAGCGATGGTATATAGATATATAAGTGAGTACTTGAGATAGTATCATCTATCCCTCGACGTATTAGCCTAAAAGTACTTCCTAGAAGCAGAGAAATACAGAGGCTTCTATTAGATGAGAGCCATAGCTCTTACCACCAGCCGCTAAACGATAGTCACGGCAATTCTCGTGCGTAACTTTCATTGGAAGTCTTCCCAAGAGCTACCTGCAAGTCGCTAAGTCAAGCGCTCCAAGTTAGGGTAAGATGCGATATATGTCAGGGTTCTAGATGAGACATCTAGAACAAAGGAACTGTTCAGTATGTATAGACGAAAGATCTTCATAGATAGTCTAGAGTTCCTTGCGGAACAACGAAGTTGTTTCCATACTGTTTCGTTCCACCTCGTGACAATATAGACTTGCTATAGGAAGCTGGTTAAACACTGCGGCAGTGGAGGCAGCGACAGCAGTAAAGGGCATAGGGCTTCGCATCCACATCCACGATAGTATATTTGTTGTAAGTGGCGCAAGCTTTGTAAAACTGCTTCACTTCGGTATAGTCGTTCTCGTGAATGCAAAATTCGTCTAGTGTCAAGTCGTCGTTCATGATAGAAAAGGGGTTAGAGTCGCCCCACTGTACGGACGGATAGCGGGCCTCCTTTTCTTGAGCGTGCTCATGTCGCAAACCTAGGATGTGTCCCAGTTCGTGGCAGAAAAGGTTGGTCATCAGATCATACCGGCCATTCACCTCTATGAAAGCCTGTTCATATATCACCAACCGCCGCCCAATCGGCGCCGTGTTGGGGAGGAAGGCGGTTGCTAGGGCATCTCCACCACCCGCTGAGTAAATGAGTTGGAAGACAGCTTCTTCGTGATCCTGAACTCTCTTGAACCGTACACCGAACCGTCCCTTATTCCATTTTTCGACCGCAGCATCCAGAGTCTCGTTGGCCATTCTTGCGTACTCAATGTTGGATCTAAAACTATGACAATCCACGTTGAATGTGATTTCAGATCCTCGCTTCCATCGGTAAATAGTGTTGTGGCATCTCTTGCCGCACACTTGATGGAGACGGATACTGCTGATGGGCGTTGCCTCGGTCATACAAGGATACGAGGATGAATCTACCTCTCTATTTGGACTCGGGACGTTCTCAAAAATAGCATCAACTTGCTTCAAAGAGTGATTGATTCGGGGGCTAGGCTCGGCGTTAATCTTGTCGAGGTCGATCACATTGTTTTCAATCTCTATAACAGCGCTGTGTTCAGTGAGAGCATCCCGTTCAAGCAAAATCTCATTGCATATACTGAGATCAAACAACAAACTATTCTGGATTTGCTTGCTCTCTGTGTCATGCTTCTCGGGACTAACATCCTCGCTGTCAGGATGGATGAGAATGTCACTGATTGGGGTCCGCGGCGTCGATCGGCAGTCTAGATTGAAGGAGGATTCACAGTTATAACTAAGGGTGGATGATCCATTAGCTTCGGTAGACTCTTGAGGAAGAGTCGCGTATTTGACGGGCTCAAAGGTCGGCATGAGCTGTTGATCGAGAATGATGGTCAGTGATAATTACATCTAGGTAGGGACACATAGGTATTTTAGCTATCTTACCAGGTTCATATGACTTGTCAGGATTCTAGATGAGACATCTAGAACAAAGGAACTGTTCAGTATGTATAGACGATAGATCTTCATAGGTAGTTTAGAGTTCCTTGCGGAACAACGAAGTTGTTTCCATACTGTTTCGTTCCACCTCGTGACATGACTCTCATTTATTTTCTCTTTATTCACACCCTCGCTGTTGGCCCCTATGTGGCCGGGAAATTTCCCTTTACAAATTGTAGTATTTCTGTGTCCTTAAAGCCCGTTAGCGACCTCAATGGCATTGTGTAAGGAGATGGCTCAAAATGGAAAGCTGAATGCAGGAACCGGAAGATAAGCTGGGGGATTACTTACCAGCCATGAGGTTTAGTATTTACGAATAACTTAGGTACCTTCGCCAGGGAGTCTTTTTCATAAGCTATTATATGTTGCAAATACTGTATTCTGGTTAGAGCGATGATTGATTCAAGTAAGATATTTGGAGGAAAGAACTGTGTATTTATATGAAAATCTATCTTAAAGATTCGTAGCTAGATATAACTACCTAAATATTTAGGTCTTGCTACCAATATGGTTGTCCCTTTTCTGTCTGAATGCAATGTAACATGGACTTGACGCATTGCAACCCTCGGGGGGTTTACATATGGATTTACAAAGGCTCTATTGATTTACGACTTGCCGGAAACCTAAATCTACAGCATCCATCCAATCAGCAACCGCCAGTCACTCACCCAGACAGAGTGAAGTAAAGGCGACCGACCTGCTTACTTGTCAGCCATGAATTAGTATGTCAGTTCCCGTTCGCTCGCTTGTGATCAAGGTCCGGATCAACTAAATACACCCACGAGGAGACCCCCTCGTGTATTAGTGTGATACACTCACGAAAAATCGCCATGTGCGTTTACACGCGTGGATTGGCGTGGATTAGGGATGACTAATAAGCGTGATCTAAAATGAGGCTATTCCCACCCACTTATACCATGCAACTTGCCTCATTTTTTGTGTTGTAATGGGCTTTTTACTTTGCAATAGGCTGTGGAACGTTCGAATTTATCGTATTTAAGGCAAGGAATTCGGGGTCTCGTCTCGGGGGTTTTGTCTTAAGGGTCTCGTATTAAAAAGGTCTCGTATTAAAAAAGTCTCGTTTTACAAAAGTATTAAATTCGAAAGCCTTGTTAACTGTTACGGCCGTAACAAAGGTTACAATATTATTTAACGGTTTGTTAAATAATATTATGATTTAATATTTAAGTTAAAACTTTTATTTTTTTATGCATATTTTCGGCTTAGCCAAAACCGAGTTTACTACCGGAAGTATAGGTCTGAAATACAGATTTAAAGAACAATTAGCCATGGAAAAGATATAAATACGTAAGTTTAAAGCTAGTTATAAGACCTTAGTGTAAGTTTATCGTAGCTATATATCTTCTCCCCCGAATTTAAAGAAATCTAGTAAACACGCTCGAACTCTCTTGGATCTTTATCGATGATGATATACCCGCACAACATACTGTTTCGAGGGTTGTAGAGTTGCTTCACGCCCTTGTAGTCATCCTCCTGAATACATAGCAGGCTTGGATGTTCGAAATAGTTCATAACTGACGAGTTATTACGTCTACCAACTAACAGTGAAGGCCAACGCCGCTCATTCCGGATCATGTCTGCAAACTCGTGCCGTAGACCAAGGATGTGACCGAGTTCGTGGCAGAAGACGTTGGCCATATACTCATGGTGTGGTTCTTCTCTGTTGAAACATGGTGCACACACATATAGTCGCTGCTTTTCTGGAGGATAGCCTGGGAGGAAAGAATACGCTAGCTGACTAGGATCGTATTTTCTCGAGTACACAAGTTGGAATACGGCTGGTTTATCGTCTGCAACTTTCTCGAACTGTATACCGATCTTGCCTTTGTTCCACTCACTAGCTGCCTTTTCGAGACTCTTAACAGCGTGATCTGCGTCACCGTTGCTGGGAAAGCTACTCCGATTAACATTAAATGTGATCGTGGACTCCGGTCTCCATCGGTATATGTAGTCATGTTCAACATGCACAAAAATGCTGGTAATCGGGTCTGGCTCTGTTTCGCAGCGGTATTGACAGCTATTTATACACTTTGCAAGACCCAGAGGATTTCTGGAAGCGGGTTCAACACATCCCAAGGTTTTGGCGGCGCCCAATTTAGGCTGTAAGTAGGTCTCGTTGAGATCAATTGTATTACTTTTGATCTTGATATCCGTACTCTGTTGGGTCGGCTGCCTATCATCACTCCTATAATGCCTCTTGGAGTCAAGGAATGGTTCATAATCGTGGCTACTGGCGGTGATGAAGTTTGGCTCATTAATTTTGAGAGCCTTTTGAGAAAGACTTGCGTATATGCCACTGCTTGTAGTAGGAAAGCTGGTGTGTACTGCGTGTCTTCCTTCAGCTATCGCAGGCTTCCCGCATTTGACATCATGAGCAAGAGAGCGAATCTCATTCTCAGTTACTGATGTTAGATAATTAGTCCAAGTCGCATAATTGATTAGATAAAAGAGATAATATAATACCTATGATTATTACAAGGTATATGCAGAAATCGGGGATGACTACTTACAAACAGACATGACGAGGCTTGGTGTTTGCTCTATGGTACCTAGGTACTTAATTAAAAAATCATTTCGGGGAGTATTTTATTCTTGAATGCCGTGGATTATAGCTTGGACAAAGAATTACACGGAATATTAAGTTTATATAAGAGTTTATTCTCTAAATATTAATTGTCCTTGCCCGATTGCCCGACTTTTGAGACTTATTATTGACCTTAACTATTCGGTTTCTCCAGCTCTGCATGGTACACACCTGCAGAAGCAGTGGATACATACGTTCTAGAACCACAAACAGGACCACGACAGGGGTTCCATGCCGCGCGACAGAATTCAATTGCGAGTCGACGGGACATGTTACTAATGCTAAAGGAATTCACTTATAATAATAGCATGACGGCTGCATCCCACCCACTCTTTAATATAACACTCGAGATTTATTTAGTCCTACATAACCCTTCTACGTCACAAAGCTTGCAAACGAACCTACGACGAACTGACCGCCCAAGTTCAAGGCATAAATCGATAATATCAATCGAGTAGAATTAGGTATCTTGAGTATCTTGAGAAAAACAAAATCCCCTCCGCATGGCAACTAATCAAATAGCCAAATGCTGCAAATGCACGCGTCAATGGTATAATACAAGGTATATCAAATCATGCCGAGCCAACTGTCTTCTACTCTGCAAGTTTTTTAAAGAGGAAAATATGACTATCCGTCTAAACATCACGGCCTAGTCGATAGAAGCCCATGTAGTTCCGAGACGCCAACCTGCGGGGGTCACTCTATATGCCGGTTTCTGGATACAAAAGGTGATTTATTCTTTAGCACATTGCTGATTACTAGCCTCCGCAGGCTCATCCACTCCGTCAATGAATGGGTCTTCAAGAGATGGTTTATTGATCACTCTCAAGGTCCGTTGAGGTCGCCTTAAGCTCGGAAGGGATGAGGTTCTGGACGGGAACTGTTGTTCGTCACCGCTTTCGTCAATTGCGGGCGGTGTAGTGGTGATCCGGGTGTTCTACATCACGGAACACTCGCCCTCTTGCTGTTTGCCGATTTTGCTTCGGGAGATGCGTTCGCGTTGACGAGGTCCGCTCCTGCCAGATCGTTTTAGATCTTCTAGGCGCTCACGAGCCTTGGGGAAATCCTGGCCTATACCATCGTTAGCTTATTAGTTTACCCTAGGTATAGATTTAGAATAAATAGTTGAGAGAAAACTCACTTGCTGCTCTCCAGTACCATCGTTTGGCATCCTCGAGATTTGCAGGCACGCCGATGCCAACCTCGGTGAAATAGCCCATTGCGTACTCTGCTTTTGCCAATCCAGCCTGGGCTGCTTTTCTAGCCCATAAGTACGCTTCAGTATCACTTTGCTGCAAAACACCCTCGCTCCCTGTTAGATACCATCCGCTGAGAGCCAGTTCAGATTGGTGTTCCTCTTGCGTGGCAGCTCGGCTGTACCACATGATAGACAATCGTGGATCGACAGGACATCCCATTAGGCCATATTCATAGGCACATCCCATCCTAAACTGGCTGAACTTATACCCGAGCTGAGCAGCCTGTTCGAACAGCTGCAGGGCATATGCTTCGTCGCGTACGATTGCATCATTCGGTTGCGCCGACTCATACAACAACCCTAATTCGTGTAGTGCATGAGGATTCTCCGGATCTGCGCGCTCTGCTGCTCGCTTCAGCCATCCAACAGCCTCCCTCGGGTTCTTAGGCTGACCAAGCAGTCCCTTTAGCATGATCATTCCAACCTTATACATCGCGGGAGTATCCCCGAGCGTCGCAGCGCGCTTATACCACTGGATCGCTTTCAGCGGGTCTTTCCTTGTGCCACCTCCTTCATCATTGCCGAGCTCGCAGCAGACGGCTGTCCGATAAGCTGCCGCGGCATTTCCCAATTTCGCCGCAGATTGGTATAGCGTGAACGCTTCCTTATGATCTGAATCGCCAAACATGCCACGGCCTATGCAATCCGCAAAAAAGAACATAGCATCCGGATTTTGAGCACTGGCAAGTTTCTTTAAGATTTTATGCGCATCCATCACGTAACGTTCACGAGATCTAGCCCTTGCTTTCTGGTCAGGGAGCCTAGGAACTAAGACATCCGCCGCTTCGACGAGTTTCTTCGCTAGGGTGAGAGCAGATTGCTGATCGTTCGGATCACTCTTAATAATGGTTCGTAGGCGTTCCAGCTCCTCGGGTGTGACCGGGGTCTTTTCGGCAACGGAGGCCGGTCGCCCATTTTGCGGGGGTGGAGGAAGCCTACCTTGAGGTCCGGCAATAGCAGGTGGCGTATCGGCGCTGTAGTTACGAACCGGGGCAGGCTTTTCGTTTAAATTCACCATGGAATTCGGCATCAACCCAGGCCTAATGGGTGCTGGATGTCCAGAGCCTGGTCCGCCTTGGGGGGTTCCTTGAGAACTACGTCTCGGAGCGTTGGGGGTGCTGGGAAGACCTGGGCCGGCACCCGGGGGCTTATATGCTTGGAATCCACCCGGCGGTACCGGCGGCATATCACCAACCATTTCGAAGACAGCAGCTTGAGGTTCGCGCAAGTTTGGTTGCGACTTGGCCCTGGACACCTCGGGCTGGCGCGCAGGTCCGGGCTGGTGCATCCCGGGTTGGGTAGGACGTATATGCTGGTCGAACGATTCCCGTGGATTCTGTGAAGGAACCGCATCGAAATCCGGGATTTCCTCGTGGTATTGATTTCCATGTGGACCAGGCGGACCATGAGGACCAGGCGGACCATGCGGACCAGGAGGACCTGGAGGGCCTGGATATTGTTCTCCGCTTACCCTCTGGTCGTAGTATGAATCATAAAATTCGCCAAAAGAACCTCGATCTGGTTGCTCGTTCCATCCTGGGGGCTGCAATGACCCATTCTCGTACGGTCCCGGAGGTCCTGGAGGCCCGGCAGGTCCTGGGGGGCCTTGTTCGGGATACATCCTCTGGGGTGGCGGTCTGTTTCCTGAAGCGGTCGAAGGTCGAGGAGGAGGGTAATTGCGCCCAGGAGGGCCGTTATAAGGTGCGCTATCCATACGTTGAGGCGGTGGCGGCATAGCGTTTCTCATATAATCATTATTTGCCGGCATCGTCATACTCCTTCCAGGCGGTCCAAATCCTTCATCCCTAGAAGGAGACATCGGGGGACCGTAGCCATCATCTGGATAGCCATAGCCTTGATCACCTGGTGGACCTCGTCTTGGATCTGGATATCCTTGTGGAGGCGGTCCCCTCCCTCCCCTTTGACTATCCATAGATGGGCGTCCATAATCATCCATTGTTGGCGCTCGCCTAGGTCCCGGCATAGGACCAGGTCCTCTCGCTGGCCCTGAAGTACTTTTAGGAGGCATGCCCGGCCTCCCTCCGTTCAAATCCATCCCACCCATTCGGTTTAGGACATCATTCTCTTCGTCAAGATCCGTTCTTCTGTTATGTCCTGGAAATACTGGGAATGGGCTACCGAAATCTTGCTCGTTCGGGCTTGCAACGTTCGGGCCGTAACGATCTAGGGTATGAATTAGTTATAACATCTTAACCCATAAAACTTCATCTTCTTACCGTTCTGATCTAAAGAACCAGTGCGGCCTGGAGGCCCTGGTCGGCCACCTCGCCCAGGAGGCGGGTAACCTCTGCCGCCGGGACCTCCGGGACCTCCGGGACCTCCAGGGCCACCACCACGCGGAAATGGAGGCCCACGCATCGGGCCTCCTCTTCCACCAGCGCCGGGTGGGGGAGGGCGACCGCCTCTACCGGGAGGACCATACATATCTTGCGGAGGATAGCCTTGATTGGGCGGCGGTGGCCGTCTACCATAATTCATCTCTTGAGGCGGCGGACCATAGTCCTGCTGATAGCCGTTGTCATATCCATCGTATCCGTAATCGTAGTCATCTTGGTATTGGTTGTATTGCTGCTGTTGTGGTGGATATGCATCCCTGGGGGGGCCTCGAGGTACTCGTGCTGCCGGCCCTGCGTAAGGGCGCTGCTGATCTTGATATCCGTCATTGTATGCCATGTTTGCGACTCGAGGCTCAACGTTTTCCCCCTTACCAACGTAGGATACCGCGAATTCTCCAGAAGCTAGCGCTTGATATACTACTAAGCTGTCTCCTCAGCACAGCCTTGTTCCGCTCCTCTATAGTAGTAGACAACAGAGCGCGATGGTCGACAAAGGTTGAAGTGTAACAAGAAGCTGTATTTGGCGTATAAAAAAATCGAGTATAAGTCAACGCTCTGGGCCGTCGCAAGTGCTAGGGTTGTTAAGTCGTGGGTCTATTTGGTACCTGAATGTTGTGTTTCGGCTCAGTAATGATCGTCGGTTTCGGCAGGCCAGCGTATGCAAAAACGCGGCGAGTCTTGGCTTGGGATTGGTTGACAAACTTTATCCGAGACGCGCTGTAGGTTCGAACTTTGATGCTACGGCACGGTCTTGCACCTCACACAAGATTGAGTAGTGAATTACTCAGATTTTAATATACCCAGTACTGCTCTCGAATGAAGGGATGGTCCGTTTCGGAGAAGTCGTGAGTTGGTAAAGAAAGGCGACAAGCTAGCGCATTATATAAAGTGAATGCGATGTCTGAATTGAGGGACTGTTTATTTATTTAAATGTGAGCGACAAAACCTTATATCCTTCACATCTCAACTCGGCAATAAGGCGTCGGTAGCTTGGAAATAGAGTTTTGTCCAGAGGTTTAGAGGAAAGGGAACGGAACAGCGAAGCTTTTGCCGATAAGTTAACAACCTATGATGCGAATAAGGAATCGCTGGGTGAAATAAGTTGTGATGAAAGGAATGTACTTGGAGTCGGCGAAAAAGTCGCAGAATAACAAGCATCACCTTTTCCAGCGGAGTCAAGAGAGACCAGTTCCCTATTAATAATTATTTCTGCTCTGCAGAGGGTGGAAAAAGAATTATGTATGAATAAAATAAATAAGGACGATCCTTTTTAGGGATTGTACCTTAAAGAGATGCGGAAATGCGAAGTTGAGACGATTCGGCAAATCGGGGGTACAAGGAGACTTTGAGGACCCTAATAATATTATGAAAGTAACACTGCAACTTTAGCGTCTCAACTGCCCCTCTACGCCGAATGGCAGGTGCATGGTTAACATATCCAGGACCAAGTGGGATGTTCACGCGCTAAAAGGGTACATCGACTTTAGGTATGGCATCATGTACCTAATGTAGTGTTTTTGTTGGGTAAAGCTACTTGAGGCGATTCTCCTTTGCAGTTGCAACATAGGGGATTTGGAGGCCTGAGAATGAATTCCACCTCGTACTTTACATCTTATCCGCTCTTCATAGGTATCCCTTTATTTTTTAATCCACCTGTATACTTATGTACCCGATCGAAGGAATATCAATGTAGGTACCTACATAATGTATTTATGTATGTACTCCTTCAAGTGTCAATGGCTATTTTAACTTCGGCCGGCTTCAAGAATGTCAGCTATCTCGCTCTTCTCTTCTTATGGTTTGTCTATAATTAAAACAAGGATGGATACACAACAGCACACGCTGCACACGGCGCTTGCACTACATAGTAACAAACACTCATTGCCCGCAAGGTAAAAGTATGTATTAATTAAAACTCTAAGAGACATTTATCAAACTCAACTGCATTTGCATAAGAGACAGCAATAGAAATAAACCTAGCATTATAACTAACTCTACTATTCCGTACACATATACATACACATATCTTGGTCATATGCCAAGCAAAGTTACAGTATCAAAATCAACTAGGGCTGAGCTCATAACAGTACCTGATTGGCCTGCTGATCCCATCGGATATCTTACAGAAGTAAAGCCAGCCTCATCCGCCCCCTGTTAGCATGAACCGACTTGTCCACTCTCAATGCCGGAAACCAGGTGAAGTTGCTCAAATGCCACAGGTTCTGAAATGCGAAAATTGAAGCATGGCTTTGATATTTCAGAGATTGGTTACTTCCATGACAGCCCATTACCTACATGTACCTAATATAGCTTATACCTATAATACCTAATGCCCATGCTACTTTCATCGATTGTGTTTGTTTCATGTTTGCTCTTTATGTACTTCAGCTTATAATGTACTACGCGTATGTCATATCGAGCCGCCGGGAGGATCCGACCCGGTGAGCGCCTTAGAATGGAAAGGCGACGTGCTTTAGCCGCGGTTGGGCGGGTTAGAAACGTAAAAGGCTGCTAGAAAATACAGCAAATACGCGCTGGTTACCATTCATTAGACGATATCAACTACATCCTAAAGTGCGCTTAAGATTCCTAGTAGTTAACTATAAAGTTAACGACATGTATTTGAAAGTTTGCGATCCAATGGGAAGGAGAGGATTTGTGATAATGATGCCCCACCAGCCACATTAAATTATGTAAGAGAGGACCCTGAACAATGAATTTTCGTCATCGACCATTAAATCATTACCTAAATCATTAAATCATTAAACCGTACCCAAGCAAAGAGCACTTTTAACTTGCGCGGGCCTTTTCCAAGACTTTACCCCCGCCAACTATATGCCTATATGCCACAAGCCTAACCAAACAACAACGAAACTCACAAGATGGCAGCCAGGTCAGGAAGGCTCGGGACATGGCTCAAGATGCTTGCTGTGTAAGTAAGCGCGCTCTAATGCATCTACCCACCTGATCTATCTCAAGCAACTATACAGCCACCAATCTCAAAAGTAAGCGCCGCATGACTAACCTACACGAATCCACAGCGGCGGCGCAGTTTGCGTAGGAGGCCCCGCGTTCGTCATGTGGGTGCAGCCGACCGACGAGGAACTCTTCAAGAAGTATAATCCGGAACTGCAGAAGAAGAGCTTGGAGCGGCGGTACGAAAAGCAGAAGGAATTCGACGACTTCGTGACTCAGCTCAAGGAATATTCGAAATCAGATAAGCCGAGTACGTGCGATATCCTTTCAGTCCCAATTCAATGTCGAATCTACCCCGCGCAACATACCTAGATGTCTGGACGATGTTGCGAGGGGAGATGGGATTTATACGTACGCGTACTAATACAATGACAGTATGGGTGGTACAAGAAGAAGCCTCACGAAAGCGGAAGGAAGAGATGTTGCGACAAGACTTCTTAGGAGCCGAAGAAGCAAAGGCGAGAAAAGAGGCCTTGAGGAAGGAGTCCGGACTATCGTCTAATTCTAATAGTTGAATGATATCGCTTGCATGTTTTACGCAGCACCGTTGTATTATAAGATACTGGGACGGGATCTTGAAAAAGGAAAAGCTGGGGTCAAAAGGCATTATAACAAGGCGTTTGGACGAAAATCGGGCGCAAGTCGTTTGCGGTTTGCGATGTATTTCTACATATACGATCATGAACGCCTATCAATGTTTATTCATTCAAATATGGATTCTAACTTCTAAACATGACCGTGCCGACTATTTACGAGTTTACCTAGGTACGTATCTAGGTAGAACTCTGCTCTTCAAGACGTGCAATATTCGAGTCAACCAGGTCCTGTATCTGTGTCCACCTCTTAATTAAGACCTCCTTTTGCTGCGGCTCGCCAACATCTAGTGACTGCGCCTCGGATATCCTCTTTTCAGCAATGTGCCTCTGTTCCCTCAGCAGCTCCAAGACCAACCGATCTACGTTCTGCTGACTGCGCTCCCCATCGTCGATCCCATCTACAAACCTCTTCCACTCCCTAACTCCACAGCATAGCAACCTTGCCGCGACCTGTGTCCTATGGCATACCGTCTCCCGGTCTAGAATGTATTTCCCTAGAAATCCGACTTCCTCTAACCTCTCCTTCTGTCGTTCGCTTAATCTCGAGAGCAGCACTTCGTCGAGTAAAATCTCGTCCCATCGATTCTCATCCATGACGAATCCGTACTCGACAAGTAGGAAATCTCCATTATGTCTGCCATAGCAAATCTTAACCTCGTCTCCCTGTGCATATGCGCGTGTGGCCTTAATAGAGAACCCCTCGTCATCAAATGCCACGTTACAACCCCCGGTATCGGTGTGGTTGAACAGGTCCGCAACAGGCTGCAGGCACATGTGGTCGTCTTTGGGTCTCTTTTTCAGCTTGGTATTGACGTAGTAAAAGGTCCGTGTGTTGACTAGCATCCACGCATACCTGTACCGCGCTTCGTCTAGCTGCTTGGGGAATGCTGCCGAGACAGCAGCCCAGTCGAGCTTGAGTTTAGCTTCCTGCTTCAACAGCAGGTCTCGTGCCGCTGGGGGTAGTAGAGCACGTAATCCCTGTGGCCAGACTAGCGGCATACCAACGAAGTCTTCGGGAGTCGGACACACTGCGTTCCAGATCGCATACTTGGAAGATGCATCCAGAGCTAGATCGGCAGCTAGAAGGCCATGGATAGAGATGGCTTTTGGGAGATGGCGGATGATGGGCTTGTGAACCGTGTCTATGCTACGGATGCAGGATGTAGGAACATCAAGGACGATCTCTTCGGGCTGTATGCTGTGTTAGTTGGTACTCTTAACGAAGCTTTTACTTAAGAATAACCCTCAGCACAGCAGAATAGACTATAACAGACCTTGATCGCCCGAGCTGCAACTATACCAATACCCCTACCAGGGATACGTTTAGGCTCGATGGCATTAAGCTTAACGCCTCTCTCTATAGCCCAAGCGAGGAGCTCTTCGTGTGATTCCATGGCTATGTACCTGGGTAGGTTACGAGAAAAGAATTCAAACAGATGAGTTCGTAATGAGGGTAGATAACAAGAACGTGATTATTAAGAAGACTATAACCGGCCCTGCCTGCCATGACTATATATTGAAAGCATAGTAGTTGTCATAACAGCTTTAGCAAACATTGAGTTGGCGATGGTGCAGGCGTAACTGACAGCAGAAAAAAGATGGAAGAATTAATTTTGTGCTCCCCAACTCCGGTACTTATACAGAAATTTGCGAAACCAATAGATTAATAAGTGAGAGGTAACATAATATAGCCACGGTATAGAATCAACGATATAGAACGAATGATATGAATTCTAAATTGTTACCGATGACTACGTTATTTTTCTATTTCTATCTGTTGTAGTTTATTAGTTTCTTTTCATAACTAGTTATGTCATTAAGTTCTTTTGTTAGGTACTTTGTACAATACTCGCAATATATCTTAAGCCAGTATTTGGGACAAGATGTTTTTCTATTTATCACTTCTATCCGCTTTATTTGATACATGTATTATCTCATCAAATTTGTTACATCAATCATAATATTTCGAGTTTGCCATCTAGAAAAACAATGTGGTGTACCGGACGGAGATGTGGCCGGCTGCAATTCTTCTTAAGTCCGGGGTAAAAGCCGATGACATCTCGGGTGTTACCATGCACTAATAAGTCAATGATAAGGAACACCCCGCCATACATGTGTAACTTACGGAACTTCGGTGTCGTCATATAAGTTTCACGTACCTCCCTCTGGACCTATATTGGCAAGACCAACCTATCAATTTCATAGGTAGTTTAGTTACATTAGGTAGTTTTCTGCTGGCTTTAAAGCTTCCTTCTTTTTAATCCCTCCATCCAGCGTCCCACCAACAAGCAAGCAATCGGAGGGATACCGGAGAGATACCGGAGGGACAACCACACTAACACAATCTACCGACGTATCTATATAACACTTCCAGTCTAGACACGATGAGTAGCTCAAGGTCGACGTCAACGTCGGAAGATCTGGAGGCGCATTTCCCGGAGTATTTCGTCGACGCCGAAGATGATGACGACGAGCGTGATCCCGAATACGAAGAAGACGAGGAGGAGGATATAGATGAAGATGACATGGCGCACGACGTATTCGAGGATGAAGATGAGTTTCATGGTATGCGAGACTCCCTGAACGAATTAGAAGCTCTACAGCTAGCTAACAAATACACGCCCAGATGCTGAAGAGGGGAACATCCAGTTCGTAGTGCATGTGGGAGACGACGATGAAGAAGGCGGCAATGGAGAAGGTTCGCAATTGCCAGACGCTGAGAGGGTAGCTGTACAGCAGCGCCTAATCAACTTGATAAGTAGTGCGTCCCAAGCTACTAGAAATCGATGAATTGTGAGCTGACAGCTGATATATATATAGGCCGCCGTACCGGCTTACTATCGCAACGACAAGTCCTAGATTTCCTCCGAAGATCAAACCTCGGTCACTTGGTATTTGGCGAAGGCGAAGATGACGGCGATAATGATATTAGCTTCGGGTACCGGAGACGGCGGCGCGAACTGGACCCGGATAGATTCCCTAAAGTCCCAAGCGACGAAGGGAGAAGTCTGATGGACTCCGGCACGTTCGGCGCGAATGAGAGTCAATCTTCTATTAGCTCAAAGAAGCAAATAGCTCGCCGGATACTTGATCGTGAGCTTGGCATAGGGAGTAGGAGGTCTCGCCAGATCAACCAAAGCATGATGGCGCAGTCTATGATTCCTAGCTCGGATGCCGAAATGATTATTAATTACGACGATAACGTCTACTCGGGTCAATTCTCAGATGATGGCAACTTTTACTTCGCTTGCGTTAAAGACATGAAGGTTCGGATGTACGACACATCTAACCCGTATAGCTGGCGGCATTACAAGACAGTGCCGTTTACGTTCGGTTCTTGGACCCTGACAGATGCATCTCTAAGTCCGGACAACAAGTGGCTAGCGTACACTTCTATCCAGAGCAATGTCTGCTTAGCACCGACTGATCCGAACGACACGGGTGATCCATACATGTTGAATTTATCGGGAAACGGAAGGATAACCTGGCGTGGCGGATTTGGTATCTTTTCGATCCGGTTCTCTGGCGACGGACGGGAGCTAGTAGCTGGAACAAACGCAAGTTCTATCGTCGTATACGATATCGAATCGCGTCAGGTGTTGCATACGATAGAGGGCCATGATGATGACGTTAACGCGGTGTGTTTTGCGGATAAGTCGTCACCTCACATTTTATACTCAGGTAGTGACGATGCGACGATTAAAGTCTGGGACCGACGGAGCATGGGAGACGGACGAGAGGCCGGCGCGTTTGTCGGCCATATTCAGGGTCTAACGTATCTGGATAGTAAAAACGATGGCCGATACCTGCTAAGCAACGGCAAGGACCAGAGCATGAAGCTTTGGGATCTGAAGATGATGTATACGACAGCGCGGTTCCAGGAACTGAATCCGCGGCAACACACACGATACACCGAATTCGACTACCGCTGGGGCCGGTTCGACGATGCCGACTGGTTCCCACATCCAAATGACAACTCGTTGGTAACCTTCCGCGGCCATGAGGTACTGCGTACCCTAATCCGCTGTCACTTCTCGCCACCCGGTAGCACCGATTCGCGCTATGTGTACACAGGTAGCCACGACGGTAAAGTCTATATATACAATATGGATGCTACCATTGCCGGTATCATAGACGTTCAGAAGTCCACACAGGCATTGCCTCAGACCGGCGCCCAACGCAGGTCCTACGGCGGGTATAGATCTCAAGGTTGGTCGACAGTTGTTAGGGATGCGAGCTGGCATCCTACTGCCCCTTTTATTGCTGGTAAGTCTAAGTTTATATATATTTCCGTCCCCCATTTTAGGGATTACTGGGTACTGGGTTGGTAGTAAAGCGGAAGGCTAACTTTGAGAAATAGCATCGTCACTGAACGGCTGGGATAACGCCCTGGGTACGGTCACGTTGCACTCATTTAACGAGTCCTCGACGGATGAGGCTGAACCCCGTATGGGTACACGGTATGACGAGAAACTGAGGCCGGTAGGCTCGGCTCGTCGCCCTAGAGGATATGCTGAAGAAGAGGACGATAATGAAGAAGATGATGAAATTATCGCCTAACGAATTCGAGACGAATAGTATGGACTGGGAACTAGGGAACGGGGGTTTTTTTTTTGGAGCGACATATCCTCTTTGCTTTTACGGCCATTATGCTTCTAATTTGGCTGTCTCATTTGTATATTTTATCAGACACTAACTTATGGACACCTTGAACGAGGCGTTTGCGCTTTCAAGGCATATGTGGGGATTTAGGGGGCATGATAAATATATATCAGGGCGCACACTGGCTGATTTTCCACAAGTTCGCTCATTTTCATGAAGCACTGAAAAGCAATTTTATACAATGGCCTATAGAGATGCCAACGCAGCTAGAGCAAATATAGGAGCGTTCTTTATGATCTCGAGCTTGCGTCCCCCTTTGTGATTAAATAATCGAGTAAAACCTATAGCTTTTCCTCGACCCCAACCGTGATGATCAATCGTATATCGTATAATGCCACACTAGTACCGACATCTCGTAGCATGTATGGTATTATGAATGTCTTTATTCGTCCCGGTCTTCACTATACATCTCTCCCGTTGTCGTGCACCCTAGCCAACCTAACTCCGCGCCTCGAAATCCATTTGTTGAATCTTTTATGCGGCTCCGACTAGGATGTTGTTGACGGGAATGTGAACTGTGGGCATGATATTAGTAAACGACTCCTCTCCTTCGTATATGTGAGTGAAGCCATACTTAGTTTTATCAAGTAGCCAATTGCGCCCATGACTAGGAAACCAACACCGACGGCCTTGCTGATCTGGATGAACTCGCGCTTGTCGGCTGTGGAATAAAGTTGTTAGCATACCCGTACTTATATTATGTCTTCGCTGTTCTGCTTCTGCCTTGCTTTGCTTGTTCCTTGTATCCGTCTATTCAGCTCGCGATAATCGAGCTCCACAGACATAACACGGGGTATACGGGGGTATGGAGCGAGGGATAGACATACGCTTAGTGCATCGCGTCAGGAATTGCGTGCCGTCCTTGATGAAGTCCCTGGGGATTTCGAGGAGATCTTGAATGTCCGACATTGTGGATAGATGGTGGAGATGGTCGTAAAGTTGCGATTGAGGTGGATGAGTCCGTAGAAAAGTAAAGAAAAGGTGTTTTGTCGGACGGAAGAAGTCGAATTGTTGGCTTGCAAAAGGAAAGGAGCGAGAAGTAATTGAAAGGTGCAAGTGAAGTAAGTGGTGATGGATTCGGCCAGATTTCCTAGTAAATGTTCAGGTACGTTATCTCCAAATGCGCTAGCGTGGAACCTTGCTGCCAGTTGCAATCTGGCCTGGCTTGCCTGGCCAGCAAAACATGAAAGCTCCAGCTGCATGTGCACGTGAGTTAGGGGTATCCCTCTTGTATGTACGTACATGTACCTAACAGACAACCTTTTTTAGGCAATGCTACCTCGGGTTTAGGTAAGCCGCCAAAGGACGTTGAACGCTAAGATACCTAGGTACCTACCGGTGCTTGTCCACAGCCTACCCGCAGCCTCATTTAAACATATAAATAGTGGGTCACCCACCCCCCAAAGCTCAGCCCGTTCTACCGATTTAGCGCTAGACCTTCGGGCTTGAACTCCCCTTGTCACTTGTCGCTTGTCGGCGGGTTTTAGTTGTCGAGTCCATCTAAAACCGTTTCCTGTCAGAAACAGTCAAACTTTCAAGTTCAACAACGGCAAGCACACATCAATCCTGCTTCATCCCATCAACCACGTAACCGTCAACATTGCCAGGTGTAGTGTGCCGACTGACTCATTCCTCTATTACCCGACTATGTGTATCTCTAAGTAGCACCTTGCCCAAGCCGCTTACGACGCGTTGCAGCTCCTTTCCTCCTCCCTCTTGACTCTCTTGTCCCTCTTCATTGCCTAACCCTTAGGTCGTTTTATTTATTCTTTCTTTTTTTTTATTACCCACGTTTGATTATTAGGATCGAAAAGGGCATTAATTATTCCCGGACCGTTCAATTACCGGGTCACAGGACACTTTACGGGGGGATACGTTTTCTACTAATACTTCCATAATATCGAGCAATTCATAGGAAAACTTGGGGAACCGTTCTACATCTTTTTCTACTTCAGACTTCAGACTTCAGACTTCAGATATCGCGCTGCTTGTACTCTACTCTACACAACCATCATTTCTGCAGTCACACAGCAGTTTCAGACATTTGGGAATAAGGGACCTTGCGCACGCGCTTATTTCGAGGAAAGGCTGCCTAAAGACTGCAAGCACAGAGCTTCGTCTTTGATATTTCCATTTATCCAGGGCCCTATCGTCGTGCAAGGAGGATAACCTGCTTGAGGAGCTCAGCTCATAGGAAATATCTATCACAAAGGCTGATAAGTGTACGTATTTTGATACCGTGAGAAATCTCTTTTCCTCTTAATTGTTTCTTCTCTTATCCGGTCGAGGATCCAAACATGTATTTCTTGTTGACTGATGATATGGAGTGGAAGACGACAGGCACTTGTATCTACTCTGAATACATCCTCACTTGACAGACATCAGAGCTTCAGAACTACCTTTCTTCTTAGTCTCATTGATATTGCAACGTCCTTTTCAACAACCTTTTTCCGATATGGCGGACGAGGACTTCGAGATTGACGTCTATGGTGACGCGAACGACGCGAACGACGCCAACACCAATGTGGATGTCGATGACTCTAGGCTCGATGATTCGAATAATCATGCTTATGAAAACAACTCTTCTATAACTATTGCCAACGGCTCTAATTCCGAATCTACCACACACGCGCATAACGACGATTACGACAACGATCAACAAAACATGGATGCCCAAAGTAGTAGCGCGACACCCACCACGTCATATCCGCAAGGCGTCAAGCGTAAGGAGGCGTCCAGCAACAGACCTATCGACCCAGGTGCTACCAGTGCCCTGTTGCTCTCGGAACTTCAATGGTGGACTACAGATGACGAAATCCGCGGATGGATTCGACAAGCCTCCTGCGAGGACGAACTGAAGGATATTACGTTCAGTGAACACAAAGTTAATGGCAAAAGTAAAGGGTATGTAATGTCTATCCGGTAGAGCTAGCGATCCTTTACTAATATCCTCCTTATAGTCAAGCCTATATCGAATTCGCCTCGAAAGAAGCCGCAACCGCTGCTAAGCACCAAGTAGAGCACGCTGCTGCCACGTCCACTCAGCCAGGTGGCAAGAAGGTTACAGTCATATATACGTCGCATACAAACAACCCATTCAAGACTTTACCAAAGGATGCGCCTGCCCGAGCCAATAAGGATGGGCAGACCCGAGGAGGTTCTAATGTGGGAGGATACAATGACCGCGGCAACTTTAGAGGACGTGGTAACTTTGCTGGCCCGCGTGGAGGATTCAACCGCAACTTCTCAAGCAATATGGGAGGCGGCTTCCATAACAATGTCCCTAGCGGATTCAATAACAACATGGGAGGAGGAAACTTCGGTTTTAACAACATGGGTGGCGGCGGCGGCGGCGGTGGAAACTTCGGCTTCCGTGGTGGAATGATGCCTGGAGGAGGTATGGGCGGAGGAATGCGTGGTGGTGGCATGCGCGGTGGACGAGGTGGAGGTGGAATGAACCCTGGTATGAACGCCGGCATGAACAACGGTATGATGGGCGGGATGGGTGGAATGGGCATGCCTTTGATGGGCTTCCAACAGCCGGCACACTTCAACCCGGCCTTCTTCAGCGGCAACCAGCAGCAATCCGACTGGCAGAACCCCCACGGAGCGAAGCGGCCGCGCGAAAACTAAAGACAGTATAACTGTCTCAAAACTAAATAACCCTTTCTCACACAAGAGTTAGGGCGATTACTACCTATTTAGATCGAGCATCTCGGCACGGGATAGTATTATGGCTTTTGCAGTTACGGAAACAGTTTTCAGGTATTGCAGACAGGGAGGAAATATGGACAGATGAGCAACTAAGTTGCAGGCAGGCTGGTAGGCAGAAGGGCCGTCTCGGCTTTCAGGGGGTTACGGTCAAATTCTCCGGTCAATTGAAAATTTCTAGTTACTAGGGGCTCTTCGTCTTTCATAGGTATGAATCGAGCAAATGTGGCCTTGTAGTGTTACTTATTTTTAAGAGTGGCAGTTACCTAAGTACCTAGCTCAAGCAACCTTTTTGGATGTCGTGACGGTTTTGCGGTCTGGGCCGAAGAGCCCGAGGAGGTAGGCTGTACGGGTTAAGCATAGGAAGGTCTTTTATTAGATCAGTATTGGTGGTAGTTCGAGCATTTCTCCGTAGGCTCATTGGGAATATTCTGGGAGGTAGAGGGATGGGAGTATAACTTACAGTAAACCCAACATTACCCCAGGTCACGGCGTTCCACGAACCCACGTCCAACGTTCTATCATACCCAAGCAGCCAGCAAGTAACGCCGACGTGACTTATATCCGCGATCCTACAAAGTGAGAAAAGTTAGTATTAGAGTAAGGCGTGTTATATGAGAAGGATATGGAGTGTTTGCTATCCTGCCGCATGATGGACATAGGGCTACTAGGAACAGGGATGCCACGCATTACTTAATGTAAAACAATATTTACTATCTCCCGCAATATGAAACATGAAAAGAACTGGGGAAACGAACCATAGAGCGATGAGATAGTTACGGACAACCTTGAGCTCGGTAGTGGTATATAGCACAGCTACTCCAAGAAGGAATAGGAGCCCGTATGTGTTTCCTAACTGGAGGGCGATTAGGCGTGCATTATCGTCTCGCGGAGCGAGATTACTGCCATCTAGGGCGTCAATCTGTGAGGCTATAAACCACTCGGGGTCTAAGAAGGGCCCGAGAAAGCCACCAATACTAACGGGTGACGTTAGTTAGTAAAGATATACGTATTAATCAAGATATTATGGCTTACAGAGAGATAGGCTCTACGATAGTGAAGACAGTGCGGGGGAACGCCGGTAGTTGCGAGGCCATAATCCCAAGTACCCTTTATATTATAAACTTGGAATAAATAGTTGATATTAATATCTACGTAACCTCCAACCAGATATATTGTGGCGGGTAACGGATAGAGTATTAGGTGTAAGTGATCTGTCTGCTTGTGTATAAGAGAGTCCACGTATAGTAGCGGGTCAAACCGTAACCATGCGATAAGCGTTTGGCTATGTATTAACTAGACTTGATAGACTTGTATTAGACTTGTGAAGTTAGACCCACGTAAGATTTAGTAAACAAGAATGTGTCCGGCAGGAACGCTTCCTTCTAGAAGGAAAGGAAAACAAGATGATGAAGTTGAAACAATAAGGATGGCGGGTTAGGTATGATGAGTAAGTCGAACGATTATGGTGTCGAAGTACGTAAAAGTACCGAACCGAACCGACGTGGAGTGCGGTGTCAGAATAGGGGAAGGAGCTGCTAGGATAGCGGCGGGATAGAGGCGGGATTGTCCCGATTGGGTCATGATACAGGTACGGAAACTTTAAAGGATCAAACGGTAGGTAGCAAGAGGCAAGAGGCAAGAGGCAAGGTCCAAGGTCCGCGGACCGCAAGGAAAGAGAAATGCATCAGATAATTCCATTCGCAATTGCAGATTTGAGAAATGCTTGGCATTTTACCCAGCCGAGAAAGGAGGATGATTAATTTGAAATTCACTGCTTTGGTTATCTCTAGTGTAACCAGAACATCCCTCCCTCATTTCTCTCTTTTTTTTTTCCTTCCACTCTTTTCATAAATAACTTTTGAGAGAGTTTTTCTTTGCAGGCCATTGACCCCCAAAAGGTTCCGGCACCCCGAAGGCAGCTATCATCATCCATAACCTAATCGGTTCAGTAAATTGCTGCATTGGTTTTAGTACATAAAGGTAGGTAGGTCACTGGTCACTGGTCACTGTACATTATTAAGGAGGGATCAATGGTCAATGGATCAATGGTTCCAATGGTGTTTCTTCACGTGAAGCAGCAGCAGCAGCAGCAGTGAGAAGAAGACTGAAAAGAATACGCAAACGCGGCCAATCCGCACTAATACCTTTTTTCCCATTTCCTAGCACATGCAGCCATACTTTTGGTCCTATCAATGATAGGAAGAAGTTTTCCTTTTTCTCTCTCTCTCTTATTTATTATTACTATTGTTATTATTCCCTCCCCTCAAAGTAAAGAAAAAAGGGAGCAACGAGAATGTGAAGATCCTAGGATCTATTTGATGCTTTATCGGTGATTGATCGTCTACACAACCTTTTTCAATCTTTTTTCCCTCTCTTTCTTTTCTCGTACCAAAATCTAAAGCCTTCTTACCCTTTTCGCATCTATCTACCAAAGATAGACAGAGACAGACAGACAGTATCATACATACTGTGTCGAATTCTCGTGGCATTTCTCACTCAGACAAGATCAAACAGTAGTGTCCTCACTATTTTCCCTGGTCTCTTACGAGTCTCGACTGTTCTTCATTCCCCTTATCGCCTATCCCACTTCTACTTCTACTTCTACTTTCACTTCTCGCCTTTGCTCGCCTCCCGCCTCCCCCCCCCTCCGTGCAAACAAAGAGTCCGTCCGAGACCCTTTTTTTCTCTCCCAATGCCCTTCTCTTGCCAACTCCCATCGACCCACGATGGCTACTATCGAGCCGCGACTCATTCATCTGCTGAACGAATCAACTGCTACACCACGGCCTCACCATGCTGAGCTCCCGCCCATCAAAGTCCTTCCTCTGCCCAAGGCGTCCGGTCGTCTCCATCCTATCGGGCCCGATGCTGGTCAGAGATCCGAAGTGCCGGACACAAATCTAGGTCAATTAGCTTCGCAGTCTATGCCCTCGCTGCATGCAGTCGTAGACGAGGCTACCATCACGAATGCCTCCTTAAGGACCGACATTAGTCAACCATCGGATCGAACATTACTAAGTCATATATCGTCCCAGGATCTGCGCATGATACTAGATGACACGCCAGATAACATCGAAGACCTTGGAAAAAAGAGACGACCAGTAAAGGAAGACTTCGTGCAGCTACCGCAACCGCTCAAGAAACAGAAAGCGGCTACTCAACAGCATATGTTTCCACCAATTATAGTAGGATTGCTCGAGCCACCATCCGATGCTTCTCTTTTCCCGCCAATTTCTTCCGGATCGTTCGATAATCGTCCGCATTCCGAGCCTCCGCAAGCTCTTAGTATTACAAAGCCGCCCGAAACATCAGAACCGGTTGAAGAGAAGACGAATCCCAGCCCCCCATCCGAACCCGAACGAACGCCAACGGGGAAAGTTAAGCGACGGGCTGCTAAGCCGCGACGAAAATGGTCAGAAGAAGAAACCAATCACCTATTGCTGGGTGTGAGCAAGCATGGTGTTGGAAGATGGACAGACATCTTGGAAGACCCTGATTACAGATTCAACGACCGGACTGCGGGTGATCTAAAAGACAGGTTTCGGACTTGTTGCCCCGAAGAGCTCCGAGCAAGCCCGTCAGCTAGAGGCGACATATCCCGAGAGAAGCAGCCCAGCGTAAAGGCTAAGGGGAAGCCCACGAAGGGTCTCATGTCCGAAAATATTCTTAACGAGACAGAAGAAGAGATTGAAATCGAGCAGGCGCAATCGGCCCAGAACGATTCTGATCCTACGCCCCAGAGACAACGGAAGAGTAGAGCCCATCGTAAGAAAATGGAAGATTTAGTAGAGTTGGGCATCAGAGGACCGTTCAAAAAGTCACATCGGAGAGAGCGACGTCCATTTTCTGAGCAGGATGATAGGGAGATACTGGAAGGTTTTGAGCTATACGGGCCGCAGTGGACCAAGATCCAGAGGGATCCAAGATTTAACTTATCTAGTAGGCAGCCGACCGACCTACGAGATCGGTTACGAAATAAGTACCCCGAGAAGTTCGCAGGTACAGAAAAGACGGCCATGCAAGTTAGAGAGCCTGGACAGCCAGGACGAAGCAACAACCTATTAGAGCCTTCTGTCAATATGGCAATCGATAATTCACTACATGTTTCTAAGTCGGCTTTGCTCGAACCCCAACTTAACCGAACCAACTCGAAGGAAGATATGCCAAAGTGGCCGTTGCCTTCCAGTCTCATTGAAACAGGAGATTCGTCCCAACAACCTCACCATAACCTTTACTGGAATGAAGGCACAGGACCCGGATTTGGGTCTAGTAGTATGGGAGAAATGGACATATCACGCCTCCTCCTCGATGACACGCAGGTTACAAGTGAGCCGCCTTCAGAGAGACGTGGTCCAGGATGAAATCACCTGGTTATGTCGAAGGAGGCATCAGAACACAAAGTAGTGAATTCCTTTGAAAGGGAACTAAGAAATTGTGACGATAGGCACACATATGGCTAAGACTAGCATTCTACCTAGAGACGGGAGGATAAACTACAAGGTAGCCCGAGGTATGAAGGATGGGTTTTAAGTCGATGTTGCCAAAACTCGGCCCGGAATGGTGTCGAAATTACGCAGGAATATCTACCTGATTTTATGCTTCATTGAGCATAAAGGTCCTGTCGTTACAGAACATACGATACGGTTGTATCACTGGTTAAGGTGCGAATGGGACGAATACGATACATGCCGTGGGATGGAGGATGGAAAGAAGCGGGTTTATGACAATGACTGCTGACTGTATAGTCACAGCAAAATACCTCTAAAATTATCCACAAATTTGTATTGACCGATCCTATATTCGCAATAAGACGAAGGAAGAGTTTGAGGGCTTCAAGTTGTTTACCTGGGCTCAGATGTATGTACGTTCTGATATGTGAGGATTAATTAATGGTGATCAATATGCGCTCTAATAGCCCTCCAATACCGAGTATCTTAGTGGATAGGCACTATTTTGTTCCTAATTCTGGTTTATTTGTACTTGGCCAATCCCCTTGAGATGCTATATCAGTGTGTGAGCAGTATCATGTATGTATGTTAGAAATGCGCTCAGATGGCTTCGTGGTCTAGAATCGACGATGGAGGTACGTACCTTCAAGCAGATCTTTGTGGAACAAGTGCCAAGAGATTTCTGCAGCTGCCCATGCACAGACCACTTAACACCTAACTGGCCCCACATCACACTAGGGCACAAACCTGCCTTTTCTCGCTTCCCGCAAAAATTTGGAATTAGGCACATCCAATTCAACTTTTCTCAAAGTCGCAATTGACAACCCTCCACACGAATCTGCCACTTCACGATAACTCCAATACCCATCGTTGAACAGTCAAAATGGCCCGTGGACCGTAAGTATATCCTCTCTAAACCCCGTACTTACTTCAAATCGTATCTGGGGGAACGATGTGTCTGCTCAAGAAGTTCTCGCAACCCTCGAAACGCGCATCTCCACGTCGAATTTCCCACCGCTGAAATTTCACACGACATGTACTAATATTATACTTCAACCTGCAGTAAGAAGCACCAGAAGCGCCTGAGCGCCCCCTCCCACTGGCTTCTCGACAAGCTTTCGGGTGTCTACGCCCCTAAGCCGTCGGCCGGTCCTCACAAGCAGCGCGAGTGCATGCCCCTCATCATCTTCATCCGCAACCGTTTGAAGTATGCCTTGAACTACCGCGAGACCAAGGCCATCCTCATGCAGCGTTTGGTCAAGGTTGACGGCAAGGTCCGCACCGACACCACCTACCCTGCCGGCTTCATGGACGTCATCACCCTCGAGAAGACTGGCGAGAACTTCCGACTCATCTACGACACCAAGGGCCGATACACTGTCCACCGAATCCAGACCGAGGAGGCCGAGTACAAGCTCGGCAAGGTCAAGCGAGTGCAACTTGGCAAGGGCGGAATCCCATTCTTGGTCACGCACGATGCGAGAACGTGAGTTCTGTCAGACATCATTCAGCCGTTGGATCAAGCTTTGGTTGAACCACCTTTTCCCATCTTGTGATAAGATCGAGCTTCGAACTAATGGCTGGTATGTCCCCTCTTCCTCCGCGCATGCTAACATGCCTTTTTTTATAGCATCCGCTATCCCGACCCTGCCATCAAGGTCAACGACACAGTCAAGATCAACCTAGCCACTGGCAAGATTGAGGACTTCATCAAGTTCGACACCGGCGCCATTGCCATGGCTACTGGTGGTCGCAACATGGGTCGTGTCGGTGTCATTACCCACCGTGAGCGCCACGATGGAGGTTTCAACATCGTCCACATCAAGGACGCTATTGACAACACCTTTGCCACCCGTGAGAACAACGTCTTCGTTATCGGCTCTGAGAAGCCCTGGATCTCCCTACCCAAGGGTAAGGGTGTCAAGCTCACCATTGCAGAGGAGCGTGACCGCCGCCGAGCCCAGGCTCTTGCCGGCCACTAAATGGTCTTCTTTCGGTAAAACAACAAAACGGGATCTGGCAGAGGGTTGACTTTTTTCACAACGCATGGGAACTGGAGTCTGTGGCATATCCGATTCAATCTTACCAAAGGAGTAAGATTCGTGGTTTACCTAGGTCAATGATAATGAGAATTAATTGACCCCTGATCCCGCCTCTACGTTAGGCAGTTATGTATCTGATCCTCCAGATTTTGCATGCTAGATTCGTGTCTCTTCTCTTGTTAGTATGCTTTGCTATATGCCCTGCCTCTAATCGTAGTCTCGCCTCCATGTCCCCCTAATATCGTCTCTATCGCACCAGCCCCAACGAGGAAAGACCAGGAGGATTGTGTCAATTTGCCGCGTTCGAGGAGTCTTCTCTCTTATCATGCAAGCCAGTGATAGTAAAACAAGTCAGTCTAGCATTAACTTGCAGATAGTGTAATCCTCTGCATGATCGTGCTTAACGCACGACATGTAAATGGGATCTTGCACCTATCAGTCCCCTTTGTTCCATCTTTCCTGAAGCCATCATCCTTGTTACAGTTCACCGCTTGTTTTATTCTAAAAATTTGCCTTCTGTAGACTACATACAGTGCCCGATGTACCATATGCTTCGTAGTATTTAGGGGTGAGCGAATGAAACTCCGGCGACCTGGGTTGAGGAGAATATGTTGGTTTTGTTCTCGATTCCTCTTGATATTGGGGGAAGATACAGATAGATGGATTACTTTGCCGGTTGTAGGAGAGGAGCCTATATGTATTGACACCTACCTCAGTATCTGGCTTAGTAGGGTAGAGGATGATATCCGGCCTCCTGAAGAAAATTAAAGTCTGGGACATCGTGATGAGGTGTTTCAGACTGTAGGTAGGTACTTCGTATAAGTTTATTGTCATGTAATTACCTAATTCTCACTTGCTAGTGTCGACGGCTGGGTTCGGGACAGGTTTATGCTTCATGGTTCGAAGAGGTAGAAGCTACCTGTGATAGACTACGCTAGGTTGGGCTGGGGGGGTTGTTGGTCTCATAGGATATATGCATATTAGTACCTGAACCCGATGGGCGATACAGCATTTAGGCTTCTTGGAAAGGGGCTGAAGTCCTCTCGGTTCGATATTGGGTTCAGCTTTCTGGGGAGTTCTAAAAGGTTGTCTGTGAACCTGTCCCGAAGGTAGGCGTCTAAATGCTGAGAAGATGATAGAGTCTAAAATCAAGTTTAAGGGGGCTGACTTGTAGCTATGTTGGTCTAGGTGGTGGACTTGCCCTAGGTCGGTTATTTAGGTACCTTAAGTAGTAGTATCATCGTCTATGTTTTACCATTCCCCGTGTCTGTATGAGGAAATGTTCGCCAGATAATAAATATTTCAGTTTATGATTACGGTTTGGTGATAACAGAATTACAAGTGGAATGATCTAGATAACTTTTGGTAATTGGCAAGTTAGTGGAAGGAATTACACGAAGCCTAGAAGTTGTAAATTCAAAGTACTTTTGGTCTGTTATGGACTATCTATTTTCTTCATAATACTTTCAGTCAAGCCTGCAACCCTCTGATCTCTGTAGCCTGTCGTTATTTTAAACCCATATATCGTCTTTATTCGAGCTCCTTCTTTTCCGCGCCACTCTTGACAACTCCTTCATGTACATAAATAACCTCTTTGAATTAAGGAGAGACAGGGGGGGATCTTGAAATATAGTATTTAGATAACAGATGACATGTAGCGTTCAACTTTACGTTCGTTTACTTGCACATAGGGACGTTTGTAGTTGGTCACGAATGAAGCCAGTAGCAGCTAAGATACGGTAGGTTGAGCATATTAATCGACTTTGATATAACTCATCAAATCCGCCTACAAGGCAAACTAGGGTATTCAAAAACATGTTTCTGTAGTTATTTTCCAGGGAAAGACCCAGGAGGAAGAGACTAGAATAACTGGATGTTTGCTTGAAGGCTTCACTAGTACGTAAGCGCGAGTGTGTTTAGGGTAATGAAATTCGAGCCTAAAGCGACATACGTACAAAAATGTAGGCCGGTCGGTCGTCGCGTAGGCATCGGAAAACCTCCCCGAAGCCATCGCCGAAACATGTTAAGTCCGTTACTAGGGTAGAACTATTCTGGTGTGGAGCGGTAAGTGATGATGATACATATGGCTGTGACTATCCGGTGGATAGCTAGGGTTTATTAGACGAGCCTTGCTATATACCTTAAACACGGCTGGTTAGGTGGCTTACATAAGCGGCTTTTATTATGTTGTGATACATCAAACAATATAGCAGAGATGTCCCCAATGTAATACCTGGTACGAAAACATGGCTATAGAGGCGGTCCCAGTCTTTTATCGACAATTATAGACTTGCTAAGGCTCGGGAAATATGAAATGGTAAAGACGCATACTCGCTAAACTATCGAAGAGCACGATTTGCCAACCTGGGTTGTATCTGCTTGAGAATGTTCCGATTTGGCTTAAGGACGAAGCTAGTTATTTAAACTCTCTTGTGTGAAGATGGCTTCAAATAGCTCGCTAAATTATTGTTTAGCTTACATAAGATGAATATGATATTAATTAGTGTTTATTATAGGGAAGGAGGTGATAGGTACTATTAGCCTTTAAGTGGCAATGCTTGTGCACATCAAAAGGCATTTTCTTACCCAGTTTAAGACTTGTCGACGCCATGAGTGACACAAACCTCTTGCATTAGGTATCTCCAACGAATCATTTCTTTACGCAAAGATCAGTGCGAATTATCCACTTTTCTCCTGCTGTTACTTCTCGACCCTCGTGCTTTAAAAGGGGTTAGCTTCCCCAGAAGAAGAAAGGCATCGTTTAGCATACCAGCAAACAGTCATCACCATGCTTGTGAAGTAGAAGCAATCCTGTTTCAGGGGCAATGGCAATTTCTTCTTTTGGTGATTTGCGATCTCGAGGATAAAAAACGGTCTCTCCGCCAGTACAGCCTTCAGCCGCCGAAGTCAGATATAGCAATAGCGTCCAGGTTGTTTTGGTGTTAATGGTGCCAGATGACTCGTCAGGGTGCTGTAGAGTCACTAAATTTGAGTCATCGTCTGTAATTATATATTAGTAAACATGATTCTCATATGAAAAGAGAAACAGTTCTAGCTGTAAGGTCCGCGAGCAGCATTAATTCGCTCCAATTACAAGATTTAGACCATAAAGACAACACAAGAGGCTTCTTTAGGCTATGATCTTGATACTACCGCCGACTTATGCTTGGACCAGAAGATGCATCGAGGTAGCGAGAAGGGGCAAATGAGATGTCGAGGATTCGGACACAAACCCATGCTACCTGGAGAAAGAAATGCAGGGAGTTTGCTGCAGAAAGGACACCGCTCCTTGGAATCTAAGACAGAAAAATGTAAAAGGTACGTACAGTGACAATCAAAATATTGCCCTTTAGAATATCGATATACCCGAATGTTGGGATTTAAGCCTATCGCATCACCGCCCCTATGAGTATTCGTTAGTGATATTCGTTCGTTGGGAGTTGAATAAGGCATTTTGAGCCATTGAAGTGATCATCATGATAGGCAAGGAGAAAATCTTACTAACCATAGATGTTTATAAGACTCGTCCAGCAGGGTATCCTTCAATCCTGTTTCAAGCCATAGTTTCTCTGCGAAGCGGTTGTCATCAACTTGGAACCTATCGTTCACCCTTAGCGCCTCGCCACGCTTTGGGCGGCCAGGGGTAGTCGTCAAGGGCAGCGTCTTCAGAAAATTGACATAGTCTCGACAAAGGCTCTTTGGCCAGAAGTTTCGCAGTAGGATTATCTTGTCCTCCAATCCATCGGCAGGGGCTTCCGGGTAAAGTTGCACAACAGGTAGAGGCGGCTTAAACGGTGGCCAACCCGGTGATCTGGCAGCAGCTGTCGTGGAAGGATTTGAAGATATATTTTTCTTGGCTGACTTATCTTTCCCCATTATATTAGGTACTAAGTCCTTTAGCTTTCTAATGTCTAGGAGATTGGACGGTAATAGAACACTCTAAATATTGGTATTCAAATATTGGTATTCATAAGATAGGTGTATGTAGGTAGTGAAAGTGAAGGTATGTAAATCCGAATAACAGGTACCTAGGTAGGTATGATATAAGTGGAGGCCAAATCCAACGGGTCGGAACCTCCCGTGCTTAATGTAGATCGATCTCATCTAGGCCAATCAGCCGTACTTAACCTGAGTGACTCCACTTTATGGATGTACTCAATGTACCTTTTACATCTTTGTAGCTGACGGAATTTATAACCTCATAGGAGGTATGTACATACTGTGGGAGCTCACGTGTTTTCGACCTTATAGGCTTATGCGGGTAGCCCAACTGCCGTAAGCACTTACATGATGGATACATATACGTTGTACTATATCACATAGTTAGCGTTTGTTTTCTATTCTTTCCTCTAATAGCACTCACCTACATGATACCTTAACTTATATCTAGATGTACCTAAGCTAGTTTGCTTCACTCAGCCATAAAAGCAACAGCCTATCAAGAAGGGTATCGTTCAATAATTAGCATATGATATTCTCTCACCGCCCCATTTCCGGACACTTTTCTCCGGAAGTGTAGTAAAAGAAGCACAAATCTGTCGAGTTGCAGATACTAGTAACGATAATATCAGTCTGAGGCTTGCTTACACGAAAATCATGGACGATGGTGATCCCAGCGTTGAGAGCTGATCACCACGCCACAACGTTATTCTCACCTGATTTTTGCATTGACCGTCTTGCCTTTTCCTTTTCCCCACGAGCTGAGCGCGAGACTATGATGGCGTATCCAGTCGTTCGCTGGCGATTCTTCGGTTTGTCCAAGAACCGGTGGTGCTCCCATACAAACATACATAGTTTATAGCACGGTTCTATCGCTTCCCCTGTACATAAGAGTATCATAACTTCCCCTGCTGCGACATAACATGTTCTTCAAGAGGCCGTCTCTTATAGATTATTCTTGAAGTTATACCGTTATCACTCAAGCTAAACGATGAGTAGATTCGCGGTATACTGTGACTGGATCGCCACTGCTCGAAAATGTTTGAACGGTGAACAGCCTCCACGCTACATAGCAAGATTCTACGTTCGGGAAAACCCTGTTCGGTTTCCTCTTGCCGGGGTAGAACCTTCTAACCGCGTCGCTCAGTTTTACGAAGAGTTACTCGCCGAGGTCGAGCAATCCAGGCTGAGAGACAGGCGAAAGAAGCTATACCGGCAATTCGTAAATAGGGTTATCGCTGCCCATGCCGCCGTTGAAGATGCGGGAGTACCGCTTGGGACTGTTTCGATGCTTCGGAACCCCCTAGCTCACTTAGATATAGCGCTAAACCGGATGGCGGATTTAATAGAATACGACAACGAGCATCCGATTCATTGGTCAGAAGTGTTCCCGATAGAGAATACTAAGAGTCAATTATCGCCAAGTGAGCTTTGGCTCCACTTCAAGCTAGAGAGCATTCGGCCATGTCTCGTCTTCCTAGTGCGGCTCTTGGGGCTAGTACTTCCAAAGTATTCGGACATGTGGCGTGAATGCGATGAGAGCCTGACGAGTACAGAATGGATAGCTCAGTTCATTCTCGATTCACCGAGAGCTCCGAGGGAGTCACCATCGGCACGTCGTCCAGGAATTGACCTGTCATCTCAGCAGGCCAACCCTGGCTTGCATGGCATACAATTGTGCGGCTCGGCTTTAATGAGACATCCAAGAGTCTAATCCTTCTAAATATGGTTAGTTTTCTGCATGTCGATAGATGGAGGGTAGTATAATGTACTAATACGCGTTGCAGAAAGAAGAGAAACCCAAATAGATATTACCTATAATGTTGTTGCCATTGATAAATTGGAGCTGTCTGTAATTATAAGGATTAAATTCATCCTCTTATAGGACTCGCAATGATAGGTCTACTAGGGAAACTACCTGTTCGGAATTTGGCAAAGATTATATGAATCCATACTAAGTTGAATTGGAGGCTGGAGACTGGAGACTGGAGTGTTATATTTCGGTAACTGAAAAGTGTACCTATCCGAGTTTATGGATAGGTAGCGTTATCCTTTAACTACCCAATTAACAAGGCCTTATGCTACTATCGCATGCACTCCCCCCACTTACCCCAGATTCGAGTTGGGGAATTCCCTTTGCGAATTCTGGGCTCTTTACCTGCACATTTACCTGCACACACGACATCAAATCCCTCCATCTTCTTCCGAGCCTGTTTTGCAAGGCTCATCAGAACCCTTGTGAAACGCAGGACTGTCACTCTTTAATGTAGAAAAGTTGATGTCTTAATGTCTTGATATTTTGATATTTTGATACTTATCTTTCCCTTGCGTCTGGTTCGATTTCTCATTCTTTTCTGCCGCATACACAACTTCGATATACACCGCACAAACCCCAATGTGGTCATTCGGAACTACTATGACAATGGCGAAAGATAGCGATCCTTCGCCGGCTTCTGCCACACAGGTTCAACAACCTGCTGAACCTGCTGAACCTGCTCAGCCTTCACAGCCTCTCCAACCCCCCCAGAACACGATACCATATCCCCGGCCTCGACCGCCGATACTATCGCAACGCTCGCTCAAGCAACTAGGCCTATTTTTCGCCGGCGCGGGCTTTCTTACACTCTCGACTATGATAACAAGACGGGCGGTAGTTAGAAAACACTTGGCGACGATTCCCAAATTCTATCACCAGAGTCATCAACAAGTTAACAAGATGGAATCCGATGGCTCGTTAATAGCCCTCGAGGCTCTAAATCTTGCCACGCTCAATGTCCTAGGATTCGGTATTATGATGACAGGTGGCCTATCGTGGGCTTTTGATATCTCGAGCGTCGATGATTTAAGGAGTATGGCAAGGGGACATGTTGGACCCTCTGGCGGCCGAACCGATGAAGAGGCTGAACGAGAAATCGAAGAATGGGTAGCGAAGGTGCTAGGAAGGAAAGAACAAAAAGAAGATACCAAACAACCGCTCGAGAAGGGCGACTAACCGTGCTAAGTAATTAAAGCCGGTAGAGGAAAGGTCTTGGTACTCAACCCATACTTGGGGCTCAACACCAAGAACCAATCTTATATATTTCCGCTCCTCCCGCACGTCGAAACTCGATAGTATGTCATTGGCAACTCGCTGATTGGTGATATGCATCAAATATTCACGTACTGAAGCGGGATCCTACTCCAAGCAAGCCACACACGTTAGCTTATCTTCGATACCAACAATTGCGCCCAACGAAACGCACCGTGCCTGGAGTTAGGTATTTGTTCAGCTATAGGTGGCGCTCGCGGTCTTAGTATTACGCAGTATATACTGATGAAAACACCGGCCCATCAATCTGTTCTCTGTCTAACACTTGGCTTCCAATCGTATCCTCTCGTGTCTGGACAGAATCCTACACAGCCTTCGACTGGGAATATGCCCGGTTGTATTAGACTATTTTCGTCGTGGAGATATTATTTGTGAAGTATTCCTTGCCTAGCTCTCAACCACTGTTTCCTCCATAGCTATTTGTTCTGCAGAACGGTTAGCAAATATCCGTTTGGGCGGTGTAACACAAGTCCGTCTGCCTTTGAAGTCGTGTCAAGGCTATATAGGTGTTCGTCATGCGTCTCAACGATACCCGTTCCGAGTACACTAGTTGCTTATTATATGTCTTACCCTTGACATCATGTCTCGTTCTGGGGTGTGGTAGGCACACTTACACCAATGATATATATATACTAAATATGCCCGAATGATGGTACCGGCACGCCTTGGGTATAAAGACTGAGAAATCCACCCATTTACATAAAATTATCTTAACAAGAAACTATATTTATCATGGCTATTTATCACATACGGGTCCGGAACTACCATTGGGCCCATCAAAATATTGTCGTCCAATCTCCTATTCTCAATCTCGACACTTACGCACCAGCACTAATCGTTCGACCCCTGGAAGGCGTTAATATAAATGAACCTCGGATCATCAATAACGTCTCTGATCTGAATGACGATATCTTGGAAGACGAGTATCAGGCTGAGGCACATGGAGTATTCATCTCAACAGACCATCAGAGAACAGACCACTTCCCCGTCTGGGTAACCGTACATGGCCACGAATGCGGGGAGAACAAGGTCCATGTTGCCAACTTGACGGCATTTGAAGCCTCTAGCGTTTCCATAACGGACGTTTGCTGGATTCCCCGCTTGGAGGCTCCTGATGGCAGTTTATATACGGCCATCGGTGCCCCACGGAAAACCTTCAGAACGATACAGGTTCTAGCTATCATCCAGCAATTGGGGAAACCCAGAGAGGCCAGATTAGTTCTCGTTGACCCGGGCAAACTCGATAGTTACAAGAAGATTGGTGACGACCAAAAAAGGAATATATTCGATATTCAACATACAGCTATCCGAACAAATTCTAAGCCTTCAGAACCCCTCCTAGACGCCTATCGCGTATTTGCTTCTCCCTATAGGCATGACTATGGCCGACTTACATTGGGAGAAATCATAGAAGAGGATCTTGAGATTCCTCGATCCTCCAATTCCGACTGCGGCTCTCAAGGTCTCTCGGATAGCTCGGATGACGATGATGATTCTCTCTATACCAAACCCAGATACGTTTCAATAGTAGACGCTAAGACTGTAGGTCCCCCCAGGCACTGGTTGTCATCCCACGACGAAAGTAACATGTGCCAGAATATTGACATATCTAGCAGCGTCCATATGATTGCGATTGCAAATACGCTGATCTTCTCCCTACGTGCTTCAACCCGCGCCCAAGCCATCGGCATCGTACAGATGACGAGTGCTTTCTCGGATCGAGCCACATAAAACACTGTATATTCGCGGACCACGCACCAGATTGTGTCATCTCCAGTTCAAAGGAGATCCATGAACATTGTATCCATGCTCCCCCGTGGGAGGTAAATCAACCCGACTCGGAGGGGTATTTCGAGGAATCTTATAACGCTGACGCCGACATCTTGTTCGAAAAGGCGGAAATGGGCGTAAATGATACTCTTAGCCCTACGGATCCCGAATCGACTACTACTGACTTACTATTCATGGATTTCTAGGTTTGAGTTGTATTCACCTGCCGCAACAAGCTAGATACTATGGAACGACCCTACGTACCGGGCCTAGGCATCGTCTACGGGATTGTCTAAGAACTACCCCGGGAATCTTGCGCGGATTCTGAAGCTTACGGGTTACCGGGCGTGCAAGATATGGCGCCCCGACTACGCGTTCTTATACACGCAACGAAGCTGCAAATGGTATACGGGTAGACGAACAGGCGAAGGTATTGCTGTAGCATAGCGTTCATTCTTGAGGAGGTTAACGCTGCTCTTTTATGGTAAATCATAATATGAATGTCAAAGATATCTCCTTTTTTACCTACCTACGTATAATAAAGAATTTCTAGTTGTATGGACATCGAATTACCCGCCTCAACATCCCCTACGCTTTTCTAAACTAAACGACCTTCTACTCACTGTTACTTGCCTTGTTCTTGGAATTTAGTAAGAAACTGGAGGATTTCTATTTTGCTTCCCTAAGTAACTATAACTATTGTAATGAGTGTGTCCACTAAACGTCCCATAATTCTGTAGAGCTTATACTATGCATGTACACTGCGTCTCTCATCGTAGTATGTAGGTTAGAAGGTCCATAGGTATTCTAGAATGGAAGAGTTAAAATGGACGATGGGGTTAAACACATCGCCCCTACATACCTTAGTACTCTCCACCACTATCTCCACTTAGACATCCTACACTAGCCTGGCACTTGGATATTATGTACTTCTATGCGCGAGCTTACGAATATATACCGCAACTACGTATACGCATTCCATCACGTGATGGAAAGATTCTTCTTCCATTTCTTCGCACGGTCGGATGGTGTAGTTGGTTATCACGTCAGTCTAACACACTGAAGGTCCCCAGTTCGAGCCTGGGTTCGATCATTTCTTTTGCAATTTTCTTGGATTTTCCAAGCAAGATATCTTTTTTATTAGATCACCCATTCTATATATAACCTAGGTATGTAGGTAGATTAATGTTTCTTTGAGAAAAAACGCAGTTGTCCATTGCGTTATGTGCTACCCCCGCGAACGATATTTTCTTTTTCCTGTGGTAAGATGTAATTCGTCAATTACAGTAGCTTTTGCATGAGCTTTTCTGCATATACCTACATGTATTGTTAATTAGGGGCAAACTATTCCTATCCTACTCCGGTAGCTTATGGCAGATGTCTAAAGCATATGTGTATTGGTTGGATAATCCAAAATGATTCGCTTGTGGCACGGTGGAAGAGGTATGTATAATGATGGGTAATGAATTGTTCAGTAGTCTAATTGATTCTCGCGCCAACATGTTTCCACGTATGCGAATGTGTATCCTGATAGTAACTTGTTACATGTAAAGAAAACATTACCCCATACTATAGCTATGGCATGATACCCTCAACATAGGTACCTAATGTAAAGAATACAAGTGTATGCGATGAGTTGGCGGCTCGTGGCGATGCTGATATCCTCTAGTGCCGTCTATGACCCAACTCAGGAACTCCAGCGCAAATCGCTCGGCTCTCCTTTTGCTCTTTCACTGGCCACGATTAAAATTATCATCATATGAACATTCCGCATGAATGTACGGCGCCCCGTCATATAGCGTTCTCCTCCGCACGTCCACTTATCCGTGCTTCTAGTCCCTCACCCTTTTCGAGACTTCCTCTTCGGCCCCAGTTTCGGGGCTGGTGTTTAAGAAATGCGCCTACGGCACCTAGATATCCCTCGTGCCGCAGGAAGTACGCTTGCTTCTGGCCTTTACTCCAGAATTTTATAGCGTAGCTCAGCGTGTTCATAGTTTGCGGGTGGCCACGGATGAAAGACCCGCCAAAGTATATGTGCGACAGGTCGTGTACTTGCGACTGCAGGTATGCGATCTGCCCAATGTTATTACTGATAGCGTATAACAAGGATCGCGAAATATCAGCACTAGAGAAACGTGACAATGCTAATTCGCTTGCTCGAGAGGATGTAGGACGCTGTTGTTGTGTTTGCGAACAGCTTGTTGTTGAAGAATTCTGTTCTGAGCTCTTCTGCTGCTGTCGTCGGTTTTGGTCATCACCGTTTGAAAGACCACCCATATCCTCGGCCTCATTTTCTGCTTCTCGCTTCATGCGGAAGACTTTACCGAATGAACTAGCGATTGTGGTGCTTTTCAACCCAATTTTACCATAATCGGTGCCATAGATATCGCCAACTAGCATATCTACTTTAGCATTGTCGCCGTGCGCGGCCATATCCAGCATCTCGTCGAAAGACTCGGCGGGTGTAAGAAGCGACAGAATCCCCCAAAGGGTACCCCCACCAAGGGACGTGCCGCCTACGCGCTCGTAGGCTCGCGGGCCGGATACCTTAAGGATGCTAACGCCAGACCCTATATTTACGAGCATATATGGGTAAATATTAGCGTTAGGCTCGGCGAAGTGCATAGGATCCGTCTCGGAATATGTAAAGACCTCGCGTGGTATTTCGGTTATAAAGAAATCGAGACCTGTCGCAACGATGCGCATATTAGTCTCCGACACTTTCAGGATTGGCACACTCAGGACTAACCAATAATTAAACATTCCATTTCATCTTCTCGTAGGACGTCAACACCAAGCCGTTGTCGGATTCTGTCATAGTACTTGTAAGCACCGCCTCCCGTCGCCATTACACATAATTCACCGGGCTTAGAGCCGTTGAGGGCAAGTTGCTTGTCTTGTAGATGTCGCATAAGCTCAATACAGTCGTCGATGCGATCCGTCTCGAAAGATTGGAAATTTAGCCGGCCGCCGGGATCAGTCGAATGCGCTTCGCAGGAGAAATAGACCAGCTTAGCTAGCGAGCCACCGATCTAGATTAGGAATTTGCGCGTTTAGCTCGGAGAATTCAATCGCAAACTCTAGGTCTTATAGAGAAAGCCTACATCAACAGCGATATGGCTGACAACAGCCGTATGGTTAGGAAGGCGAATATCTTTTGTCTCGTAATAACTATTGCCACCAGACCCAGACACATTGGCGGGAGTACCAGGCTGTTCAGGTGTATCGACGATGAATGCGCCTTTGACATTGATGCGAACAGAGCCGGGATGTATTATGGTACTATCGATCTCGGCCGTACTCGTCGTCATGATGCGCGGTCTTCCGGCGGGATGTTGCGCCGCATCTGTCTTCCCGTCGCTCTCGTCATCTACAATGGCGGCATCGGCTTGATAGGTGTTTTCAGACATGATTCCTCGTCGTTCTGGAGCGGGGCTATGGAGCAGACGGTGGGGAGAGGGGCAGTAATGTAAAGAGATAACTAAGTGATGATCAAAGCTTCTGTTGGCTCAGAAGCCCATGAGTAGAAACAGATCAAGGAGGCATGAATTCAGGAATAAACTTAGGAGCTTGTTTGGGTAGCTAGAATGAATATTGATAACAGCAAGCGCAAGCGATGAGGGCATTTGAATTAGCGCTTAGAATTGTGCTTAGGATGCCAAAAATGTACCACGGACCGGAGAAAGGGAGTCAGAGCCAAGACAGCCTCAAAGAAGTACGAATTTGTTTGGTGGGACAGATGAACATGGATTTGCATGGATCAGTAAAAGGAAAAGGCTAGGAAAGACGATGTTCATGTTCAACAAATGTGATTGACCCATTTCTACGTATGTTACCCCACAGTATGTCATACTTATTTCTTATCGATAGTGATTGATAGCGTGGTTTGGACCCCCAACAAGACCCTCCAAAACCCTACGTGCGGCGCAGTAACCACCCTCTACAGTGTAACATGCCAACCAACCTAGGTACCTACCTAGGTACGGATCCTGCCGCTGCGTCTACCCGAGTAGCCCGAGGTACTACTGCAAACCCAAACATGAAACCGCAGCAAACCGGAATGAACATACCCCTAACATATTAAGGTTACATACCTAATTTATATACACACCCTTGACAGCATTAGGTAGTTTCCCAGATACAGCTATTTGCCCAGGTAGGTATCCCGGGCGGGTACTCATGTTGACTACATGTAGTATAACAATACATACCTATCTAGACGTGATATCTAGCAAGCATTATCAACCCCTCAGAAGAACCTCCCAGCAGGCACACTCACAAACACAGCCGTCAGCAAGCCAGCACCCACCAACCCACCCACCAGCGCCTGCACAAAAATGACGTCCTGTATCTGCCTAAGCGCCGGCTCCTGAATCCAAACCTCACGGTCAAACACCTTCCGCAGCAGTCCACGGCGCTCGTACCGCACCACCCACGGCTCGTCCTCGTAGCTATTACTAGAGCCAAACGAGTCGAAGCTATTATTTCCCTTAGCTTCTCTACTTCGATCGCCTAGCTCAGACTCATCGCACGACGCGGCGAAATCGAAGAGCTCCCACGGCCGCACGTGTCGGTGATGCAGCCCGTGTAGGACCACGCACATGCCCTTCCACGCCGCGGTCAGCGTCGCGATGCCCAGGACCCAGCCGATGGCGAAGAGCGCGCGCCAGCCTCGCGCTGCGGAACTCAGCGTGAGGATTATGGCGCCTGCTGTGGCGCAGAGGAGGGTGCCGACGCCTAGGCTTCGGGCGAAGGTTACTCGTGCTGGGTTGCCGTTGCAGATGGTCCAGCGGATGAAGTTCGGGTGTGCTTGACGTCGGAGCGTGTTCTCTATGCTTCTAGCGATGGTCCGGAATGCTGACGGGTGCGTTGTGTATGCGAGGGCTTGGATGACGCCTTTTTGCTCTCGGCTCGAGAGGTTAAGTTGCCGTGGGGCGTCTTCTGCGATGTAGGTCGCGATTAAGCGGTTGATCTCTGCTCTGAAGGGCTGGATGGTGACTAGGTAGGTAAGGTATTAGTAGTGATACGTGTGTTAGAATTGGTACGCAGACGCGACTTACATGGTTGTGTGGCACCAGCAGCACTAAAAGCATCTCGGGATTGCGAACGGTAACTAGAGGCCTGGAAACCCGATAGAAAAGAAGGGGTTATCTTCGTACTTGGTGTAGAAGGGGGTGTCGAAAAGGGGTCTCCATTTTCTATTACTGCATCTACTACCCCTTTCTCAAAATCTGTACCCTTGAAAATGGCCACTGCTTTCATCTCTCGCCTCATTTTTCCTGCGACGTCCTTCTGGATCTTGATGGTCGTCTCATTCTCCATTGCTTGTGTCCATTCTGGCGAGAGCTTCGTGTCTAAAGTATCAGCTTCGTCGAACCGCTTTATGTAATCGCGATACCAAAGGAAGAACTGTAGGTTCTCGGCCGAGTGCTCGATGTAGAGTAGGTAATCCATAAACTCGCGGACGGTACATGGCTTTGGAACATGACTTTGTTAGTCTACGGACCGGAGTGGTGTTGGTTTGAGGTACTCACTGGACAAGTTCCGCCGCTCATGATTCTGTCAAAGGTGAGGGCTTCGGGAATGCCAGACGAAGAGCCTGGCTGGCCCAACTTGAGTGAGGCATCACTGCTTTCGCTTTCTTGGCTGCTTGATAGGAATTGTTTCTTATCTACATATGCCGGTCGCTGATAATTAAGTGAGAGGAACCTCATATTGAGACAAGTGTTAGTCAATAGCCGGGTGTTTTTAAGCCTTCGATCTGAAGCTTTATAAAGCTACTATAAGAGGTATGTACCAGCGAGGATTGGTAGCTACCTAGGACGAGTGAAATAGATGATATGTATAAGATCTCAGAGCAAAGATATTGAGAGCTAAGACCGGGGGCTTCTCCCCTATCTAGACTATAGAGTGGATTAGCCTAACGGCCAGACGATGTCTTACATCTAAGGGCAATTGTATCCGAGGGTTGGGGTGCCGACATACAGCCCCGAAGCTTATGGGGAATAGCCAGGAACGACTACATTAGTGCTAGGAACATATTATTAGAATGCCACTTAGTCTTCAAGTCGGCAGTCAATAATTAGAAGCTACTAAGCATCTTCCCTCTTGATTACGAGTTAAGAGGAAGTTTCTTTTGGATTCATGAGATTCCCATAGAGCTAACCCCACGCTATTGTGATATTGGAGTTGAGGGCACTGTTTTAAACAGTTAAGCATGGAGTAGAGTGTCGACGCGTTTTGAGTCAAGCAAGCGCCAGCTTCCCTCATAAAGTATTTCTAGAACGACCATGCTTGCCATCTGGCTGAAGGGATACTCTCAAAGACGGAATAGTCGTAGTTCCTCGAACTCGGTTAGCTAGCCCAATTGGAGGCCGATAATAAAGCTTTCAAGAGACCCGGGTGAGACAAATAGCCTCGCAAACACTTCCCGTGGAGACAGCTGAGAAGTCAAGAAGCTAGGAGCACGGGAGAGAAACCCCTGAGCTGGCTCTACCGTCTCCACAATACGATCGGCGACATAAAATCTACGAGATCGATGTCATGCATCGGGTCTTGATCTTGTGCCTCTTATAAGGTTGCGATTGCAGTTGACATACAGACATATACTTATAGGCGGTTAGACAAGAAACAGTCCAAGACGCCCTACAGACCAATCGACTAGAGTTAAAGCGTATCGTAGAAATTAATGCTCATTTCCTTAGGGGATACCTCTGGATTCTATCCTTAGTATTGAAGCCATCCTAATATCTAATTTTCAGCTCACATGCTTTATGTTAGTACATGTTTCTTTTTATGCAAGGGCAGTTACCATTACTTCGATGTTGGAGGTCAAGTTAGTGTTTACCATAGGATACGTACGGTTATCAGTAAAAGTGAGCTGTTAGCCGTCAGACCACGATGAATCATGTCTCATATTTAGCTGTCAAGATTCTAAGAGATCCGCTAGCGAGTCAAGAACTAATACGTAGAGCTGGGTTAGAGCTAGGTCACACAAGGGGCTTTAATAATTCATTGTTATAAGATTGTAGTTATGGCCCCTAACATGAATATTTCAGAGTAGACTTGATATTAACTAAGAGCTAGATACCTATTAGTTAATAAAGGAGAAAGAGTACTAGTTTACTGAAGAGAAACCGAAGTGGCTTTAATTTTTAGCCAGATATACTTATACATAACTAGTTCCTTTTACTTAGTTATTCCATTAAAACATAGAAACTTGGGCTCAGCTCCGGAAAAGAAATACACACCAAACCCTTTCGCATCTCCTGTCGTACGATATGTGCATACGCCACTCAGCCCCCAGGGGACCGAAAAAGCTTAAGACATGCGTGTCGTTCCTGGATCAATCAAGTTGCCAGAAAATTGGATTTGGAGCTCTGCTCTAGTTCGAAACCATGTGGTCGAGGCCATGTGGCTTGCATCTAGGATGGCATGCTAGAGTTTCATACATACGCGCACGCATCTAGTAAGAATAGTATCGTGGCTTTATTGTTGGTGCTATTGCATTAGACGACTATTAATCATTCATTAACGAGGAATAGGAGAGGATTATTAATTCTTGCCATCTGACCCCCTTTATACGTCTCCCCCCCGCGCACCCATAACTTTGGTGACTATTCCGGCTTCATTAGTATTGGGAATTCCCGTGTAGACTCCAAGCATGGTCACTGTAGCAAACTATAGTTTTTCTGTTATACTCGTCCTTATGAGTAACAAATTGTTTACACCAAAGTCCCCAAACCATTGATCCATGAAGTCATACGGCAACAGTATACTTTTCGAATACACACCACTACTCAACCAAGAAGCCCTTTCGCGTCACCAATGCTTCTCGGAGATGGGAACTGTATTCACGTCCACACCATCCTTATACCATCTCTCTTCGTGGGCAATCTTGACATCATTTCCACTCACTAGAAAGAAGCCGAGTTAGCGAATACACATATCCACGAACACGAAAATGTCAATGGTCAAGGAGCTTTAGGGAATTAGATAAGAAGTGCAAGTAACTTACTCTGGCGCTTTCTCATCAGCCCATCATCAGCAAAAGTCCAGTCCTCCAGCCCGTACGTCCGCCACCACTGGCCTTCAGCATCATACCATTCGTACCAGAACTGGACGGCAATCTTGTTGTCCGTGAAAGCGAAAAGCTCCTTGCGGAGCCGGTACCCCTGCTCGCGCTCCCATTTCTTCGTTAGGAAGACCTCGATTTCGTCTCGGCCCTGCAGGAAGGTGCCTCGGTTTCGCCAGATAGAGTCTGGCGTGTAGGCCAGTTTTACTTTTGCCGGATCCCTTTTGGAGTGGCCGGTTAATTTTATCTTTTCCTCATGATGTATCTATCTTGGGATTGATGATCTTATGATCGATCTCCCTGATTGTCCTCTTCAAGTGAGAAAAGTAGGGGAATAGGATAAACCCACTTGGTATTCCAGGCATCTTGAGCAGCCTTCACTTTGATCTGAGCAGTTTCGGCCGTGAAAGGCGGGTACGGAGGCTTTCCCTTGTTGTCGCTGGCCATAGTACTATATTTACACTTATTTTTTGTCTCTTCTAATTTGCTTTGATAGGTAAGTGGTTGTTATCAAATTGACTCAGGAGTATGAAAATTCCTTCACTTCTACCTCCTTACATCTATCGATATTTTGCTATCAGTAAGCGCCAGACCTAAGCTCCGTTGAATGAAGCAAGGAGTCGAAGCTCAGGACCGGAAATGACTACGTGCCGGTGTCTACAGCGCCGGACCCCGCTCGGCCGCCCGCGGGATTCGAGAACGTCAGCATGAAGTATGCGTCTAACCTCATCTAACCTAAACCATCTATTTCCGGAATTCATGTCAAAATTTATGGAGAAAGTCCGGTATGAAAAGGCGCGTAGTTAGGTAATTTAGGATTTATTTTTCCTCGGGGTTCGAAGCTAGGGCGTATGTAGGTAATGTTGCGGTGATAGATCTAGCGTATAACCGGTCGATTTGTTTCTCATTTTTCGTTTCAATTCCCTCCCGGCAAGGGCCGATAGTCAATCAAAAGGGGCGCCGAAAGAAACCGGAGATCGGTGTTAGCGAAGTCAAACATTCTTCTTGGATACCTGCTGTTTATATCCAGGGATGTTTACTCATACTAGGATTATCCCCGGTGGAAATAGATTCTGCTGGTACGTTATACTTGGATTTCAAAATCCAACAGGTCACGAACAATTCAAATACCATCCCGGAATTTGGAATTTAGGGGAATAAGGGTATAGGTAACATCGGGGGTGACTTATTTGAAATGCTGTTACTCTGTTAGCTACTGTTAGCTAATATACACATGTCATTACGCGTTTCCAAGTTACATACTCTGATCGATCAAACACTAGTTTATACGTAACCAATTCCAAATTCACCAAACTTTTTCTTTCACATGCCCTCTTTAGCTTAGCAATCAAATAGTCTATGTAAATCCGCTTGCTAGCCCCCCCACTCCGTTTAACGATTTGGTGGACTCATATCATATCTGTCCTGAGGTTCCGAAACATGTAATCCTTAAACGGCCCTTTTCCTTTTCCTTTTCCCAAATGTTGAATAAAGAATTATATGGGCATTGTGCTGTAGGTTGTTGATTTTGTGCCGAAGATGACTATTGAAGAAGATGAAGAATTACTAAAGCGTATCGATAGGAGGTGTAGCTAAGGAACATAAAAATACCTATCTGAATGACGGAATAACGGAATGACGAAATGACGAAATATTAGTTAAAGCTCGCGAGCGGCACAGGCGGCCGCACCTGCGTTGTGGGAACCAGTTACATAACCTGGCTACATATGTACTGCTCACACTAAATATGTAGGCCACACATTCTTTATCTGATCTATCGCCTGTAACAAAATTTGCAGCATACGAAAAGTACCTACGAACAGTAACACACCAAACCCCTCCCACCATCAAGGTTCCTTTTTACCCCACCAACAACATCTAGACCCCACCATCATCGTATTGTCAACGGCGGCAAAGAGATGATGCCAGCGCGCTTATTAGATTAATTTATATGCATTATGTTGCGACCGCGCGGTAACATGCCGACCAAGGTCGAGTATATACCTATACGAATATTGATGTAATGTAAGTAGGTAGGTACCTATATGACTTGGTATAATGTCGGCTTTGTACGATGCAAACTCTTCTTACTTACATGGCAAGTACATGTATCTTGTAACTTGGTTTAAGGTTACATATGTACTTCTAGGTTATGGGAAGGGACATACGTACATGTACCTAGGAAGTAGTAATGGAAATGCGCGTAGACTTTAAAAGGGAGGCACGTAGTAAAAACTTGCAGGGTCGATGGGACGGAATCCTTGGTATCCGAACTCGCAACGCTATCTCAGACTCGGCTACCATCTTACTGTAACAATAAATCGCCTTGTCCCGATCCCTCGTCTAGAGCTGTTAAGAGCTATTTAGAGCTATATAGGTGGCCAACCACTTCCACAAGATTTCTGAGTTCCCCTTTCATCTTCATCCACAATTATACAACCATCTAACATCGAATCTTTTACACTTCGCCTTACTTATACACACTTATACAGAAACTAAAGAACAAACACCTCAAATACCAACCCATATATATAAATCAGCAACAATGACTACCCTCAAGGCCGGAGACAACTTCCCCGAAGGCGTCACTTTCACCTACATCCCCTACACCCCAGAACTCGCCGGCGTAACAGCCTGCGGCATCCCCGTCAAGTACGACGCCAGCAAAGGTATAACCTATAATCCCTTTGTCTAAAACCCAAAGTATATAAACTAACCCCCCCCTCGCAGAAGCTAAAGAAAAGAAACTCGTCATCGTCTCCGTCCCCGGCGCTTTCACACCCACGTGCCAAAACACTCACATCCAGGGCTACATTGAGAAGCTACCCCAACTCAAGGCCGCCGGCGTCGACCAGGTCCTAGTCATCTCCTACAACGACGCTTGGGTCCAAGCAGCCTGGGCCAAGGCCAACGGCATCAAGGACGAGATTGTAAGTTGTAATTCCTTCCTTCCTTCCTTCCTTCGTCCCTATCCACCATTCATTCCCCTTTTCCGAAACAGGAAATATTCCGGAAACAGCGAAAAACTTCATTGGACGCCACATCTCTAGGATGGCTGTCGCGCTCCAATCATACCAAACTCAACAACTAACCTAATACCCAAAACAACAGATCTTCGCTTCCGACGACGGCGCTCCCTTCAGCAGCAGCATCGGCTGGACTCTCGGCGCCCGCACCGCCCGCTACGCTATCGTCGTCGACCACGGTAAGGTCATCTACGCCGAGAAGGAGCCCGACAAGGGCGTCACCGTCTCCGGCGTCGACGCCGTCCTGGCCAAGCTATAATTATAGCAAAATAACTTACCTACCTACCCATGATACCAACACTGGAACCGGATTTCGAGCTATAGAGTAGGAAGATAGGCAATGGACGGAAACTAGAAAGGGGACGGGGCCAAGTTCACTGAGACGTACGCTGAGCAGTCGCGGTTCGATCCTACATGAGAAGACATCTATCTTGCTAGCTAGCTACATATGTACTCTGGAACAAAGCCCCCTCCGAATTAGAAGTTAGTAACTAGATAAACTACATATGATAGATTCTATTCTGCTCATTTAATGGCGTGTCTTATATATCGTCTTGTATAAGTTTGCCGATGAAGTTTTCAATACTGTATATTGTTGGTATGAGTTATTTTATAAGAAATTTCATAAATGCGCACTCGGGTACGTGAACTAGCAATTCAACAACTAGATATCTTATTTCACATGGCGAAAGGGAACCACGAGATATACGAATTCAGACCGTAGAACGAGCTGGTATTATGAAGCTACCAGGTTTAGAATTCCCATGACCATATTAACCATGAGAGATTCCATGCATCCCCCCCAACCGAATAGATGTGTGTGTGTGCTACGTGAAGGTTTCTCTTTATTCGCAATCGAGGAAGAAGACTGTTTCCCACCGAAGACGCCGCCGGACGCAAGAGGGCTACTACAACAACAACACTAGAGATGCTATGCCGTATCATCATCATCATCACCCTTTTCTCTCTTTTTGTCCTCGCACCACTACTTTAAAAACCATTCACCCTAGGAACCCCTCGCCAGAAGATTGACCTAACAACCCCCGAACCAAAACCCCAAGACCCGAACTTGACTTTGACAGACAGACAGACAGGGGACTGACTGGCTTAGCGGGTGTTGGACTGGATCTTGGGCTGGGCGCCGCGGGCACTCTGCTTGCCGACGATGCGCTGGGTCTGGCCCTTGGCGGCGGTGGTAGCCTTCTTGGCCTTCTCGGACTTCTTGGCGGCGGCGGCCTCCTGCTTCTTCTCCTTGGACTCCTTGATGGCCTGGGCGCGGGCGGCGGAGCGGGCCTCGGGTCGCATCGATCGCTTCTCCTTGATCACATCGAGGGAGGCGCCGACGATGGGTCGCTGGGCCTTGACGGTGCGGCGCGTGCGCTTCTTGGCGACTTCCTGTGGCGGGTGTTAGCGTATCGTCTCGACATGGCCATGCATGCATATAGATAGATAGATGTCTGTCTGTCTGTCTGTCCTCGGTGACGAAATATTTAAATTTCGTCATCGTCGTCAAACCGAGAGACGCGAGTGGGAGCGTACCTCAGAGATACCCTTGCGGTGTTGTCGTCGGAAGAGAACGGTCCATGAGATTCGGCGGGGGTTCTTTCGCTGTAGGAAGAGCGACTCGGACTTGCCGTTCTGGAATCGGAAGACTTTGCTGTCGCCTCGGACGTAGAGCTTACCCTGTTGAGATGGTCGCGTTAGTATTGGTGTTGTATATCACGTTAAATAAAACCTCGTGATTGAGTGCTGCTCTATCGCATTATCCTTCTCTTTATTCGTCTGGTCCTCCCCGAGGATTGCAGCAATTGGTGCAATGTATTGGTCGGGAAATACGGAATCGAATTAGGGAGTGTGCGTACCTTGCCAGGGTAGATCCTCTGACCGGAGAAGGTGTCGTCGTAAGTTCTCATGGTGGCGGTTGTTGTGCGCTGAGAACTGAACTCGGTGGACTGCTGTGAGGTTAGTAGTTTCGAGGTGGTTTTGGTTGGATTGTGTTAAGAGGACGAATTTCGTAAATGTCAAAGTTGCGCACTTGTGTGGGCTGCATGACTAAGCCCCGTCATTTTTTTTGGCCTTCCATTAGGCTTTAGGGTCTCGCTTGATGTGGCTTGGATGGTGGAACGTGGCTGGTGGGGGGTGAGCAAACACATTCCATCGAAGGTTCCATTATTGCAATACTTCACTTGTTGCATACTCCCATATCTACCTAGGTACATAGTCTCCTATCTCTTCTGACTTCGCCGACTTTACATTCAATATATTTAGGCTCTCTCGACTTCGATTATATATTTTGTTGGTCATGATATTCTTTTTACTAAATCTATCCGAATAATTCTTCGAATTGGATTGCTTTGTTGGATTTACCACCTAAGACTCAAGGCTCCGATGACAGTCACTGCAGATGACATCGCTGCAGATGACATCGCTGTACTAGTGCAAAAACACTACAATTCACTTCCAGCAAAGAGGAAACCACTCGTCAGAGGCAATGGGCTGCGTGAATGGGTGCCTCTGGCTGGAATAGTAGCTCAAGGTATATATATTGCAGTCTTCCTCCAGTCCATTCTACACGTAGTTTTAGCTCTTTTAACTGCAGCTTGTAGATAGAAATATCAGGTCCTCATAGACTAATACCTAATCTAATAACAGGAAAAGATGGCGAACTCAAGTGTCTAGCCCTCGCGTAGGTTAGCCTCTCAAAATCTCATTTTCTCTAATTAAGTCCACCTGGGCGTAGCAGAAACCCCTAAGATCTGACATGGCGCCGGTCTAGAACAGGCATGAAATGCCTCCCCACGTCCAAAGTATCGCAAGCGCAGGGGAACGTACTGCACGACTGGCATGCGGAAGTGCTGGCTATACGGGCATTTAATCGCTTCGTACTGGATGAGTGTAGAGTACTGGCTCAGGGGTGCTCGTCTGAGTTTCTACGATGGCGGACCACCGATGAGATAGTTTCGAGTTGTTGTGACGATACTCAAGCAGGAGAACTGGAAAGAGAAGGAAGTGAATGGCGTGGTCAGCCTTTCACTTGGAGGGAGGACGTTCTCCTACACATGTACTGTTCTGAGGCACCTTGTGGCGATGCAAGCATGGAGTTAATAATGGCGGCTCAAGAAGACGCCACTCCATGGGAATTACCGTTGACAAACCCCCCTGTCCCCCTTTCCACTACGGATCCCTCAACCTCCCTACCCGGCCGTGCCTACTTCTCCCAACTAGGCGTCGTCCGGCGGAAACCCGCCCGTTCGGATGCGCCGCCCACGCTGTCCAAATCTTGCTCCGATAAACTAGCTTTACGGCAGTGCATCTCGCTGCTCTCATCCACAACCGCACTCCTAGTCGACCCGCGCCACGTCTACATACATACTCTAGTCCTCCCAGAGTCGCGATACTCCGAATCCGCCTGTCGCCGGTCTTTCTCCTCTTCCCCTATAGATGGACGTATGAGGAGTATGGCATCAGCTGAAAAACAAGGACCACTCAAGGGAGAACGAGGATCTCCCTACACTTTCCGCCCCTTCACCATCAAAACAACATCATGTGAATTCGCCTTCTCCCAGCGGACCGTAACCCAAGCTACCACCAGCAGCGCCAAACAAGATGTCACCATTAACGAGCAGAAGAAATCAGCTGCGCAGAAAGTATCAGCCAGCAACATCTCCGCAGCCTGGACGCGCTCCGGCCTCGAAGAAACGACGCTAGGCGGTATCCTGCAGGGGCGAAAGCAATCTGCGGCCGATGCACGAGGGGCTAGCTTCGGTTCGAGGCGGAGGATATGGGGACTTGCTGTCGAGGTAGCTGATTTACTTTTACTATGGGCGGGAGACGATAAAGAAACAGGGAAAAAGGCAGAACCTGTAAATACTTCCGCCATTGCTGATATATGGAGGGCGCTTACCGCGGAGACGTACGGTGAGATGAAGGACTGTGCATTACTAGAGCCTCGAAGGCGAGCCAAAGACAAGGCTAGAGAGGAAGCACTAAAAGGATGGGTAAGGAATCTAGGCGATGAGTCCTTTAACCTGTAAATATGGTAGGTAGGTAGTTCATATCCTACTCAAAGGCACAAAATGCACGAGCATAGTCAATAAACAACACGTTTACAACATATTTCTTCTTATTTCGCACAAGCAGTGGCATCAATTCCTCACTACCACGCCCTGCGTATCTAAGGTAAAAAAACCTGCTAGCAGAACCTGGCGGAGGAACAAAATACGACTAACGCAAGCTGCTACCGTAGGGAATGGGAAATGGGGAGGCCCGAGCCCCCTCGCGGACCCAGAAGCCAACCAGCCACCCAGCCCAGACTACCTAAAATGATGATGATGACGACGATGGTGGCAGGGGAGGGGAGGGGAAAAATCCCACCATCGCCCTTAATTGATTGCAAAAGGACAGCTACCGAGGAACTCCCTTTCCGACCTTTCCTCCTTGGCGCGAGAGAGAGAACATGAGAGACAGAGAGAAAAAAGACCACCATCAAACCAGATTCGACCAAATGCCCCATATTCATTCCCGTTGTTTTTGTTTGCGTTCCGTTCCATTATCTTATCTTTCCGCGTGCTTCATTTTCGTTTCGTAAAAATGAGATAGGGGTGGTCGGGTGGTATTGGGTTGGGAGTAAGTCTGGTATCTTTGGTCCGCTTGTAATAGGTGTGCCGATTAAAAAGGTCGTTTATTCGACCTTGCTCTCGAAGTTCTCGCCGGCAACCAAGTCGGGGATGTCGTCATCGTCCGCATCTGCGTCTGCCTCCTTAGACTCCTTGGACATGCTCTGGTAGCTCTCAGCCAGTTTTCGGAGAGAAGCTAGGGAGTCGGGTCCGAGCTGGTTTAGGATGCCAGGGACAAGTTCCGTGAGCTCCTTGTCCTCACCAGCGCCGTAAATAGCGAATGTGTTGGAGGGCACAGCAGCGTGAACTAGTAGGTATTAGCAGGTGATCCTTTATACTTATTTATACTAATTTCTATATACACATGTGTGCATATAGCTAATTTAAAAATTAAAAGAATAAAAATAAAAACTCACCCTTAGGAGCGGAGAAGTGAATGACGTTTCCGTCGCTCTTGAACATGTTGACCTCCTCAATAGCCTGGATAGGCTGGGTGTTGAGCTTCTTCAGGGTAGCCTGTAGCTTCTTGTCGTCGTTGGCGCTTCGAGCAACGTTCCGCTTTTGCTTGTGTCGCGGGGTTCCCTTTCCACCTGCGCACCACAAATTTTTTTTATTAATGGCTTGCTTCTTTAATAGACATTAAAAACTTGGCGATATTACGTACCGGTACGCGAAGGCGCCGCGCCGCCGAACTTCTTCTTAAGGATCTCCTGCACGTCCGCCATGGTTGTGGGCAGAGGTTTCTCTATTCCGGTGTTCGGGGTGGAATGGTTGGTGGGTTGAGAGAGAGCAGAAGGGCTAATAAGCTGGGATAGTGGTTAGCTATTGTATTTTGTTGATGGATTTTGGTGCGGGACAGCTTAATAAAATAGGTTTATGACCAAAAAAAATAAACAGAATTGGATATTTGCAAAGCTTCAAAAATATATATATCTAACTTACCTCGAGAGGAATTGCGATATTTTTTCCTTGGTCGTTAGAATATCGTAGCTCTATCAATCAATCAATCATCAATCGAGGGGCGATGAGGCCTGAAGTTGGGGCGAGTCGGCATTGGGAAATTGTGCGTTGCCAAGACTTTTTTCGGTTTTTCGCTTGAGGATCAACCCTCTTCCGCCGCACTTACCTTAGCTACCTATTTATGTATCTAACCATAGGTATGCATTTAGCCATTCACCTACCTCGTGCACTCCCCTCATGCACTCCATGCACTCCATGCACTGACAGGTCAAAGACATATCGTGATGCTTACTGTCAACTTTATTTATTCTCAAGCTTCTTTACAATGAGCATTAGTTCAGATCGGGAATGCATTGCTATATTATTAAGTCAAGAGACAGCAAACAATGGTGCAAGGCTACTTTGGCTAATTATCTAAAACCACCGAATGTCTTTCCGCCTCCTGATCGTGAACACATGGCAAAACCCCAACCTCTTGCGGGCCAACTTTCTCATCATGTCTCATACGCCATCCTAACACTCCTGGGCGGGCCTGTTGTTCTCATGCAAACTAGTCAGCCAGTCTAGCTAGAGCATCCATACCCGTATCTTCCTCCTCTTCCAGCTCCACTAGTTCCTCGTACGTAGCGGATTGCTCCTCGACCACTTCTGTGACTTGGGCAGCTTGTATGCTTTGACCAATATATAGGTCTCCGATGCCATAGGTTTCGTCCGAGCCACTGATACTGGTGCCAATGATTCGCTTAAACTCGTCATCATCGCCTGTGTAGTCATCATCTAATAGTGCTGTCGTCGGCTTAGGTACCTCCTCTAATTCGAATTCGTCCTTCGCCATGGCGATTCGACCTAGCTCGTACTCAAAAACCCACGGGAAACTAATCAACGGCATCGCATCTATCCTTGGTTTTTCCTCCCCGACGGCTTCTGGCACTCGCCCTAGTGCGATCTGCACTTCTTCCCATGTGATGCGGTAGGTAGCTGCCACCACGGGATATAAGGCGTTAGGATCTCTCGATCCCGCCAGCTTGATGCAAGCATCCCTGAAGCGTTCTCTGTGGTTCGTCATCACCGGTTCTATATTCTCTTGCCGCTTGTATTCGCCTCCAAGCCGGGGTTTTGACATCATAAATGTTGACCAGGCTTCGAATTCGGTTTCGATATCATGCTGATTCATGATCTGTCGCATAGCCTTATCATGTTGCCTCTTTATCATCCTTACTGTTTTTAATAATTCGTCTTTTAGCGAATATCTACGAAGAATTCTCTGGTCGAATGTGCTGTCTAACTCCGGTTTGAATTCAATCTGCGCCACTTGGTCATATAGCCGACCAAGAATCTTTATCGAACGATATGTTCTACTTGGTGCCTTCTCCATAAAGTGCGGGTAGTTTTTTGGCCGCAACGACGCTCTCAGGTAAGCTTTCTGTCCAGTTTTCGGGTAGTCAACAGCATTGGAATGTAGGCGTGCCAACTCGATGCACTGCGGGTCCTTGGGACCATCAGTTAATGCGTCGCACTTGGCTAGATGGGCATGGGCAATGGTGCTGAGCGAGTCGTTCTTCATATAGCTCACGAAAAATGAAATGAGGTCTGTTACTTTTACGTCCCGATCGAGTTCTTTTGGCTTGAGGCTATCCTGCTCCATAGGGGGGTGATTCCACTCCGTAGGTATAAGCCGAGGATCCCAGATCACGAAGTAGTCGTCCCCGTCAAGATCTCCCCCGGAACACATAGAGGGGATATCGCGGTCTCCAACCGTTGGGAATACAACAACGTCGTGGAGGTGTCTTAACGCCGGAACGTCTACGGCCTCCACTACTCGAATATCTCCAGGATGGAGCGATGGGTTCCGTCCGAGCACGCATATTCCAGTTATAACGGTGTATTCACCTTGCTCTCCTGGCCTGACACCCGTCTTCGGTACCTGCAGGAAAATCTGTGGCAAGGTATTCGGGTCTTTACTCTGGCTAAAGTCGGTTGCGTTTGAATGACCTCGTAACGTGCGAGTCTCATCTGCGCAACCAAAAACAAATGCGCCCTTATCAACCATAATACGAGCCTTCTCACGAAGTAGTCTCATCGACCAGGCACGCCAAATGTGTAGCAGGATCATGAAAAAGGGCTCTTTAGTTTCCATGAACCCGTCTGCAATCATCTGTGCCATTATTGTGGTGATACCATTCTGATCAACGTATTTGCTAAGTAGTTGCATAGCAAATTCGGCATCGGTCATGGCACGCTCGTAGTCAGCGATCTGCTTCTTCATCATCTCCTCAAAAGCCTCGTCTGGTACGCCAAGGCAGCTTAGAATAGTAATAGTCTGCCGATTTAAGGTTGCGACAGAAAACCTGGACGTCTTAATAATCTCGAGGCCCTTCGAAACTGCGTTGAACTTCTTCTGCGATGGTCGCAGGTGAACCTCATTGAAAGGCACATCGGGCCACTGCACCAGAATCCCCTTACTACCCCCGAGCCTAAACTGGAAAGCGGACGGGAGAGTTTTTGCGGTCCTGCTCATGTCAAGATTCTGCATGAGGAACTTTGCACGGCTAAATGCTATTTTCCCAACTCCATCGGTGAAGCACCAGCCGTCATGTTCAATATCATCAATGTGTACAATTGCTTGGCCGATTGGTGATGCTTTGGGTATCCTCGTTGTCGAGAAGCATTGTCCAAGCCGGGAGGCATACTTGGCTACGACTCGGATGTGATTGACGTCGCCCATCCAGTTCCGGATGTTATCGCAGGTTAAGAAGTCTGTCGGGCAGAAGAAGTAGGCGCCGTGTTCTCGAAATTGAGAGTTCCCAGTGGCAAGATACTGGAAATGACGGCCGCCAATCCGTATACCGTTCTGCAATGCTCGATGTACTCGATTGAATAGAGCATTGTCCCGCGTAGTATCGGGATCAGAGTAAATACGACCCTTGATGAGCTCATCTGTGAATTGAACACGTATAAACCGGTCTTCGTAGTTGGTGTACTGACGCAGAACGCGGTTTGACGGCTCTGGTGCTGGGCTACTAAGATACATTGTTGTAGGTGTGACCACTACTCTTCTTACCCATATGCAGTGTCCTGGGAGTGAGATCTCCGGGTAGTGGCTCGTCGCTTTTTTGTCTTCAAAAAGCGACATCGGATCGTATATCCTTTTCTCATCAAGCTTGTCCCGGCTCTCGATGCGAGACTGTAATACATACGTCAAGAGGTCTTTTGCTCTGTCCCGACGTAGGGTACGACCTCTTGAGAGGTTTGCTAGCCTTCGGAGAAACTCGGTAGTAATGTTAACCTCGTTGAAAATACCCTGAGAGATACACGCTTCAAGCTGATATCGGACGTCGTAGGGAAGATATATGTCTTCAATGCCGGCGAGAAGGGCTAAATTAGCTTTAGACGTGTCCATGCCAGGCTGTTGAGGTTCAAGCGCATCCCAGAAGCTTGACATCAACGATGGAACTATCTTGATATCATTTGAGGTTTTGTCATCTATGACGATATTGAATTCCTGCAGAGATGCTTTCATTTCCTCCCATGCAACAAGAGAAGACTTTGCGAACAAGAGCCGGTAAGTAGTCCATCTTCCAATGTTAATAAACCGATTGGTTCTGGGTAATAAGACGGGTTCATCTCTGAACCATGATGTATCGTAAGTAATGTCGACAATTCGATTCCAAGCATCCCGCTCTTCTTTCCAAGTGTTCTTGGTGCTTGAATGTGAGTTGGCGTGGTCACATTTTATGTAGAAAAGGGGCGGGTTAGGTAGGTGGATAAGTAAGGCCCATGTATTCTCATCAATGTCTATAAAGACGATCTTCTTGACATGTATAAATGGAACTTGTGCTTTATATTGCAGCGTATGTTCCATCTGCCCAATGGGTGAAGGGTGTTTTATGCTAGGGTCTTCGCGACGTGGATCTGTGATGCTGCATGTAAATGCGATTTCCAGTTTTTTCTGGTACAGATCAGATGCTAGAGAAAATTCACCTCTCGTGTTGTTTTGGATTGTCTGTAGCGGCATCATCTCATCCTCACGCGCAAGCACCCCGAATTGAAGCGCAACCATTGTAATACTCAAGAATGGCGGGTAACTACGGTTATTGGAGCCAGGTATTCGTCGCTCCCGTCTCTCCTTCTCAAGTTCAACTTTCACTTTGACTGATTGGCCTTGAATGCCGAGTACCATAACATTGTCCCAGAATTGACGAATGGGAGGCGGTGAGAAGCGGATGCGGGCACTTCCATCTCGAATCCCGTTATTCTTTTCAAAAAGCTCGATAAACACAACCTCCCCGTCTTTCTTGAAGTGAGACCATAAGTCAAATGTGGTAGTAGTGGGCGGGAGGCCGCGTATACGGAGGCTGATATCAGCCCACGATGACCATTGAGGCTTAATGCCGATAGTGTTGGCTGATCGGAGAGCCTCAGACCCATATTTGGGATTTGACTGCCCATGACGTTTTGGAGTAGGTGTTATAGGGTAAGATTGCACATCTGTATTACGAAATAACTGTTGACCTTGATGTGAATCATAAGCTAGAGGGTTTCTTCGAATATGGTTATGGGCTCCTCTACGCGCGTGATTGGAGCCACCTCGATTCTTATTTGGAGATTTGCGAGTTCCTGGGCTTCTTGAATTGGGTGGAAATATGTTATTGGAGGATTGATAGAGATCATTCTTGGGAAAGATACTACCTCCTTCTTCCGGTACCTGAATACTGCCTCTAAGGAACGAAGAGACAGGCGGTCGACGAAGGCTTGAGCCTCCACGGGATTGACGAGCTTCATGAGCCATTATATTAGCAGGCTGAAGGTGAAACTTCGACTAGATCATGCTGGGAACTACATATGGAGTCCCTTGTTAGCTGAAGTAAACTATAAGACCGAGTCCTTGCCCCAAGAAAACAGTAGCTACTGCAACAGTGGGTAGCAAAGTGGGAAGGATTGGGGTGGAAGAAGATTCAGAATTGAAAGAGATGGTAGGTGTGTTTGATGAAGGTTGTTTGCTAAGTACTGGTTTCGTTAATGGGACAGTGATAGAAAGAAGGTGAATAGATGTGAATAAACCTCGACATATACTAACGTGGTGCGTCTTGTTTGGTTTAACGAAGGAATCCCATCAAGGTACCTAGTTATCTGTAAATAGAAGAAAGTTAACGATTAGTAGAGCTTGGGTCGAAAGCTCAATATTTGTATTGCAAATTGTGAAAAAAATAAAAAAATAAAACTTTGATGAGGTGTTTGACACAATGCGTAAACTGTTATGGGAAGGATGCTGTCGCCTAAATTACTAGGTGCAAGATTACTAGTGAGTTACTAATTACCTTCCTTCCTTCCTTCCTTCTTTCCTAAAGCTCTTCTACAAGCAAGTACCTAAATACATACCTACATGTACATAGAAAATTTTGTACCTGAGTTGTATGTAGTTTCCTCGAATTGGTAATTACCATAGAGGTAGGTGATGCGATAGGCAGAGTAAACATAGGTGCAGGTACATAAACTGAGGTACTACTAGGTTACACCTGCTTTGAATTCGTTCCTAGAAGTTGGTATCAAGCACTCGACTCAGTTGCAACCTCTCGTTTGGTATCCGAAGATCTGTTTTATAGGTTAGGTAGATTATGCAAACCAATACTCTTTCAAAATGTTTCCACTCGTAATGTAAAGCATCCTGCATCTAGCCGAAACGCCGCAGACCGCTTGCTCACACGCATATCTTCCACTTTGAATTTTCTCTCAGTATAGTGACTCACATAGTTATGAGATACTCAACTGAATCAAAATTGCTCCAGCGTCTTAAAAGATTGTTGTGTTCGGATGATTAGTACGACCAATCCTAAACTCCGACTAGATGGATATTATGTACCTTGCTACTACCACACACTTGAATTATAGGATTTGATTTATGCTATCGGTACCGATATTCCCTTGCAATGAAGCCATTGCATGGGCGGGAGCTGTATATAATAGGTATAGGTATGCCTCTTCTGTATGTTCTCTTAGATAATTCATATTGGGGAAGATGGTTGTTTGATTTCTCTTCGTAAAGGAACTAGGTCAAGCGAGAATATATCTAGGTAGGTATATGTCTTGGCATTTTGCTCGATAATTATTTGGTGGCTTTTCAAGAGCTCGCATCCAAAACCGACGAGAACGGACACTTGAAAAGGGGTTTCCACGGGATCCTTTGGAATATTATAAATTACTCGAGTACCTAGGTAGGTACCTAAGTAGCTTGGGGGAATATAGTCTTAGGTGGATTATTATGATACAACCATCAGATGGAGATACCTATTTGCTATCTAATATATATAGTACGATGAAAGAAGGCACTCAAGTTCTCGAGCACCGAGAAGTAGTACGTCCTTTAAAATATTATTCGATGAAGTAAAACCAAATCTACCGGACATAAATCACACCTAAAGTATGATGCTACCAACAGGGCTATCTATCTATTAAAACAGAGGATATGCTCTCAATAACAACCGACTGTCTAATGGATTCCTCATGCAATATTCCTAAAGGATACTAAATACACCGCTACGATGACTGCCCTAAGTGAAACACAACGACCAGTTAACTTTTGCAAAGGAGCTACAGATATCACGTTACTATTCCACCGGGTTATAGACGTGTAGGTAATGCCTCTAAACATAATAATAAATGAATTCATAATGAGACCTTAAAGGGGCCTGTTGATACTATCCTATGATGAGGTATGCAAGATCCTGTCTACCCGCTACCTCTCTAATCAAACCCAAAAAAAGGACAAGCAGCTTTTTTCTCCAATAACCCATATGCAAAATATGCCAGCAAACTTCTCCCATGTCTTATCCTCTCATGCACCGAATTGTGAGGCTGTTTCCCCCTCACATAAGAGATTGGAAAAAAGGAGAACGACATCAAGGCAGGTCCATGATCTTGCCCGGGTTCATAATCCACAGGGGATCAAGCGCCGACTTGATCTGCTTCATGACTCCCAGCGTGTCTGGGCCAACCTCTAATAGGAGCGAGTCCTTTTTGCCCCAGCCAATAGAATGCTCGCCAGTACAAGTCCCCTCCATGTCTAATGCTCTCTTGACCATGTTCTTCACGCACTTTTCTACTTTATCGAGCTCTTCCTTCTTCGTCCGGTTGTAGATAATGCTCTCGTGGAAATTACCGTCCCCGATATGGCCTAGAATACTGGCAAAGAGACCTAGGTCGTCCATCTCCTTTTTGCTGACTTCGATGATGTCTGCTAACCTGCTGAACGGGACTGCGACATCGGTGGACCCTGTGAAATTGATTAGCTAGGCTTTAGAATTATTACGTCTCACATTGAGCGATTTGGAGTATCGAGACCGTTGTAATGAATGCCTTGCCATGAAACTAGACACGTCTAAAGGACCAGAAATGAAAAGGGATAACTTACAAACTTCCTCGCCCTCCTTTCTCAGAGCCAGCATTGACCATAGAGACTCCTTCCTTGCTGACCATAGGAGCTTCTGCTCCCGGAGATCCTTGGCGAATTCGAAATTGCTGCCCTTATTGTTTTTTGCAATGGCTTGAACGCGTGTGATGTTTTCCTTTACGCTAGTCTTTGTTCCTGAGAATTTGAAGAAGAGCGTCGGCTCTTCCTTCCATACCCGGGGCGCGGTCGCTCCACCTAAGTTGACGACCTTCATTTGGACCTCATCCATAATTTCCATAGCTGCGATGGGGACGCCGGTCTGCATGACCTCCGCCGCTGCGGAGGCGGCATCACGGATTGTGGGGAAAGTTACCACTGCCACGGAGAACTCCTCAGGGACGACAGCAAGCTTTAGAGTAGCTTACAAATTGTTAGTGTTTATATTATAACAAAAAAAGGGAGGATCAATGTTTACCTTCGGTAACGAGACCTAAAGTTCCCTCGGAACCAACAAACAAACCGTTGAGGTTGTAACCTGCCGAACTCTTCCTTGGACGTCTCCGCGTCTTGATGACAGTTCCGTCTGCCAAGACTACAGTTAAATTGATGACCCAATCTTTCATTGTGCCGTATTTAACTGCGTTTGTGCCAGAACAATTAGTACCAATCATGCCACCAATCTTGGCGCTTGGGCCTAAAATTAGGGGTTTAGCCAGTCTCCTTTTTCGCGAGGTTTCACCTCGAGAATGAATACATATAAAATAGGAGATGTGATCATCCCGAGGAATAAAATTTCATCCATGTGGTATAATAATATGATGTAAATTCACTTAAGGGGCTGAGCTCACTCACCAGGATCAACAGGGAAGAAAAGACCGCTACCCATTCTGCTTAGCTGATCGTTCAGATCTTGCCAACCAATGCTTGGCTGGACTACAATATCCATGTCGTCTTTGTTAAACTGGATAATTTGGTCCATGTATGCGAAATCAACGCTGATGCCACCGAAAGGGGCCGAGAAGTTCCCCTCCAAGCTCGAACCTCCCGAATAGGGGATAATGGGTACCCGATATTTATGGCAAACTCGCGCGAGGATCGATACCTGGTCTGTTGAACGCGGGTACACGACAGCAACCGGTAAGCCATCCGGGTTCGTTGTCGACCATTCGGAATAGCCATGAGCCAGAAGGTCTTCTGGATCTGTACTTATGATGTCTTCCTCCTCACCATTTTTGGCAAGCTCACGACGAATTTCTTTTAATGCCTAGAATAAAATTAGTAAGGGACTTAATGGACTTTCCGTCTTGGTACACATCTGTTTTTCTAAAGTAGGGTAACAGATAGACTTACGTCCTCCATTTCATCTAATGATGCGTATTGAGGCGTTGGTGTCTTGCTATCAAAAAGCGTGACAGTACGCTTAGGAGGTCCTTGGAGTGTTGCAGAAGCAAGGCCGAATCCTAATAGGCTGGCGGTTGCTGTCAAAGCAAACACGGAGCGCCCGGTCCACCTCGTGTGATGATATGCCGGGTTGGTCCACGCTCGTTCGGCACCGGCCCCATTTTCACTGATAGGTTTCCTCAACGAGCGAGAAGTGTAAAATGTTCGTCTCCAAGCGCCCGGGAGACGCCCGGCGAAATGTTTAGCTGACATGAGTCGCGGATTTATAGGTATGAGATTCACGTGTGAATAAATTAGGACACACGCATTAGAGAAGACGACCCCGATAATCGAAGGAGGATATGGACGGTTAAACCGGGACTACGGGTTCTATAGATGTAATAGCAGGCCCCCTTGTAGTCGGGCTGGATCCCAGATACGATCTTTTTGTTCCTCTCTTAGGTAGAGACGTCTGGAAGTAAGTTTCCCGCTCGGATCTGGAGAAAGCTGTGGCCCAGATCCTTGATTGGCGTTCAAGCCGTCGGACTAGAAGGTCAAGACTGCCTAAGGGAATATTGACGTTTAGAAGACCCTGGATAAACCCAAAAAAGGAAAGCCGAAATTGAGTTTAGTGGGCGGGGGTAACCATATGGATAGAAAGTAGGTAAGAGTGGGCGTGTTCGTATTGTCGCCTTGGTCCGGGAGGAGTACGGCAGATAAAGGTGAGGGAAGTAATGGGAAGATCCTAAGAGCAGCCTGACCAAATACTAAACTATAGTACTTGGTTGGGGCGAACCCCGAAAGTAGTTGAAGTGGTGCGGACCAGCCGTGATAGGATTTGTAAGTGGAAGTGACTAACTCTAGCCGTTCCTATAAGAATCACTTATGGCCTTCTCTAGACTCAGTGGATTCTAGTGAATATTAAAGTAGGAAGTGGACGAATCCTTGACGCGGGCCAGGATACCAGAAACGATCAGAGACCCAATCACGAGATAAAAGGGTTAGTGACTAGTGCTTTTGAG